TTAGAATAAACTATTCTCGAAACTGAGAATGTTTTGATAAAAGCTGTGAAAATCAAACCGAAACTGTGCATGGACTTTGCCTTTATTTCCTGTAATTCGTCTCACGTATTGTATGGAATATGTGTGAACATCTTCATTATGAATCCGTATATTTCAAAGAGCTACACAACGCGCAAGAATACTATTGACCGACAATGTACAGAGCGGGGGCAGCTGTAGTGTCAACTGTTACTAGTTATAACTAGGGTATCTAAAAGATAGTAATACTGCGGCACATTCTGTTGATACTGGCATTAGTTAGGCAGTGAGACTTAAAAGAATCAAAAATGACATTGAATGTCCTATTTACATGTTGGAAAGTACTAGAATAATTACTATCAGTCTAGAAAGAACTCGTGGGAACGTTGTTTAGAAAATGATCAAGGGGTTATCAACTCTGGTTTTCCCACAGTAAGTTGTAGGAAATAATAGAAATTCAGATCGTTTATCCATATATTTAATCATTACGGTGCACGATATTTTCTCTGGAAACACAATACTTTTCTTACTGTTTGTTGCACTTTATTAAGTAACAGTTGATTTAGCTATATATTTATAGAAAACAACAGCACAAAAAACGGGAAAAAAAAGAAAGAAGGAATAAATAACTCAGTAGAATTCGAACCCGGCACCTTCGAATCGACGCAACTACACTTTACCACTACACCGCAGAGGCTGATTACGTGGTCTTTAGGAAAAGTCTTTCATTTCATTCCTTTTCCATGAAACTTCCGCCGGCAAGATGATCGCCAGACGCATTAACCGAGCTATTAACAGTGAAAAAACAATGTAAACGCATATTCCATGGCAATAAATGAATGAAAGAACATAATTATGCTTTTCAAAACGCCGATACACGTCCTCGTCTGCAAAGTAGGACACAAAACATATGTTTTGTTATCTCGATTTCCGCTGTTATTTTGAAGCGAATGGTCAAAATCACATCCATTTTCGGCTCATGCAGTTTCTTAAGAATAGCATTGCATGACATTTTCTCACTTTCACATCACCTTCTAGCAAGCTGGAATTTGTATATCCGCCGTGTTGCGGAGTCGAAGAGCAAAAAAGGCTCTTGAGTCAAAAAAGGCTCTTGAATTGAAATCCAATCCCCAAGTTAACCATCGTTCTCATCTGAAAGACTCCTGCGTGTCTTAAAATTTGGTAAGACCGCTAACCGTGCTGTAGAAAATTTGCCATAAAGAAAACTCTAAGTCTGAGCAGCGAACGATGCTCTCACCCACGAACTTCCCCGTGTTTTTATTTGAGTTGTTCGTGGCGCAATGCACTCTGGTTAAATGCAATGCATTGTGGTAAAAAGTGTGGTTAAATGCAATGCATTGTGGTAAAAAGTGATGAATTCGAGAATTCGTCGCCCCTTATATATTTCCTTTAAATCCTGATTATGTTGCTGCTCGCTCCCTTCGGTCGCTCCGCAGCAATTATAATTGCCCCCGCAGGGATTTCGCCCAGAAGGCGAAACTCCGAGGACGCACTCTAGAAACTTGCGCGTATATTAAGGAAAGTACTTACAGTTGAAATATACAGTCATACAGTCAATATAGAAACAATCTCGATTTGCTTGAACAAGGGCCGCGAGGAATCGGTAGGTAATGATGACGTTTCTATTGTTTGCGCCCGCAAGTATGACAAGTACGAAATGGTTAGGATGACGTTAAGATAGAAAATCCCGAAGGGACCGCTCAGGTAGATTTTGTGACATTTATTGTGCAGTCATACTTCGATACTCTTTTGCGTTACGCAGTGACATTCTGTGGAGCAGTTGTTTTGAGAGTTATGGACCAAAAGACCCTCGTTAAGCGCAGATGAGGTTATAAGGTGCGTTTAACTGTATATATATATAAACACTTGGAGAGTTTGCCAGACACGAGGTTCACAAATCTTTGATTTATATTGGAAACCTTGCCACTCTTTCTCTCTCTCCGACCTGAATAAGACTCAGCTTCAAGCAAGGAAGACGAGTGAACAACGGCTAGCTTCTCACTAGCAGAACGATGGACGATTACAGAAATTCGCCGACAATCAAATTCTGTGCTGACTTATTCCCTGCTCACAGATGTCCTTCGGTTACAAAAACCTGAATGCGCGAGCGCGAGTCGATCAAACGTCCGTTTAATTTCTAAGGCTTACTTTCCGGCAAATAAAATGAACTGAATGTAAAACGTGAGAGAGAAATAGCGAAAAATTCAACTTCTAATTAAATCTTTTCTTATGGTTTAGAATAAACTATTCTCGAAACTGAGAACGTTTGATCAAAGCTGTGTAAATCGAGCTGAAACTGTGCATGGAACCTTGCGTTTCCTGTATTTATCTCACCTATTGTATGGAATATGTGTGAAAATCTTCATTGTGAATCGGCATATTTCAAAGAGCTACACAACGAGCAAGAACTCGAAAGAACGCTATTGATCGACAATATACAGAACGGGGGCAGCTGTAGTATCAACTATTACTAGTAATAGGTTTATTTTAGTGTCAATGTATTTAGCTTAACAGTTAGCTAATTGGGGAAACTTTCCTATGTACTGGCACTGATCTATGATTTTTAAATTAATGATCTTACATTTTGTTAGGACCGACCAGATTTTGCTAAGTAGCTGGACTACTATCAGCTTCGAAAGAACGAGTGATTCCGCCTCGCGCTTTCGCCGCTCGCTCGCGCTTCCCTTTATTCACTGTTTATTACCTCTCCTCAATAAACCGACAACTAAGGGAGGTCCTGAAAAAGTCACTTAGTGGAAATAAAACTACAGAACTACATATACTTCAAAATAATGAAAAATATTTAATTTGCATGATAAGTGTTAACTTTCATGCTTACATAGAACTAAAGAATTAACGATCTTCCTAAGTCAGTTTACTTTCATGAAGGATTAGAGCAGGTAAAAACTAATATCCTAATATTTATACAAATTTTCAATTCGAAAAGGTTTTTAGTTTTGTGATACAATGCCCTTGAAAAGCTTTTGCTTAACGGCGGCGTTTACATGGCGGCCGAAAGAGCTGTCATGCAGATTAAAAAGGTGACTAATTTGGGCAGATTTTGCTATCTGAACAGTCATTGTATTAGAAAGAGTATAATATATTGTTTATGAGTTCTTCGAGAAATGAATTCATGCTTTCGTAACTAAACTCAGAAACTTAAGATGTTCTTGCCGGTTTCCGGCCGCTATGTTGGTGCCCATCCGGATGGACACCACCATGGCGTCTTCATACAAAGCTCTTTAAATTTGGGTGAACCATTTCTCCGAATATATGGCACATAGAAAAAAGAACTGAACTTAATCTTGGCGAGAATGCATATTTAACTAACCTCTAATTCCCTTCATCCTAGACATTATCTGTTGAACAATTTTGATTTTTGTTCTTGATGGCGTGACAGTGAAAAGCAGCAATACTGATAAGGCAAGCGGTTTAAGGGGCGGACATGTTACCTCGAGTCAAAAGCTACAGGCCTAGTATAATTTGATTATTGGAAAACATTTTAAAATTTGTTATGGGAAAGTTGCTTAAGACCATTGTCATTACAAGCTGACTAAACTTGGAACGGTTTATGTGGCATGTACACAAATCTGATTTAGCCCCATCTAGCCACTGTTTTTGAAGAGAATGTCTGTACATTGCGGGGTTACTGTTGGAACACCTTGTTTATTGGGGCAAATCACAAACATATAATGTTCCTATTCCTAACACATGAGAGGATTAAACCTAACGCCGTCGCTAAAAATTTGATGAAAAAAAAAATAGAAAAAACTGATTTGGGGCTCCATTAAAAAGTATCAAATTAAGACACTTCCGGAAGCAAGTTGCAAATTATGATTTCATATTTCGAATGTACAGAAAAAAATTACTTATCAACCTCTTACATCATTTTTTCACGAAAATGGGGGAAATGCTAGTTTTTCTAATCATTTTAGGCTTTCGTGCCACGTTACACCATAACCATAAATTCCCAACTTTCTTTCACTTAAAGGAGCTGTGTCACGAAATTCAGCCAGATTAGAAAATTACAAAATGCCCGTTAAATTAAGAAAAACATGAAAATAACCGCTTAAAACTTTAAGGGAAGGTTAAAATAACATAACAGAAACAACAGATGCCACTTATGGGCAAAACTGAAGAAGATTGAAACGGATTGAAATTAGGGTTTTTGAAAACTGTTCAGCCTAACAGTTTTTCAAAGTTGACCCCTGCTGCTTGCAACTTCAAAAAGAATGCTCAGGAGACATATTTGTTTGTCTCGGATCTCTGATTTTGTCATTTACATGTAATTTCTTTGCTTACTTTAAGTTCCATAGCGATTGAGGGCGAGTAATTGGCAAAATTAAACAAAATGAACTGGACTGCCGTGACACAGCCCCTTTAAAGCACCGTGACTCCAGCTGCAAATAAAGGGCCTCTTACTGTCATGTCACTCTTGACCGCGGCAGTATTAACTCATTCGGTAGAGCGCTGGCCTGCAGAGCGGGAGGTTGCATATTGATTCAAGGTCTTAAAACACGGCTAGACTTCGAGGCTCAGTCCCGTTCCCTGTTGGAAACTTAAAAAATAGTGTCCTCAATTTGCACTTGTGTGGTAAACACATTTTCACTTATTTTAAAATTACCTCTATATTTTTAGTGTATGGATTTTGCGAACGACAGTCAAACCCCCGGTAACAGACACATCACCGAAGCCGAGAGCCTTCTTAGAGTGTATATCAGACTACAGTCCACTAAATGGGTGGCGAAGGAGATGCCTAGTCTACTGATTACACACCCTACTCTTTCTCGTGCTTTTAAAATCCAAGATGGTGTCTCTGACAATGATACGGAGCTCTCACTCTCCATAAAAAAATCCCTTACACTACAGGCTATGAACAAAATTGCAATTACTAGTTTTAACTGATAGAAATAGATTGATTTCTCTTACGACTTTCCCCCTGCACAAGTAATTTTTTGCCTTTTATTTCCAAATTCAAACGAGACGTTATCTCCAATCAACATAAATGGCGCCCACTGCTCCACCTCAGAGAAGCCGTTTTCTCTGGTCCACTTCATGGCCTGGTGAAGAGATTCACTGGCACTTTCACCACGAACAAGGTGCTCGTAGAAACGACTCATGAACTGCTTCGTTGCTTCGTCCTCTATGGCCCACAGTGCCACCAACACTGAGCGTGCACCGGATCCTAAAAAGGCTCGTGCAATTCCAACCACTCCCTCCGCTCGAATTTCCCCATTTGCACTGTGACAGCAGCTAAGCACCACCAGTTTGGCTCTTAATCGAACTTTTGAGATGTCAGCCATTGTCAGTAAATAGTCTTCTTCTTCTGGCGTCGTTTTAGTGGTACGTGCAGGGGCAAGAACAATTTCTCCTCTTTCAGCATTTCCATGAGCAGCGAAATGTATGAGGCTGACGGAGTTAATGCTTTCAAGAACAGCCTGCTTGGTCGCTTGCTTTCCTAGCAAAGGATGAACGCCGATCAGTCGGCCTATCATCTCTGCTTCCTCTCTTGCAAAATGCAAGGGTGGTTTGAGTGTAAGACACCCGTTGTAAAGCACCTCACCAACTTCAGGGTCCCCCACTATGAGTGCACCAGTCTGACTGTGATAGTCTGATGGGCTGTCATGAATCAGCTTGAGAGTCGTCAAAGACGGAACGATGCGGATTCTGCAAGACTCCGATAAAAACTTTCCCCTTTCGTCCTCTAATGCTGCAAATGTAACTTTGAACAATAAGCGATCAGGAACAATGATGATTTCAGAATCTGTAAGTAACTCTGCCACAGGAGCTACGATCATTTTGTAACAATCGGCAAGAGTAAGTTCAAGTACTTGGTTTACGTCTTCATCCTCCTCTACAAGGCGCCAACTACAACAGCCTTTTTCTTGGGTTGGTTTAGTACCTTTTGTACGGTTATCTTTTGAAGGAACCCAGCATCGATCTTCGCACTGATCTGGAGGTAATGCATGCACCCGCCGGAAGATTTTGCTTCCCAGAACTTCATCCACCTCTCTTTTTGCTTCTCCCATGAAGAAATCATTTACATCTACGTATTGGAAGTGTGTGGGTGTGTCAGCTTTGAGGATCCAAAAATGGATTTCATTCTTAAAATAGGAAATGTATAGACAGGTGCAATTTCTTTCATTCTTCATGATGGCACCAATGCCCACCCAAGTCTCTGGATTGTCTGAAATTTGTTTTTGGACTGAGTACTGTGAGGACATCAAGTCTGCCAGGGCTCTGGCTCGTCCAAGCTCCGTTACACAAAGGGCTTGCTCCGGATTTTTAGTTCTACAAAACAGATAGCTTAGTATCTGGTAAATAATAAAGTGCTTCTCAAGTAACGATACCTTTAAGTGGTCATTATCCGTCAAGAACATTCCCATTTTCTGAAAAGCATCTATGCTGGCCAGTAGATAGGATTTAGCTTCACGTAACTTTCCTTCTAACAGCATGAGCGTTGCAAGGTTTTGTTGGGTAGCAAACTCGTTTTTAATGTCGCCAATGTTTTTACTTATTTCCAGTGCTTTTTCATGATATTCTTTTGCCCTAGCGTACTCTCCGAGAAAATGACACACAATTCCAAGGTTTCCGTAACTTTCTGCTTCTCCCCGTTTGTCACATATTTCTTTGGTGATTACAAGTGATTTTTCATGATATTCTTCAGCCTTGGCATGTTCACCGAGAGTATAAAACACCACTCCTAGGCATCGCAAACACGAGGCTTCTTCTTTCCTGTTGCCAGTTTCTTTAGTTATTGCAAGAGCGTTTTCGTGATAATCTTTCGCCTTGACACATTTGCCCATGGAGTGGAACAAAGTACCGAGATTTTGATAACATGCACCTTTGAGTACTCTGTCACCTATCGTTTCTGTGACTTTTAATGATTCTTCAAGATATGTTTTAGATTGGGAATATTCACCGAGAGACTCCAACAGAGCTCCTAAAACCCCATAACACTGGGCTTTTCTCCTCGTGTTTCCAATTGCTCTAGCGATTGCAATCGCTTTTTCAAGACATTCTTTACTTTTAGCAAATTTACCGAAAGAATAATACACAGTTCCTAGGCCGAAGAGACATAAGGCCTCGCTTTCTTTGTCACCCATGTCTTTACTAATTGCAAGTGCTTTTTCGTGATAATCTCTCGCTCTAACATAATCACCCCAAGACTCGAACACTTTTCCTAGCTCTGCATACAGCATGGCTTCTTTGTTCGTGTCGCCAGTTTCTTTCGCGATCGCAAGTGCTTGCTCGTGATATTCAATAGCCTTGGCAAACTCGCCGACAGGCTGCAAAACAGTTCCAAGATTTCTGTAACACCAGATTTCATTCTCCCTGTGGCCAATCTCCTTTGCTATCTCAAGTGCTTTTTCATAATATATTTTAGCCTTGGCATATTGACAAACAGAACGACAAAAATTTCCTAAGTTGACGTTACACGAGGCTTCATTTCTTCTATCGCCAATCTCTTTTGTGATAGCAAGTGCTTTCTCGTAATATTCTTTAGCCTTTACAAATTCCCCCATGGCCTCCAAAACCATTCCCAGGTCGGTGTAGTCCGCCGGCTCATTTTCCTTATTGCCCAATTCTTTTGTGATTGTAAGTGCCGTTTCGTGACATTCCTTTGCCTTGGCATATTCAAAGGTGGAGACAAACACCCGTCCAAGTTTTCCGTGATACAAGGCCCCATTTTTCTTGTCACCGATTTCCACTGTAATCGCGATTGCTGTTTTAAGATGTTCTTTAGCTTTGGAATAATCACCAACAGAATGAAACAAAGTTCCTAAGTTCGCGAAGCAAGAGGCCTCATTTTCCCTATCACCGAGTTCTTTTGCAATCTCAATTGCGTTTAGAAGGTGTTCTTTAGCTGTTGTATATTTACCAAGAGACTGAAACACAGTTCCCAGATTGATATAGCACAGGCCTTCAGTCTTCCTGTCACCTATTTCTTTTGTAATTGCCAGTGCTTTTTCCTGGTATTTTTCAGCCATTGCGTGTTCACCAAGTAAGTGAACCAATTGTCCGAGCAATAAGTAACACCAAGATTCTTCGCTCCGGTCGCCGATTTCTATAGCTATGGCAAGTGCTTTTCCCAAATGCTCTTTCGCCTCGGAATATTTCCCCATTGAACAATGCAAAGTCCCCATTTTTCTGTAACAACTAAGTTCCAACGCCTTTTCACCAGTATCTACCATAAAGCTGAGCGCTTTGGAGTAAAGCTCTTTTGCTTCTTGGTATATGCCTTTGTAATGATGCAATTTGGCCAGTGTAAAGGTAACACTTCCTTCTACATCTCTGTTACCACGCCTTCGGGCCGAGACCAGAACTTCGCTTCCATATTCTATCGCACGCGAGTAATCATTTATCAGAAAGTACCCTTGAATCAGTCCGCAATGTATCCGCTCTTTGATTTCAGCTGTAGCCAATCCAGTTTCATTTTTCAGAGCTTTGTGGTTGAGGAGGATCAAACATTCCCTGAATAACTCCACGGCTGTCAGCACATGAGTGGAATTGAGGAGGAACCTAGCGACCAGAAAGCCAATAACAAGAGCTTGTAAAACGTCGCCTGCGTTGTCCATGACAGTGTTTTTCTAAAGTGTGACTGAATTAAAACAACAGCAAAATAAAATGAAACGAAAATTAAAATGAATTGAAATTCGGTTTGTTAGTTCCTAAGTAATGCACTTTTTTACCCATCGGTAATTATGTACACGCCTGACAAAGCATTTTATAGGTCTTATCATTCTTACTAATAAGTAAACATAGTTATTTATTGGCGGAGCAAGCAAAAAGAAGTATAGTTCAGTGAAAAAGCTACAAGTACACCGATTTAGATGGTGTTTTTAGCGGAGCACCATGGGTAAGAAAATTTGGTTATCTATGCATCCAAGAATATTGGTTCTGACAAAATCGCCCGTACGTACGTACGTCCGTAGGTACCTACGTCCACCCATTCATGTAATCCGGGGTGAAATTTTGCATTTCAAGCACCCCGAGCGTTTTGTATGTATGTATACATGTATCAACTTTATTTAGAGCTGTTTCGGATAACACGCGACCTGCGATGTCAAAAACGTCTTTGGATTTTGGGCTTTTCTGTGACGTCAACCAAAATCTGAAGAATTGGCGCCTTAGTTGCCCTCACATCTCAGCTGACCTCTTAGGAAACAAAAGGTAATGGTTTGTGATTTGTGACTGGTGGATTTCGATCCGTTTTGTGTGTGTCTGTGTTTCAAGGTTCGTTGCTTTTGAAGAGGCGTGTTTTTGAAAAGCGCAGTAAGTTTTACCTTGGCTCTAAGTTTTTTTTTATCTTCTTTATACTGAAACATTGACAACTTTAGATTTCCAAGGTGGAATTGTTCCTATAGTTGGTTTTCACATGACGCCACTAAAATTCAAACTACAAAACTATCTATCCTACTGATATTTTACTTTCATGATGTATTAGAGCAGCTGAAAACTAATTTTCATACAAATTTTCGCTTCAAAAGGGTTCTTGGTTTTGTGATAGAGTACGCTTGAATTTCCAAGCTTTTGCGTGACGTGGCATTTACATGAAGGCCGAGAGAGCTGTCATGTAGGTTAAAAAAGTGACGTATTTCGGGGAATTTTGCTATCTAAACAGTTCATGGATTAGAAAAAGTATTACTTGAACGTTTATGAGTTCCTCGAGGAATAAATTCACACTTTTGTACCAAAACTTGGTAACAGATGTTTTTGTCGGTTTCTGTCCGCCATGTTGGTGCCCATCCAGGTGGGCACCAGCATGGCGTTTCCATACAAATCTCTATAAATTTGGGTAAAACATTTCTTCGGATATCTCGTATACGGAATATTCTTCTGACTTGAATCTTGGCGAGGAACTTGGTATATATTTACCTTATTTCACATCCCAGATTCCGGACATTATCTATTGATACGGTTTCGATTTTTATTTTGATCTATTTTGAATGGCGTACTGACACTGAAAACCAACAATAGAGCTTCCAAATCCAGAAGAAACACATGTATGGGATGGTGAAAACGAATCGGTACGTTCCTGCCAACGTTTACTTTTGCAGCTTCTGGTCGTTTTTAATATTGCCGCCTTTATTTAACAAACACAGTGGATGCTACGGTAGCGGACTGATTGCAGGCGTCGCAGAAATTTTCCCAAAATCCTGAAACGTTTTCGACAACTCAGGTCACGTGCTATCCGAAATAGCTGTAAAGAGGGTAACGCTAAAAGGTAAACTGACAAACCTGCTGCCGTCATTATGCAACAGTTAACAATTACCGTACAATTAAAAATAAACATGGAATAAACTGAAATTACAATTAAAAATAGAAAAAATACAATTAAAAATTTGTAAGTAGAAAGTTATATCAATTAACAAAAAAATTACAACAAAGAAAATTAAGAAGATGCTTAAAAGTCAATTAAGGCCCTTTTAATTTAAAACTATGTACACGTTCAATCTTCTTTAAAGAATTTGGTATTGATTCTATAATTTTGCTGCCCTCACGCTAAATGTACGCCCCTCTTCCGTTTCATGTTTAAGGCGAGGGCAGACTAAGTTCAAGGAGCTATTTCGGTTATTCCGATCATTAATGTTCGAATTGAAAACCAGAAGTCGATGTTTCATGTGGTATCTTGGCTATGTCCATTAACACGCTTGTAATTTTCAATACAAATGTTTACTTTCATCTAGAGGTGAAGTGGAAGCCAATTTAATTTCATAAATAGTTCAACACTGTTCGCGAGCTTGTCGGCGTCAAGGATAACGCGTGCACTTTGCTTCTGGAGACGAAAAACCCTCTGCAAATTCCCAGTGGAGCACGCGGACCATACAATGGAGGTATACGGTATTGTTTGCTTAATCATGACGTTGTCAAGTACGCTTTCCTCTGTTCCAGAGGAAGAAATCTCTTAATCCTACTCAGCACGGCAATTCGCTGACAGAGCTTATTACAAAGTTCGTCGATATGGTAATCAAAAGAGAGTTCGCGATCAGTTGTGACACCTAAGAGTTTTTATGAGCTACAAATAAAGGGTTTCCTGGGTAGCGTTTGTGTGTGCTAAAAGTGGGAAGGTGGTATGTTAAACGCTCATAATTGCAATTAGCACTCCGACGTTTCGGCAACGCTGCCTTCATCAGGGAAAATATGTGAGTTTTTGTGAGCTCACTTGTTGAAGTTCGGTGGCATTTAATTTAACTCGTAACTGCTGGTTATTCATTCTTTTCTCGAGCCATTTACATTCCTTGCTTTAGTCTTCGTTTCACTGAGAATCATTTTGTTATTACCTGACCATTTCTACAATCTATTCAAATCTGATTGGAGACCATCACTGATAGCCTGAGGTGGTACTTTGTGATCAGTAGAATAACTGATCGTAGTATCATCAGCGTATATGTCTGCTACGGTGCTCTGTAGTGCCGAGGGTAGGCCTTTTATGAATACGACAAACAGTACCGGACCCAGAATGCTACCTTGAGGTATACCCAAAGTTATGCCTTTGTACTAGAATGAGATCCATCAACGTTTACATCTAGCTTAAAACCTCTCATGTAATCAGTAAATAATGGCAAATAATCCTTTCCATGCTCAAGCTTTGATAACAGCAAGTTATGACCGATGAGGTCAAATGCCTTTTTGTAATCTACAAAGACGAGACCAGTAACTTTGTCATTGTCGAGATCAAACAGAATCTGATCCATAAGCCGTATCTTTGCCGTTTCAGTAGAAAAATTTCTTCTAAAGCCAGACTGGAAATCGTGAAGTAAAGCGTTATCCCTCAGAAACTTTCACAAGTAATAACACACATGCTTCTCTAAAAATTTTGACATAATTGGTAATACAGATATCGGCCTGTAATTACTTTTTGTAAAAGACCAGAAGACATTAAGGGGGAATTTCTTTACAGGTTTAAAATTAAGGCTCAAAATTTGTACTACAAATAAAAAATCCTGTATTTTCCTGACTTATCCAAACCAGTGACAGGAACGTAGCGTCACGATTCTTGTTAATATATGCGGTAATGTAACTATTATTAAATTTAGCTATAGCTGATCGCGCCTTCTTTAATGAGAACGTACCGGCTTGTCACTAACATTTCAGCAAAATAAATCTTATCTTATCTTATCCTCGATCATTACTCTTTCAATGCCAAATGTGGCCAAAAGCAAATTTCGACCAAAGTTCCACATTTGAAAGTACAGGCAGAGAGCTTTCATTTGAATGGTCACATCGTAGGATTTCGTCCATAGAATCAAAAGTTAAAGTCACCTTACAAAACCCCATCAAACAATCTGGCAGTGAAAGGGTTAAAAGTCCTTGCGTTACGTTATTGATAGGCATGTATTGATATCTTTAATCAATATGATATCACTGGTTCACTCACTTTTTGATCGACGTCAAATGAGAAAATGATTATTAAAACTAAGCAAAATAATTTCAAATTATCAAAGGAAGTCACTTCAGTTGCTTAATGCTGATTCTATACCAATACATTGTTAATTTAATTAACCTATAAGAATTATTTTGTATGAAAACTGAAACTGCAGCATTGTCCGCGCCATTGACCGACTTAATTTTGCTCGAGGGCAAAATGTTTTTAACATCAAGTCATTGTTTTACAGAAATGAAAAGATGTTTACTTCAACGAGTTATTTTATATATCCCTCCAGGTATCCTTAACCATGTTTCCACTTAGTGGTAAATGAAATCCCGCCAAGTGAAACGAAATATACCCAAGACGTTTGATCGACTGTGCTGGAGGAAGGCTGCTACTATTGGCACTAGTCTCCTGTCTCCACAACAAAAACAAAACGTCCTATTCTTTACCTGGTCAACTCTAACCAGTAGAATATGGAGTGTTATTGTTTGTACTTACCTCGAAGCGACACGGGCTACAGTGTTCGGCCAACACAATTTCACTTAATCCACGATTGTTCAAGTCCCTACAAACGGAGTCGATTATTCTGTCACGTGACCTTTCAACATCCTGTTCCTAAAGCGGAAGTTACTAAACTTGGTTTTGTTTCATTTTTTATTGCGGTAAATCATTGATTTCTTTTAGTAGTTGTGAATGACTGAAAACAGCAAGTCTGCCCATTACACTTTCTTTCGTTGGCTGTGAGTTGATTTTTACGCTTAGCTAGTTCTGATAGTTTAAAAGTTTGGTGACTAGAGTAAACTGATTTAGAGGTCATGATCAGTTGAACAAAGCGTTAGCGAAGCTGGGGACTCCGCTGTCTAATATTTCCTTATTGGTGGTACTTGAAGAAAGTAAACTGTTAACTGATCTGAAATTCGGCTTCATAACTTGCTTGTCAGAAAGCGATAATCTGAAAGTTGTAGTATCCTTTAACAACTTTTCCTACAATAGCTCATGAAACGCTCTACGAATTCAACTTGAGGACAGTTCTCCACTCTTGAAATATTGAGCGAGTTGGTGGCTCTTTGAATGTTGCTGAAGGTTTCCATTTTAAAAAAACAATTAACCATGAATTAATTTAGCTGAACGTGACTAATGTCTATCTACAGATAACCACAGATAATTGTCAGAAACTGAAAAAAGACCAGACCGGTCAAAAATCGCTTAAATAAGGATACTGAGAGGACCCGATTTTTAGTAACTGATATCAATCACAATAAACATGAATAAAATTGTACCTTTTAGTTTTTAAGAAAATATCAGAAAATAAAACAAAACATTCAGGATCGTCACGGGTAGTACTTGGTGTAAGACTGCCCAAAATGTCCCGAGCCTGCTGCCTACTACTATTGATGTAAGACTGCCCAGGTGCAACTGTAGATTAGAAGTAGGTGTTGTTGATGTAGTCGACTGTACTATCCGTAGTAACTGTAGTAGCTGCACACGTACTAAACATTTTTACCTTTAAGAAGAAAATATGCCTTTGTAGTTAGTTAGTCGGCTTAGTTAAGTAGTTAGGATTTAATTGAAGTCTAGACTTTGTGGCCTCTCGTTGGAATCTCGCGTAGTCAGCGCAAGAGCCATTATGACTCCCCCGGTGGAGGGGGTTACTCAACAAATGTTTATACGGGGAGGCTCCGCCCCGAGGTCCAACCCCTTACCCTTTTATATACCATTTTTCACGAAAAAGGTACCCCGTTCGTATGGTACCCTTTTCACATACCTTGTTAAGAACTTTGCATCCCTTTTAACTGCTCTAAATGCACTATATTTTAAACAGAATAATTCTCGAAAATAGAACGTTTTCTCGACTTTATAAAGCCTTAAAATTCATATGTTAGCCCTTTTAGGCCCTTTCACAGACACAAATGATAGATTTCTCTACCCTTTCGTATACTCCAAACAGTAAAATCCCTTCCCTTTCATATACCTGAGGCCTGAAAAAGGTACCCCTTTCGGGCGGGGCCTCCCCGTATAGGCCATTATAGGGAGTAACCCCCCCCCCCCGGGTATGACTCTTGGTTAGCGCTATGAACGTCTGTGCATGTGTATAATGTCACCTCGCTTGGAGTACAGCTCATTACATCTCAGAGTTGAAAAGGTCTGTTCGTTGACGAGCTAAACTTTCTGTAAGAATACACGTTAACCTCCGTTTATAAGGCCCCCCTACTTGTAAACAAGGCCCATCAACCTGTAAACAAAAAATGAATTCGACTTTTTACGACTAGACGATTTGAAGCTTAAAAACGCGATCAAATTCAAAGGGCCTTTTGATCAGCGTTGCGATGTAGCTTGCTTTAAGACACTTTTTTAAATCCGGTATAAACCCCTCCCTCCCCCCGTGAATATAAGCTCCCCCGTTTCTAGTATAAGTCCTCCTAAAACCCCTTATAAAAGTTGTATAAGCCCAGGGCTTATAATGAGAAGTTTATGGTACGTACATCGCACAAGGAAAAAGAGTCTTTTGTCCACCTTAAATGGTGTCAGCAGTAACAAGTTAAATTTGGGAAAGTGACAGACGCAGACGCAAAGAACACTCTTCGTAATCAAGTTACAAACCGTCTGTATTTTGTTGTATTATGTTGGTATCTGAGATCTGTGTCTATAAAGTGGGATTCAACTATATATTACAAAAAGTGTATTACCACGTTATTAAGATACTGAGTTTGAGAATAAACTAGCACAGTAGCCGCTATCGAGACACACGGAAATAGAAATAAAGTTCTAAGCTTGTGTCGTGAAGTCGGGATTGCTTCAACCGCCTGAAGCGTCTCAAAATGTGTTCAAGTGATCGAGGTGATCATATGATCATCTGAATGCATGAGGTAAGATGCGCTGGATAATTAGGACAATCACAACCGCCGCAAGATGTAGGCTCGGTTCCACATAATCGTCAAAGTAAGACTCAAGGGCCATGCGATCGAGAGGCTGAGTACACAGTTATATGGTATTATAAATTAATAGAAGGAGGGGGCGGGGGGACTAAGGGGCCCAAATCTCCCGCCTCCCTTGGCTTACACTGCTGGCTCCCATCCGTATTTTTATTGGCTTTGTCTCTTTAGCCCTGTTTCGATTACGATCGAAAGATAAAGCATATATTGTTACGTAATTTTCCCCTGTTTCTCCCATTCCTTTAGAACTCTCATCCCCCACCTCCCGCACCCTATTCTCTCGGGCCCCACTCCCCTGTCATCCCCCAAATAATAGTATTGGTCACCCTTTCTCGCCACCTATTGTCAAAAACCACTTTTTTGACGTTCTCGTTGTCGTCGCCGTCGCCGTCGTGATATACTTTAGGCTGTATCATATCCCCATGGACTGATGTTTTTGAAAAGGAAGACTTTTTTCTCCGTTTTCAAAACAAATACAGTGAACCTCCAATAACGGCCACCTCTCTACAACGGCCAATATGTTTTGTCCCTGCGGACAGTCCATACATTGACCCTTGTTGAAACCTCTCTACAACGGCTACCCTCTCTATAACGGCGACAGCCACCGATCGTGTCCCTATCTACCAAAATAACCTTTCGACAACGGCCAGTTTTTTTCAGCGACCGATGAAAGTCAGGAATAGTCACGAAACTTGATACGTATGGCGCGTTGATGATTAATCGCGGCCATCCCATTTTGATTGCGTTCAATTTATACTACGGTAGTAATAATAAGCATAAATTGTCTACGATACTTGTAGCGACCGTTGCGAACCTTGCTCGTTTGGTCACTTTAAAACTTTTAATTCAAAACATTACTCAAGTTTTTTGTGTGTATCTTATAGCTATTACATGTATTACATATGATTAGATTACTATACTGTATCATATAATAGGATACTTACTGTATCCTATTATAGGATACAGTAAGCACAATTAACATGTTGTACTCCAAAAAAAAATTGTCATGTTACTCCCCTACCTCCCCATAACGACCACCTCTCCACAACTGCCACTTTCTTCTGTCCCGAAGGTGACCGCTGTGGAGAGGTTCGAGTGTACGCATTGTATTCACACGGCACAATGGAATCGTCTTCGTCCGGAAATACGATAGCAACCCTCACAGAGCATGCGTAATACTAGTAGAACAAGGTGGACAAAACTATCTGCTTCAAACCATGCCAACTCAAATGAAAAGTTATACATCTGTCGGCTAACGCATTGAAAGCATTTTTTAGTTAACACTACCTTCAATTTTCCTTCACAAAATATGCGGTCAAAAACGATTTGTGCTGTATATAGTAGCACAATAAAACTTTACGTTTTATTACAGTTCAAGAGTTTGTCCTTGGACAGTTAATGATTGGGGTCCTTAACTCTTTAAGCCGCCTTTTCTTGCTAAAACACCTGCAAGTCAAATAACAGTATTTGAGAAGGTCATAGACGTTCTTCTTGTGGTTGTTATTAAAAGAACTTATAAATTTCGTAGCCATTTGGGTCTTACCAGACGGGGAACAGTATATATACTAAGGCTATACTAAGGACGAAGAAAAATTTCTAAAATAGACACCGGATAGTTAGACTGGAGTAACTAGCTGAAAACCCTAATTAATTTCGGGAAATTGCTCTCACGTCACAAACCAGTAGTTAGTTAGCATAGACAGAAGACTCGACATTGCTCCAGGAGAAAGGGTGGAGAAGACGATTCAACTCGGACACTCGGAAGACGTTCAACTGCTTCTACAATTCTTCCTATTTCTATTAAAAAAAGATATATGGTCAGGATCTCCTTGAAATAAAATCTCGAAAGAATGCACTACAGTAGTCGTCCAAGGCCGTTTTGCAGAGTGTTCCCTTATAAGCTTTTTCAAGTAATCTTAAAATTACCTTTAATTTCCAAAATCAAAGGACACGTTATCTCCAATCAGCATAAAAGGAGCCCATTGTCCCACGTCCGGAAAGCCGTTAGCTCTCATCCACTGCATGGCTTCGTGAAGAGATTCACTAGCACTTTCTCCAAGAACAAGGTGCTCGTAAAAACGACTCATGAAATGCTTTGTTGCTTTGTCTTCTATAGCCCACAGTGCTACCAACACCGAGCGTGCACCAGATCCTAAAAAGGCTCGTGCGATTCCAACAGCTCCCTCGGCTTTGATATGTCCACGCGCACTGTGGCAACAGCTTAGAACGACCAGCTTGGCTCGAAGTCGAACTTCTGAGATGTCGCGAATTGTCAGTAAGTAGTCTTTTTCTTCTGGAGGCGTCTTAGAGGCAGGTGAAGGGGCCAGAGCAATTTCTCCTCTTTCAACATTCCCATGAGCAGCAAAATGTACGAGACTAAAGGAACTAATGCTTTGAAGAACAGCCTGCTTTGTTGCTTGCTTTCCTACTAGAGTTTTACCTCCCAGCAGCTGTGTAATCATTTCAGCTTCCATTTCTGCAAAAGGCAATCTTGGCGGTTTACAAACATCTCCTCTATACAGCACCACACCAACATCAGGATCTCCCACTATCAGTACACCAGTCTGGCTGTGATAGTCTGATGGACTGTCATGAATTAGCTTTAGTGCTGTCAAAGAGGGGACGATGCGGATCTTGAAAGATTCTGATAAATACTTTCCATTTTCATCTTGTAACGCCGCAAACGGAACTTTGAAAAAGTAGCGATCAGGGACAATAATAATTTCGGCCTCGTCAAGGAATTCGGCCACAGGGGCAATGATCATATTGTAACACTCAGAAAGAGTAGGAATGGGTTGCTGATTTTTGACTTCATCTTCTTCTGCAAGGCGGGCGGCAGCAAGGCTGTCTTCCTTGGTGTTAGAAGAAAACCAGGATCGATCCTCGCACTGCTCTGGAGATAAGGTATGGCATTGCCTCACGATTTCAGTGCCAAACATTTCATCCACATATCTTACAAAGACTTTGTCAATGAAAGAGGTATTGACATCTATTGCTCGCAAACGTATAGGTTCATCTGATTTAATAATCCACAAAAGTATTAAGTGAAATGCATAGGAAATGTATAGACAGATGCACTTTCTTTCATTCTCCATAATGCTTTCAATGCCCATCCACGTCTGTGGATTGTGTGATATTTGTTTTGGCAAGGAGTACTGTGCCGACATTAAGTCTGCTAGGGCTCTTGCTCGTCCAAGCTCTACAGTGTAAAGTGCTTGGTCAGGATTTTGAGTGAAGGAAAATAGAAAACTTAGAAACTGGTAGGCATGCGCGTGCTTGTCGAACAGTGATATCTTTATTTGGTCATCCGCATCTGTCATGAAACTTAGGATTCTTTCAATCTTGTGAATTCTTGCCAGGAGAAGCGATTTAGCTTCATCCACGTTGCCTTCCAACAGCATTATCATTGCAAGGTTACTGAGAGAATCCATCTCATTTTCGATGTCTTCAGCTTCACTGCTCATTAAAAGTGCTTTCTCGTGATATTCTTTAGCGTTAGCGTATTCACCCTGAAGCAGAGACACAATTCCCAGTTTTCCATAGCTTGATGCTTCTCCTATTCGATTTCCCATTTGTTTTGACATCGCAAGAGACTTTTCATAATTTTCTTGAGCCATAGCGTATTCACCAAGACATTGAAACAGCGTTCCCATCTGTTTATAGCACCACGCTTCTGCTCCTTTGTCGCCAGTTTCTTTTGAAATCTCAAGTGCCTTCTCGTGATAATCTTTAGCCTTAGTATATTCTCTCAGAAGTCTACATACATTTCCAAGATGCCCGCAACTAGCTGCTTCAGCTTTTCTATGGCTAATGTCCGTTGCAATTGTGAGTGCTTTACGGTAATATTCTTGAGCCTTGGCATATTCACCAAGAGAAAGGAAAACACTCCCAAGGTCTCCGAAACCTATCGCCTCTCCTTTTCTGTCGCCAAATTCCTTAAAGATCTCAAGGGCCATTTCGATATATTTCATTGCTTCAGTATATCGTCCCTGAAACTTAAACACAATCCCTAGGTTGGCGTAATCGGCTGCTTCTCCTTGTCTGTGACCGATTTCTGATCTGATTTCCAGTGCCTTTTTATAGTATTTGTAAGCCCCGGCAAATTCACCGAGACGCACAAGCACAGTTCCCAGATTTCTGTAACACATGGCTTCGTTTTCTCTGTTGCCTATTGCTTTTGTTATCATGAGTGCTTTTTTGATATGTTCCTTAGCTTCTCCATATTTTCCAATAGACCTAGACACTTCTGCAAGGTTTAGGTAGCTTGATGCTTCACCTTTTCTGTCCCCAATTTCCTTTCTGATTTTTAATGCCCGCCCTTGATATTCTTTTGCCTTGTCATTTTCACCCAGTGACTGAAACGTAACTCCCAAGTTTCCACAATGTCGAGCTTCTTCCTCTCTATCGCCAAGTTCTTCTGAGATCGAAAGTGCCTCCTCGAGGTTTTTTATGGACTTGAAATATTCACCAAGACTCTCAAACACAGTTCCCAGGTTTCCGTAGCTTAAGGACTCCATTTTCCTGTCGCCAATTACCTTAGCTATGTGAAGGGCTTTTTCGGAATGTTCCTTCGCCTCAGCATATTTTCCAAGAGAATTGCACACGTTTCCGAGATTAACGTAACACGACGCTTCAGATTCTTTATTTCTAGTGCCTATTTCCTTTATGATCAGAAGTGCTTTTTGGAGATATGCTTCTGCTTTGAGATATTCTCCCGGAGACTGTGAAAGAATTCCTAGATTTAAGTAGGCCAATGCTACTCCATTTCTGTCGCTTACTTCTTTCGCGATCGCAACTGCTTTCTCGTTAAACTCTACAGCCTGTCCTTGCTTACCAGTAGAACGAAACAGGCCTCCCAGGTTTCGATAACACCAGGCTTCCTTTTCCTTGTTGCCAATATTCTTTGCGATCTTAAGTGCTTTTTCGTGAGTTTCTATTGCATTGGCATAATCTCCGAGAGACTGAAGCACATTTCCCAGATTTCCGTAAATTGAGGCCTCCATCCCCATGTCGTCAAATGTTTTGAGCACCTTCAGAGCGTTTTCGTAATAATCTTTAGCCACGACATATTCACCTTGGGATTTATACACATTCCCTAAGCTTCCGTAGCAAGCGCATTCACCGTATTTGTCGCCAGATTCTTTCGCAATCGCCAGTGCTTTTTGGTGACATTCTTTAGCCTCCACAAATTCGCCAAGAGACCAGAGAACGGATCCTAGGTTTTTGTAACAGGCTAACAATCCCTTTTTATCACCCGTTTCGATCATAATGCTGAGTGCTTTCAAATAAAACTCCTTTGCTTCTTCATATCTACCAAGGAACAGATGCATTTCAGCCAGTTCATAAGTCACTTTTTGGTCCACGTCTTTTTTTCCATTTCTTCGAGTTAAAACGAGAAGGTCTCGGCCACATTCCATGGCATTTGTGCGATCCTTCATAAGAACGTATCCATTAAACATCTGAAGGAATATACATTCATGAATTGATGCGAGCAATTCTCTCTCTCCTTCCAATGCCTTGCTCTTGAGAAGAATCAAACATTCCTTGAACAACTTGATGGCTGCAGGAACGCGCCCGGTTTTAAGAACAAAAGCAGCAACGATAAAGCCGATATGGAACGCCTCAAGAACCTCGTCTACGTTGTCCATGACAGTAAGCTTTAAATTAAAACAGAAAGATGACAATGACCAGTCTTTTCAAATTTTTCATTAAGGCAAAGGTAAGGAAAAGGTTGTATTGAGAAAGTCTGATGTTGTACACACCAAACGTACGCAAATGCCCAAGTCTAAGCCTTATTTGCGGAATCAAAGCTTTATCACCATTATTGAAATGCAAATTTACCGTCTTTGACTATTATTTCAAATATTAACTATGCTGTAGCTAGTATTTTGCTATCTCTGAGTGGCTGTGCTCCCTACCCGTCGCTAATTGCCAACGTGTAATTCACTTCTCTTTTTAGCTCATGGTTGGCGAGCTTTTGGAGGTAGTCGAATGGCACTCGATCACTCACTCACGCGACTCTCATTAATTTATTCATTAAATTTGGATTAAACAGAGATGCTTGAAGTGGAAGGCGTGGAGTTATATTGGACGTGAATTGGTAAGATAATGGCTGAAGTTTGTTAATCGGTGAAAATTGTTTCTCGTAGAATTAAGAAGTAACAAAAAATAATAATTTTGGGAGGTAAAAGTTATTTTAGGTGTTGCAATGAGGTAATTGTGGAAGTGTTAACTTAGTTTTGAAGGGATAGAGTAGTTACAGTGTGTTGAAATAAAGTGGTGGTTGTGAAAACTCTTATCAATAGTCGAAAACATACTTGTACTTATTTTAAACCTTGTTAGGCTTTCTGTTTAGGATTGTTTTTCGCTTATTTTTGATAATATTTGTATGGAGAGAACGTGGATAAAGACAAAAGTTCATTTTTAATATAGTTAGTTTAATATAGTTTAATATAGTTCATTTAATATAGTTATGAAAATTTTGAGAAGGGGGGAGGGGGAGGGGGGCTGAAATTTTGTGTGTGTGCTCGGGCGCTTTGAAAAATCGGTGAGGTCAAGGAAGAGCGTAAAATCTGGCTATAGAACTAAGAGCCTGATTACATGAGCCGGGCTGGCTCGCTTTGCAGAGATCCCGGCACCTTAGTTAAACGTAACAAAAATCAACTTTGCGATTATATGACAACCGAGCCAACCTGGTTAGATGGAATACCAGTATTGTGATGCCGAGATCCCGGGTGGCAATTTTGCAAGTAATCACGCTTGCCAGGAGGCCCGTCGAATGAACCTAGCGAGAAACAGTACAGCAGGTAACACATTGTTCATGCGTATTGCTTCCCCGGGTCGTGAGTACAGGCCCTTACTGTGAGTTGTATTTTCACGCAGCTAGTTTGAACGTGAAATCATTGGAATTTGCCATTTTTGTGGTTCGCGTATGAGAGAATACGACTTAATCTAATTAACCGAAGGGTTTTAAAAATAGAACGCGGTTGGATGTGAAGATGTTGAACTCTGCCCGTTTTACGGTTCGACCGTGAGAGAATACAACTTGTTTACGAGGTCGTTTTGCTCAATAAGATTTTAACAAATCACCTCCTTTCCGAAAATATGCAATGAAATTATGCATCATTTAATGTTAGCTTTAATTAACTCATGCACGAGATCATGGAATTTTGCGTAGCATCTTCTTTGGCGCTCGACAACTGAGAGCAAAAATATTGTCAAACTCTTTGCAATAAGCCAAACCATTCACACCGTGTGCTGCGAGGACGATTATTTTCTAAAGGGAAAATTTAAATTTTTTAACTAAAGTTTGCTAAAAAGTATAAAAAAAAGTATAAAAATTTGATGCAGAACCGAAATTTCCGGAATTTTGGCGCCCATTGAGTTAGTTTCCCCGAAGCACTAATAAAGATTGATTGATTGTTGTTGTTGTTGTTGTTAAAGCTCTGACTTTATACTCAGTGAATTATTTTTCATCTTCTTTTTTCATGATATTTGTATTATCCTTTAGATGACGTCTGATGACTTGCAATGCCTCTTCTAAACTGAGTGACCTTTCAATATCTTAGAACACCTGTCGTATAGCCTTTCCTTCGAATTTTTCTGGGTTTTCTTTTGTTTATCTTATTTTCAGTTGGGCTTGTACCCTTGCTGGTCAAGGTCCCAAATGTAACATAACCCTGATAATACTAAGGTATGATTGCATCAATTGACTGTAAACTACCTGCACCTAGCCCGGTGTGCAATTTCCAGTGACCCACTGGCATTTCTCTTCACACCTTCCTAGTTCATACCAAAAATAATAACATCTATGAACCTTTCTCATTTTCTATTTTAAACGTATCCCTGCAACATTAATGGTTACATTGTCATTCACTTTCCAACTCAAGAAGGGGGTGTCGTTTTTCCTTTGGTCAATATGCCGGAGACGTAGAAACATTCAGTATGATGTGGGGCGGGGGATTTGTGTCCCCTCCCCCCCGCAGTGTAGGAGACATCACATTTTACAAACTTTGTTTTAGTTATTCAAATTCGTGACGAGTGAAACCAAAAGAATCTTTTGTTACAAGAACCATCGCGCTTCTGGTTGCAACAACAACGACGACGGCAGTGAAAAAGGCATTAAAAAATTGAATTTGCGTCCTTTCAAACTTAATCGCGTCTATCTGGAAGCGCTTAATTCGTTAAATGTAGGCGACTTTTCTAGGAGTTGAATTCTCAAGGGCTTTACCCATGTTCCAATAGAGAAAGGAAAACTTGTCCTCGTATGTCCACGTCCTCCATAAAACTTCGCATTGGGAGGTTTCACGTCGTAGTCGTGCAGTGGACGTCAAAGAAATGTACCAAGCGTGATGCACGTGTAGAGCCGTTGTTTTTCTCATAAAACCAATTGTTTTGTTTTTTTTTTTCTTTTTTGACGTTGTCGTCGTCGTCGTAGTTACTTAGTAACATCAATAGATGAGTAACATCAGATGAGTATCGCTATACAAGGAATGCTGCCAAATTCAGGGGCCCGTTTCTCGAAAGTCCCGGTAACTTTTCGGGCCCGAAATCAAATATTCAAATCGAAATATAAAGAATAAGAGCGCGGGTCCTGGCCAGCAAACTACTCCATTTTGTTTCACTAACTAATAGTTTTATCATGCTAGATGCAAAACTATTGAAACCTCGATTTTTAATGTAAACGGAGACAGCTTACCGGGCCCGTTAATTATCGCGACTTTCGAGAAACGGGCCCCAGGATACCACAGCATTTTCTGCAATACGTCTAGACACGAAAGAAGCGCAGTAATCACATCCTTAAAAAAAAATACTGCTGAATAAAGCCGAAAGATACCGTACGCCCAGTTAAAACCAACAAAACAAAACAAAAAAATCACCTAGCCTTCCAGCCGTTTTCCCGGCTTCATATCTGCACTGATCGATAAATCTTTTGAATTTGCATTCATCGTCTACTGCCGCAGAAATACTTTTAATCGCACAGACTTATTAAAAGACGAATCCATATAAACAAAAATTTTTACTTCAAACTTACCTCTAGTTTAGCTTGTCGCTTAATTAGTTCAGCAGGAGTTTACTTCCTTCACGGTGCTGTGAAAGTCTTGGCTTGTTTTCTATTCCCGAGAAACTGAAATCAGCTCATATCTGCCAAATATACACCATATATGGTAAAAAATGCTATTAACACGGTCTAACATCCACTACAGCGTCTGTCGAAATCGAATTTCTGTTCCGTGTCCTTTTGAATCTTACGGGATTAAAATGCCTAATCCTTGCGTGATCGATGAAGCAATATAATTGTTGGTTTTCCTGCCTCTTTCTAAGACGCTAGCCTCTCTAACAGCTAGAAGAAGACACAGTCGAGAGCGAAGTGCGAGAATCTGGTATGTAAAAACCTGTCATGCTCAAAGTCCTGCTCTTGTAAAAATGGTCGTTTATACAACGTGAAAGTAGATTAACAAACCAGGTTTTCCTGTTTGCAATTACCACAACTGTCGTTTCCAGTAAGTTGAAATTTTGGGTACTCAAACAAAAGGACCTTTCCCGACATCGGAAAAACCATGCGCAATTTATTGCATGACAAGTATTAAACCCGGAAGTGAAATTCGAGTCATACGAAATCATACGGACAGTCACGCTACTTGCTTAGCGTGACGAGTTTGTTTTTAAATGGCATGAAACAAACCACAGATAAAGATAATACACTAAAAGATGGAAAGTTGTATAAGAATGAATGATTACGATAACCCCCCCTGCTTCCCCACCTGGTCTTATAATAGAGAGCTTAACCAACTACGACAGCGGCGGCGGTGATGAAATCGTCACTTTGAAAGAGAATTTGCGCTGTTTGACACTTGAACGCGGATATTCCATCTCGTGCAATTTGTCAAAATTAATACCAGCGAATTTACCTGGATAAGGGCGGGGGCAGGGACAGGACGCCAGAATAGGGGCGACCACCATTCAGTCTCACACAGTTGCTTTAGTCCCAAAGATAGAGCCGAATCCCTCCTTACCATCGTCAGGGACGGGAAAAGAGCGACGATTTAGGAGATCGCGAAACCAAAATAAAATCTGACAGTTGACGGACATCTTGACCTTGGGTTTGAGCCCTTTCGTTATTTAACTGCCGGTAAAATAGTAACAAGACGTTTCTCATTCAGGTTTGGACTTTTGGTGTCAGCTCTGGCTTCGCTGCAAGCTGACGTCTTGTGTATTCGCAAAGAGGTTCATTCGAAAGCGTACGCATTTGGCGTTTTATCGCATATCACGGATGGGTAACCGGCAGTAAAATAAGAGTCAGGAAATCGCACGAATACTCACGATAGTTCCCGATGAGATTAATCGAATGAAATGAAACAAAACCATAAATTTCACCTGTGAAAGAACAACCTGTCTCAATAAGGTATGTCGACAAAAGGTAAGCGAGAAACAGGTATCGCAGGTGTTTTCGAGTAAAAATGTCAACGACAGTATCAACATGAATATTCTAGTCCCAGTGAATGCACATCTACCCTGGATTCCCGAGGTCTTCTCGCTCAGTGAAGTAAATTATATAGATCCCCTCCCCAAGTTCATCTTTCCACCAATAGGCCACTTCCGAGTTTCAAAAACCCTCACTTTCAAAATGAGGCTAGGTGCACAATCTTTCTTGTGAAAATGAGTTTTATTTGAATGAGAATGAAAAATAATTTCCATATCAATGGCTGAGCACCTACCCTCGTTTTGAAACAGAGGCCCGGGGGAAATCGGAAATGACCTATTGTGTCAATTCATGTACAAGTTAGTCACCCCTTGTAATCCCTTACAGGTTAAAATTAGAGTTCAGGCCACGGCTGTTTAAAACGCTGGATAACGCTATTCGCCGGTTAAATCACTGTCCAGCGGATAAATTTTAGGGAAACCAACTGCGTTAGGTATCCTTTGGAGATACAGATTTATCCAGTGGATAGCGTTATCCGCCTTTTGAACAACTGGCGCCAGGAAGTAAGAGACTCTCCTTCATTTTGACACTAAAGAGTAAATATTATTCGAAGCTGCTAGGATTATTTTCTTTATAAGATAAATTTTGCTTCAAGATAATGTAATGCTGATTCTACAATATAAAAGAGCATTTTATGCATAACTAAATATAAAACACCAGTAAAGAAAAGAGCGTTTGAGAGGCGACACTCGGTGGCACGAAAAAGGGAAAATAAGGTTCAAAGATAGTCTACTTCAAGAAAAGTTTAAATACGGTCCAGCTAACATCACACGATCTGATAAAATAAATCCGATCGACGGAAGAAAAGGGGGAGATGCTATACTATACTGGTGCACCTACAGCGGCCCCTTCGGACTATGGTTTTGTAGTTCACGGGAACCCCTCCCTCCGAACATCTCTACGACTGGGACATCTCTCTATTGAGGACAGTAGTTTTGGCCAGCCCCTTACGGTCAGGCACGAGCAGTAAGGAGACGGACACCGTTCTGTCTTAGACAGCTGCTTCGCCGGTTCCAAACAAATAAGTCGAACCTCTTCTTCTGGAAACCTCTATAATACGGAAACCTCTCTCTTGAGGGCAACTGTTTTGGTCCCAAAAATCATACAAACCCAACTTCGGACACAGACATGTAATGTGGACACTAAGCACCCTGCGTCTATGGTGTCGATATTAAGGGAATTCGACTGTGGTAGACAGTCACACCAAAGGCAACGGCACCTCGTTTGGGAGGGTTTGTCACAGCATCGTTGCTGACTCAGAAAAGACCAAACCACGGTTAACTGAGGATGATTTTTGCGACTCCTTGTTTATAACTCACTCTATGTTAGAGATTGCCTGCGTGCAGACGTCTCCTATTTCCTTTGTTGCACGCGGAAAAGGGACGTCTGCGTAACGCCGTCGCTAATCGTGTTCCAGCGTCCCGCTGGCAGGGTATTCTATTTCGCATAAATTGAGAAATAATATCCGGTTAGAAATAAGAGTTGACAAGCCAAACAAAACATCATAAGCTCGTGATACTGGCGAAACGTGACCTTGAGAGTCTGCTTGAACAGAGGTTTTTCTTCTTTTCTCTCTCGCGCGAAGATTACTAGCACTACACAGTGCATGTAGCATTCTAACCTTTGACTGAGTAAGTCTCATTTTTGCCGCGCTAAGTCTTCCATTTAGAGGTCATGAAGCAGGTTTGTTACATGCATACTGAGTAATCATTTCCTGTGGTTTATGCTTCTGTGGGTATTCCCGATAGGATTTGATTTCAGATGCAGTTGTAAAGTGTTTAAATTTTCTTGTCCTCTGTTTGTTACGGCTAAATAAAGATTTTAGTTTCTTTGGCTGGCTATCTCCGAAATGCCTGCCTGGTGCGAAGTCCACGCCGCTTTTGAAGTTTTCTCAGACACTGTTTACATATATGATGTGATGTGTCATGCACAGTAAAATGTAAAGAAATAATTTCCTCGTACACGTTAAATTTTCCGCGTCCCCGCACAAGATTTCGATCGCTCTGCTTTTCGATCGACGAAAAACACAGTACACAATCGCACATGTTTTGATTTGTTTCGGTTAGAAAACCCCGCTTACATAAATCATTTAAATCACCGCATACATTATCAGACCACATTCGATAACAACCAATCAGCGTCAAGTCAAACAATGCGCACTGTGTGTCAGCCTATCACAGCGTGTTCCCAAGATCTTGGGAACCCAGCAGGACGCTGGAACACGATTAGCGACAGCGTTACGCAGACGTCCCTTTTCCGCGTGCAACAAAGGAAATAGGAGACGTCTGCGCGCAGGCAATGTTAGAGAATCCGGATTCGGGAATCAAGGAAATTTTTTGTTTGTGCGTTCCGGAATCTTGAGATTTGGAATTAGGAAAAAGGCTCAAGGATACCGGAATTTCAAAAAACAATTAGAATCCGGAATCCAAGTTCCACTGACAAAGAATCTGGTATCCAGTATCTGGAATCCAGAGCCCAAGACTGTCTTGGATTCCTTTACATGGGGCGCTTATAACACAGTCTACTCTCTCTAGTACAAGCCACGGACAGCGTTGAAACCGGCAACACACGTCCGGTTTTCTAAATGAGGAGTCCGGCAGGGTCTGTCCAACTCTTGGTTTCCGTTTTAGGGAGGTTTCCGTTGAGAGACGGTGGACTGGACAGTTGTTGATGGGCAGGAATGCAGACGCTAAATTTGGGATCCAATTCTTAAAAAATTGTTCGTCATTTCGTTTTCAACCGGATGTCAACAAACCACGCCTCCTTTGTCGTCTTCTTTCATTTCTACATCTGCGTTTCCTTGACCGTTGACTTCCGTCGATGGCGCTTCCTCTTGATCTTTCGCAGCAAGTGGTTTTGTGTCGCTTGAGTTTGAAAGTTTTCTCATTTCTTCGTCTGTGGCTTCTTGAAACACATCGCGACGCTGCGTTTGCCCTGCCTGGAGTTCTTCTTTGCGCGCCAGACGCTCAAACATGTTAGCTGAGGAATAAAAAAAAAAAACAATTTTTATTGCTTATACCTATTATTGGGAAGATCGCCATCCAGAGCTAAGTAACCAGAAATTAGTCCTATGGGAGCCCACACATGGTCATCGCGGGAGAGGAAGACCGACCGACTACCTATATTGACACTCTTAAGAGGGATACTGGGGCACTCGAAGCAAGTGAGATTGCTGTACTGATGGCTGATAAGAGGCTGTGGAAAGATCTAGTGGTTGCCCGCCTTCGGGCGACCAAGTGAGTGTGTGAGTGAGAATTTACACTTATAGGATTTTCACTCATTCACAGACTCAAAGCAGGGGCACCCAACGACAGTTTTCTCCAAATACATTAACAACCTCGCCTGTCCTGTTGTTTCCTTAGACAAGGAACTTTACTCCACTTTGTCTCTCTTCACCCAGGTGTATAAATGGGAACCGACGACATACTGCTGGGGGGAGGACTAGCATCCTTTCCAGTCAGGAGTACCAGCACTCCTATGCACGCTTTATGCTAAGGAAGCCGGGATAAGCTCCGGCCGTTTGGACCTTTGGCTCGTGTGCTCCTTTACACCCTTACATCGAAAAACGCTTTTCAGGTTATCCCGAGTACCTTCAGATCCCTAGAAATGCATTCTAAGTGGCGTTATCAAATTTGGAAATTACGAGGGCTTCAGCAAATTTTAGCTAAACCGGGGGTGGGGGGGAAGGCGAATGTGAAAAATTCAGTTTCAGAAAATCGTACAGAATGTATTAGACAAGCAAAAATCGTACATGAATGGCACGGTCATCGGGAATTTTTAGCGTCCTCAAACTTAGAAAATTCTAGGCAACATTTGCTTCTTCGAAAACATGTCTTACGGAAAACAGGCCGAGCCACCAGGTAAAAGCATAATTTAGCCATTACCAGAGAAACGTACTCCTCAATAGCTTTTTTTAATGGTTGCACTTTAGAAGAACTACCTTGTACAGAATAATAAACAACACCAGAGGAAAGTACTGGTTAGTGCCATTAAATGGAAAAGACACACTTTAAAGATTTCATCCTGAGACTCAAACGTTAGAACCACCTTGTGCAGCAAAATACACCGTGAGCACTACAGGAAAGTAGTGGTTAGTACCTTTTATTGGAACGGACATATTTTGAGATTTTATCCTCAGACTCAAAAGTTAGAACCATCTTGTGCACCATCATAAACTGTACTGAAGAACGACAGATGTCAGCGGCTCTTTGCAGCAGTGGTTACCTTATTTTTTTTCACCCATGTTGTAACTTTAACCTGACTGCAACAAAGATGTCACAATGAACTAGATGCTCCCAGGACAGAAGAACGTCCCGTAAGCTAACCATTTCAGAGTGAACTGATTACTGTCGGCTTCTTGGTTGGGTCTCCTGTGATACTTAGATACATCACAGTCCCTGGAATATGAAGCCACGAACAATTCTGTCTTTCCTCCGCGTGAAACCTTCCTGCGGTTTGCGATTTTTCACGCGTTATCGCGTTTTTCGTTCGCTTTACTATCCCTGAAGAAATTAAGGGCACTACTTGTGGTTAATCTCAACACGGTTTTTCACGCGTTATCGCGTATTTCATTCGCTCTACCAAACCTGAGGAAATTGAGGGAACTTCTCGTGGTTTACCTCAAGACGAATTTTCACGCGTTATCGCGTTTAAGGTTCGCTTTACTATCCCGGAGGAAATTGAGGGAACTACTCGTAGTTTACCTCAATACGATTTTTCACGCGTTATCGAGTTTTTCGTTCGCTCTGCTATCCCTGAGGAAACTGAGGGAAGTACACCTAGTGTACCTAAACGCGAGAGTCTATTCTCGATATAGAGATCAGCCCTGCCTCGAGAAACGTAGCGAGACTGGCTACCCCGCGCGTGTTTATTATGAGATTCCAAGAGATAGGTTCAGGAAGATAAAGTTGGATTCTTCGGGTTCGTTACGGTGAACAATACAAAAACAAAACAAAACTACATGTAATTCTTAGGGGTAGAAGCAATATTAGCGCGAACTCTCTCGAGAGCGTGGTGCCCTCACATTTTCACAGGGAAACTACTTGTATCACCGAACTCTGACCTGTTACTTTAAGAGAGAAAAGAGCAATAACCAAATACTTACCAAATATGACTTTCTCCTTGGCCGTATGCTGTTTTATGTTCTTGTTGACCAAGTTTAGCTGCTGTTGAGCTTCTCTGTTCTTTGGGTCGATTTTGAGCACAAGTTCAAAGTCTTTCTTTGCCAGGTCAAGTTCGCTGATAGATAATCTGGCCTGGTAAAGGGATGCAAAGGGTATCATTGTTTACTCCTTCTGAATGAGCCATGAACAGAATTAATTAATTATAAGATCGTACTTTTCCACAACATTGAAAGGTCATTGCAAACCAAAGGTCTTTATTTCTAGTTTACCAATGTCATAATTAGCTCTTACCCCAAAACAAAACCAACAAAACAAAACACTCAAGGAAAAATGTCAAGAGGGAATAAGGCGTTTTCTTCCCCACCCCTCTCTCTTTTCATAACGTTTGTCCAGTTTTTTTACTGGGGAAAAGAAGACTAAAACGAACTACAGCTCAATCAGTAAATTCCACTGAGATTAACTTGGTTATTGTGTTCTCGCAATCACTCAATTAAATCGGGCGTGTAAAGAGCTACTCTCCCAACTTAAACGGAAACCCTTCCTTTTGTGCTTTATACTCTGCGCTATGATTGTTTCAATTTAACGTTCACTGTCTTCGCAAGGTCATATCTTAAACATCAAATGAAAATTGTCTTCAAGTGTTGATAACATATGTTCAGAGTAAAGAAACAATAACCAAGTGTCCGACACTCTATTAAAGGTATTCTCATTACTCCCTGCTTCTAATTATTTTCAAGTTTTCTTGATTATCACTATCATGATTATCACTATTACCAAGCTTCTGGGTAGCAAATTCTACCTTTTGAGTATTTGGATGAAATCTGCAGAGGTGGCAATTGTAAATAAAGAGGGATGGTTACACAGCCTGTTGAACGTCTTTTTTAAGACGGATGTTTTTGTTAGCTTTTTTGGGCTTGACTACAAATGTATGCACAACGTAGAACAGCTTTCAGTCAGAGCTGAAAAATCGAATGTCGGTCGTTTCGCCAACGAGTCGTTTCGCCAACGGTCGTTTCGCAAACGTCTCCGGTCAGTTCGCAAACGTGTAGAAGTCAGTTCGCAAACGTTTCGAAGTCAATTCGCAAACGTTATAAACATTGACATGAGATATTTGCGAACTGACCGGAGACGTTTGCGAAACGACCGTTGGCGAAACGACTCGTTGGCGAAACGACCGGTTTCCGAAAAATCCACCAAAAGCTTGCATTGGTGCTTTCGACCTGCCCCATCACTCGTTCTGCAACTAAGACCTAAATTTTACCAAGTCAGCCGAAACAGGTTCTTATAATAAATGATAGTTAGCACATGTTTAGGCTATTTAGGTTCTTAAATGGTTTCTTATTTTCTAAAGACACAAAATACGATGTAGCTAAGAGTATTTAGTGGTTCAGCTTATTCCTCATATTCTGTAATTGAAGTTACATGTATGTAAAAATGACCATAAAAGGAAGAAGTAAAGGATTGACCTCATTGACTGCATTGGCAGTTAAATTGCAGTTAGAGTGATAAGGCAGCTATCTCTCCAAAGAAAATTCTGAATGTTGACTTATCTAATATTTGCCCAAGTGCACAGACTTTTTTCATAGACCTTAGAAAATAAGAACCTGTTTTAAAATTTAGACTAAACAGGTTCTTGTATAGAGGGGGCTTAACAGGCAAATTTTAGCCTAACAGGTTCTTAGTTCCGGGGTTTTACTGTTTTATAAACTGAATCAAGTAATGCATGTCAACTTCAATTTACATTAAGTCTAACTACTTACTTTTCCTCTTCTGAATAGTGCTTTTATGTTCTGTTTTTCAATTTCAAGAGCCTACAATAACAGGGAAAGAGAATTAGTTTTACAATCGCATGAACATGTACTTAACATGTATTTTTTACACATTTTACAGCCATAAGTGACTAAGACTCTTGTTGATGTACACAAGAGTATTTCAAGTAAGCTGTTAAGAACGAGGGCAAGTGCCAAACACCAAGAAACAGCAGGAGGCCATAGGCCGGAAGCTTTCATCTGCTTCAAGGTGTTTGGAGCCCGTGATGAAGCATACAGTCCGAGTATAACAAAAATGCATGGTGTTTTATCTGGTGTTTCATAGGCATCAAGATTCATCCACCTGACCCAAATCATGGTTCCTACAATTTCAGACAAACAAATTTCCAGGACTTTTCAAGAACAAATTACAGTCTTCAAGGAGTAAGATTTATTCGAAAAATTGGCATTCTTTAAACCCTGTGGTGTAAATGATAATTTGCAAACTAAAGCTAGAAACTAGAAACACTTGAACACTGCAAGAGTTGTGTGACGTATCGCATTACATTATGATTCGTTGTATTGTATATGTAGTGTGATTTGACTTTATTGTATGAGCCTGCAATCCTTGTGGTTGCAGTTTGCTGCCATGTTTGTGTTAGTAAGAGATTTGGTGATTAGAGCCTAATATTCTCCAGGCAAATGTCTTCCCTTGTTCACAACAAACCCCTCTTGAACACCTTATTGGCTAAAACATGTCATGGAGTCATTTAAAATTTTTAATTCTTGAGCCATGATTGATCACAGTATTTTATACCACTTTCTGTAACAACACTTTGAAAAATGATTAGGTATGACTTGCAATTGCATCTGAGGTACATAAATAGGATTTAAAATAAAGAAACAGAAGTAAGATATTGCTCGTGCACAAAAATATTTTCAGACCTAATAAACAAATAAAGTACTTTTCAAGGACTTAACCAAAATCAATGTGTTTTCAAGACAACTGCTAAAATTCAAGACCTTTTCAAGATTGTACGAACCATGCAAATGGTCATCATTAATTGGCTATCGACTTCATGAATAATTAGTGAGTGTGAGTCCATAAAAACCATGCTATAGAATATTCAAAACAGTTGCATATTAGTTTTTAAAATACTAAAATACAAAAAACTAGATGTACACACCTTTTCACATTCTTTGATGCATTTGAAGTTGCTATTGAGTTTTAGATGGCAGGCAGCGAGATTAAGATGACCAGCCAACTTAAGTGGATCTCGCTTCTCCTTCTCTTCTTCTTTAAAGTAACCATCTACTAAGGCGATGACCCTGGTGTACTGATGAGCTGCTATCTGGTATTTCCCTTCCTGGTAAAAATATAAGAGTTATATTTTGCATCCATTTTATCTGTCGTGTAAACTCATTGCCATACAGTACCACACCCAAATACACAGGAAAATATACTTTATAACCACATCATATTTAGAACTTGACCATTTAAGACCACAATTTCATTTTTCCCCTCAATAACATGCCTTAACCCGTTTACCTAACAAACATTGCTAGGCATGATGATTTCTGGTCACTATCTAAGCAAAGGGAGACACATATTTTAGACAAACAGTATGTGGAATCTATAATGAATGAATGGATAATTATAATAAACTGGTTCAAGACTTCAGAGATAGTGCATCGTTTTATTACTACAGCTCTGTTTTGTGTGGCCAAAAGATGACCACACTCATCAGGTAATATCAACAATTGACCATTAAATTACAATAAGTGGCAAAAAAGCAGAAATACGGTTGCGATAAGATGTAAAAACAGCATGCCTTTATTTCATCATATAAATCATATGGTTGCTATTTATAATTTGGGAGATTGTGGTACTTTATCATAAAGTTCTTGAGGAGGTATCTGTTTCTGTGGGGGCATGAACCTGCTAAGGGACAGACCATAAGAAAACTTATCGGGGGGGCAGGTGTCGTACAAAAAAATATTCGTGCAAGGGAAAATTAAATGAAAAAAATTCATGCATGCCAATTAATTAATCCTAAAAAATATTCCTGCTAGGGCCTAAAAAAATTCATACAAGGAATTTGATAATGAAAAAAATTCCTGCGGCTCGAAAATTCCCCCCATAACTTTTCTAATGGTCCGTCCCTATCTCATTTCGCTTGTCTAGACTGCACAGATCCATTTTACAGAGTTTATGAGTTTTTCAAAAAGACATAAATTACATTTCTTAGTTACGTTGTTTTAAGGTTTGCATTGTTTGATGATTTTCCACTTAAGTTGAAAGGCTTGTTGTTGTGTTTGAGTGTCCATATGTGCTTTGATAATAATTATTCAGTTTCGTGTCTCTAGATAAATATTATTCGATTAACAACCCTGGGCGCTTATTTAATTTTTGGACCTTGAGAGTGGCCGCTTATTCGAGGTTGGTGCTTTTTTGAGGCTGGGAGCTTGCCAAATTTCACCCTTTTCAGCAATTAGTGTAGTATGTTTATTTTGCAACAAAACACAAAAATGTTAATAACAATTAAATGCGAAGAAGTAACAAAGCAAGGTTTCTGTAAAATACCCTGAAGAAAACTCTCTCCTCGGGAAAGTCTCTTATTAGTACTGTACTTATTCCATTTCAATCACATTGTCGCTCAAGTGGGTGGGGTAGGGCTGGGTGCTTAATTATTTAAGTTTGATTAGGAGGAGGAGGGGTGGGGGTAGGGGTGAGGTGGGCACTTATTCAAAGCTGGGCACTTACTAACTTTTTCTGCTTTTAGGATGGGCACCTATTCGAGGTGGGCGCTAATTCAAGGTTGGGTACTTATTCGAATATATGAAGTATACAAATAAATAAATAAACCAAAACTTCAACATCACCAAAATACAAAGAACTTAATGCTAACCTTAAAGTATTTTGTTCCTTTCTCCTTGGTCAAAGCTGCTAAATTGATCTTCTCATCATTGCTCAATTCCCAGTTTTCTTTGCTCTTAAAAATTTACACAGCAATTACCAGTAAGAGGAAACTTCTTTAAGCAAGAATAATCAAAGTTGATAGATAATAGTTCTAGGAGGGTGAAGTACTGTTATTCAGAATTTTCATAAGGCAATTTGTTGCATTAAAGCCAACGATACTCACATTTTCAAATTTCTTTAGGTGAATGATATATTCTAGTAAGGCCTCTCCAGGAATATCAAACTCTGGCTTTCCTGCTGTGCCAAATCCCCATTTCCCAGGGTGAATCCAAACTTGTGCTTTTTCTCCATTGCACATTTGTGCCATAGCTTCTTCTACACCAGCAAGGAGGCCATGCTCTGAGCCTACAGTCAAAGAAGAATAAATCTGATTACATTTACCCTAGACTGCCTTAAAACATTTGAGCACATTACTGATTTATGATTACAACTTATTATTATAACTATTATTAGTTTGAAGCTACAAAGAAGAGAAGTTTCCTGGTGTAATTTCATTAATTACCACACATCCTCAAAGTGTTCCTGCAAAAAAGCTTCTCCATCCCCAAATAAGTGCCTAGCCCATTTTCTTACCAAACAAGAAAATACAATTTCAATGCCCCTCCCCTCTAACGCTTTTCTTAATAGTTGCCAGTATGTCACAAGGAAAGCCTATCATACAGTGTGAATTTTTTCAAACTTTGACTATACCAGCCTGAAGAAAGGATGCAACTTCTGTAAGCATATGTTGGTATTTATTAACTGGAGTAACGGTAATCATACCTTCGTGAAGCAATATTACCTTCTCTCATTTGAAAAGAGACTTCACGATCTTCAAAGACCTTCCCATTGTACTTTCCAACAATGTGAGCTAAAAATAAAAGCACATTGGATTAGTTTTAAAACTGTTTAGACATGAGACAGATTTCTGTACTTCAGTTAGCTGGCCATGATAGAATTACCATTTCCATCATAAAACAGTCAATTCAAATTATAGCCGATCCTTTAGCTCATATAATCAATTTATCTATCTCTCATGGCATTGTTCCCGACCAAATGAAAATTGCTCGCGTGATACCACTCTTTAAAGCCGGTGATCGATCACTCTTTACGAACTATAGACCGATCTCGATTCTCCCTAGCTTTTCTAAGTTTCTTGAAAAGGTTGTTTATAACCGTCTTTATAATTATTTAAGTAAACTAGAAATTCTATGTGATAATCAATTTGGCTTCAGGAAAAATCATTCAACTTCGTTAGCATTGATTGACCTACATGAAAAAATCTCCCTTGCTCTTGATCACAATGAACATGCCGTTGGCGTTTTCCTTGATCTTTCTAAGGCCTTTGATACTGTCGATCATAATATTCTGCTTGACAAACTCGAACACTATGGTATATGTGGCGTGGCTCTGGACTGGGTTAGAAGCTACCTCTCCAACAGGTTGCAATTCGTTCAATTTAACGGTCAATGCTTCTCTCCTCAAACTATCTGCTGTGGTGTCCCCCAGGGATCCATTTTAGGCCCCTTGTTTTTCTTGCTCTAGATTAATGATTTAAATAATGTATCGACGCTCGTCGAGCTGATTTTATTCGCTGATGATACTTATTTATTTATGTCCCATTAAGATCCTGTCTACCTGGCAGCATCACTCAATTCCGAACTTAATAAATTATCCACTTGGTTTAAGGCAAACAAACTCTCCTTAAACCTGAAGAAAACAAACTTTATGTTATTTAAGCCTAGACAGAAAAGGTATCATTTTCCAATGCAAATATGCATAAATGACCAGAGAATCGAACAGGTTAAGGAAACGGTCTTCCTCGGTGTAGTCCTTGATGAACATCTGTCTTGGAAACCGCACATTTCTCAAGTAGCTTGTAAAATCTCGAAATCAATAGGTGTCATTAATAGAGCAAGATTTTTTCTACCTAAGCCGTGTCTAAGAACTCTTTATTATTGTTAAGTTTATCCTTATCTTCATTATTCTATTATTGTCTGGGGATCTACGTACAAAACCAATCTTTGCCGTCTTGTCTCTTTTCAAAAGCGAGTTATCAGAATTATTTCTCAATCAACTTTCGATTCTCATTCAGACCCTATTTTCAAAGAATTAGAACTACTAAAACTTTCCAATATTAGACAGCTAGAATTGGGTAAACTTATGTTTGCTCTTAACCATTCTCTTTTGCCTTCAAAGTTCAACAATTATTTTTCTTTAAACAAACAAGTCCATAGCTATGCCACTAGACACGCGAACGATTTTCACCTTCCTTCTTGTAGAACAAACCTTTGTAAACTTTCTGTCAGTTTCCAAGGACCTACTTATTATAACTCTATAGAAAATGATATTAAAGAATCTAATTCTCTCCACTTATTCAAAACGAAATTGAAAAAAAAATTGTATATGAATTATTAGTTATAAATCTTGTAGTAAATAGTTATATTTCTTCACATGTCTGATATTATTTTCATTCTTATTGTTACTTGTACCATACTTTATATTCTGTCAACTCAGTCTATGTAATTAGTTAATTTATACTTACCTTCATTGTATTTTACTTTCGATCCTGGCCTTACCGTTAATGTTAACTTTATTTTTACTCTGAGGGAGCCCAATGTCTATAAGCCTCATGGTTTCTTTTTGGGCTTCCTCGCCACTTCCATTTGCTTTTGTGTAACCGTCTTGTTTTATCGTTATTTGTATTTTGTGGTAAATCAAATAAAGTTACAAAGTTACAGTTCTCTGATATGGACAAAGACAGAGCAACTGTCCACATTAAAGGGGTGTCCATTTTATAGAGTTCATCCCAATGATTCACTTTTCCACTGACAGTTTTACAATGTATTAGTATTCAGTAACAGTAACTAAAATCAGGCCTGCACTCATCTTTTAACTGAATCTAAATTGACTGTCATTTGAATGAATACCAATTAATATTATTAAATCCCCTAAAAATTGTGTTAATGATTACTATTTAAAGATTTTGCAAGCAAAATGTACATGTACATATGCAGCTGTAATTTAAGGTTTTGGGTTATGATAATTATCTAAGTATTGTTAGTTAAATACATGTATACAGGCAATTTAGGCAAAATTGCTTTTTAAAGTGATGATCAATACACGCTATTTATCTATTAGCTAAATATTTAAAACTAATGAAACTTTCTAACCTTCACAGTTGGCACCAGTATTGGGCTTGTCATATCCTTCTCCTTTCTGCAGAACTATTTTTGTCACCTGACCATCTTTTGTCAAGTCTTCCCCTTTCCAGAGAACAAGCTCAATTTCAAACTGAAGAGTAGCATCTGGGGGTATTTTCAGGCCACTACCTTCTTTTCCATAGGCATACTCAGGTTTAATGGTGAAGAGACTGGTCTCACCAGCATTCATAGAAGGAACAGCAATGTCCCATCCTTGTATCACTACACCTAAAAACAAAAAAAATGGTGAAGCCTGTTTTAACCCTATCAGTCCGAAGAGGCCAATCTTAAAATTTACAAAAATTCAAATTTACATCTTTTTGTTAAATCCTAAGAAATATATAGTACTATGTGTTATACTATGACTTTGTCCACAGATTTTACAATCATTCCATCAAAAAGTATTCTAGGATTGAAAGGGTTAAGCAGAGTCACGCACATAATCCTCCCTACTGCTTCGTTTTACATAAATATGGAAACAAAGCTGTGCTCTAACCATCCTCGGAGACCCAGGGGCAGATAGTGGAGGCGAGGGAAAGTCTAAACGGGGGGAAAAATGTGGTAGGAAGAAAAGTAAAGAACAGCGAGAAGAGCCCCTGGGGACAATGTCTTACCAGACCAGTTCCAAACGGTCGCCGCCGTTCTGACTTCTGATTGGTACCAGAAAACTTTTGTGTGTTTTTCTCCCCAATCAGAAGGCAGAACGGCGGCGACCGTTTGGAACTGGTCTGGTAAGACATTGTCCCCAGGGGCTCTTCTCGCCGTTCTTTACTTTTCTTTGTGCCATATTTTTCTGCCCGTTTAGACTTTCCCTCGCCCCCACTATCTGTCCCTGGGTCTCTGAGGATGTGCTCTAACAAAATATTTAACTGATTTAGCCACAGAACCGGAACGTCAGTTGATGACACCGCGCGCAAATCACACAACTGGTTAGACCAATAGCAGAGTCGCAAATTGAGCACCGGAAGTCGTGTTTAGTCCTTTCCACACACTTTCCTGTCATCACATGACATTCCCGTCCTGTTGTTAAATCAGCCTATTGAAGGGAGCCCAGTGCCCTGAACTTCAACTAGGGTGCCAAGCATATGATTTCTATGAGAAAACCACGATTTTCCAGTCGCCCAGGAGTGAAAGTTAGGCACCAGACCATGGGCCATGCACCCGAGGAAAAAGAATGTGGCTTCTCCCATTAAGTTCTTTGCAATGCAGCTTGCACGCTACCCATGCCCAATTAAGCTTATTTAACACTTATATTTTTTTGTAATTCGCTTGCGAGCTGGGTGAAGTTTTTCCCATCAAAACCGGCTGACCTGCTCACATTACAAGAATCAAAATTTTAAGACATTTTTTTCCTGTTCTACATATCAGTAAAACACAAGCCTACCCTTTCCGACTTCAAATTCAAACGGTTCTCTTCTCCCGAAGTTTGAATCGAATTCCTCTCCACTGTTGAGAAATGTTCCACGATAAAAAACTTTTACTTTACTTCCAATCGGCGGCTTGCTCCCTTCAGTACTTTCTACCTTAACAATTTTTCGCACTCCACCATCCTTTTCTGGAGATATATCCTCTCCGTATTTTAGCAAATCACTTTCCTTGTCCACGGACATTTGCGAAGCACAGCTTTCAGTTTCTGCCGCCATGTTGAGAAGCAGCCGGCATGAGCCTGCACTGACGTCAGAACTATGTACCCCAGGCTTTTGCGTCCAAATATGGCCGTTCAGACAAAGAGACCCTGGAAATTTTGGAATCCGGAAATTTGTGTGCGTTGTGCTTTTAGCGCAACATGTAGTTACGTAAATGACAAGTGATTAGGCAAAAACATAGAGTAATATATAGACGATTATTAAGGCTGTGTGCAGCCGCTCCCTCCCCTTAATAAAATCAGGGAGAGAGGCTCCTACACAAACCACCCCGGCGGAAATCTTGTGCATAGTGACGTGTTGGGAGAGCGACCCGCAACAAAATATATCCAAATCCGGCTAAATATTTTTCCTGAAGCTTCACGAAGAGAATGCGCAAACCATTCAATTTTCAAACCGGGACTTCTGGTTTTCTCAAGTAAATGGCTAGTACACCTGTACCCTCCCTCCCCGATTTCTTCGAGGGGACTCAGGGGAGGAGGTGGCCATAGACAGGGTGGGTATTATTGTTTGTGAGCATTAATTTGATCCTTGCACGTGATTAGGCAAAATCAAAGAGTAATTTATAGGCGATTATTGCTTTTGAGCATAAATCTCCTTCCGTAACGTATGTCCAAAATTCACACTGATTTGTGATGAAAATGGCGAGCTTGCAAACTACTTTCGTAATATTCAGTCTTTCGGTGCTGTTTGCCTTATTTTCAGATGAGATCAGGGCGTCGAACACGTCGACAAGATTTATGTTTAGCGACAAAACCCCGTACCATTTCAAGCGAAATGCCATAGTTAAGCCTCCAGAATGTGAAGCGGTTCATCTGAATATGGTAATAAGACACGGTTCAAGGTATCCGGGAAGCTACCGGGTGAATAAGATGAAGAAGATGCTGGAAAAGATCAATCAAGTCTTCCCAAGCAATTCTACGATTCATTACAAGGGTCTTTCACTACCTTGGAACATACCAAACGATATCCTGCAAGCCGCAAGCAAAGAGATGTCGGCATTAGGCTCCGAGGAGATGTATTCCATAGCAAGACGCCTTCTTGCTGAGTTTCGTAGCGTGTTGGAACACGGATACTCGAACACTAACTATAGCTTTGTTGCCACCGATAAGCTTAGATCGAGTCAAAGCGCTGTGGCATTTGCCCAAGGGCTGTTCGAAGGAAAAGGAAAAGTAGGTTCAGCGAAATACCAACCAGTTGCCGTAAAATTTTCGGGTTCTTACGATGATGACAGTGTTTTACGAATCTTTGAAGCATGTCCCAAATGGCAAAAAATAACCGAGAGGAAAAGATCACGGTCCGAGCACGCAAAATTTCTGAACGGTCCAGAAATGCGCGAAGTTGTGCAAAAAATCGCTGAAAGGCTAAAATTGCGCAAGAAAATTTTGCTTACCCCTCAGATGGTTGTGGAGATGTTTTTAATGTGCGCATTTGGGATTCAGACGGATAGCGCCGATTCAAGCTGGTGCGAGGTATTTGAGGAAGCAGATTTAAAAGTTCTGGAATATCTCAATGATTTGAAACTTTACTGGGATCGGAGCTACGGCCGTGAAATCAATTATAGAATGGGCTGTCAGCTTTATGCTGAGATAATAGACAGTCTTGAAGGATTTCTTCAGTCTGGAAAGCCTCATGGTATTTTTCGATTTGCTCATACGGGAACTGTAATTCCGCTTTTAACAATGTTGGGTCTCTACAACGATACGATCCCACCTACAGCAGACAATTTTGACCAACAGGCCAACCGAAAATTCCGTATTTCTGATGTTGTACCTATGGGAGGAAATGTCGCATTTTTGCTCTACAAATGCAATAAAGAACGTCCCAAGAACAAAAGCAAAACCGATACTGAAGGAGGAAGTGATTGCGCAGGTCATTGTCATACATCCAAAATAACGATACAAATGTTGGTGAATGAAGCGCCCGTGCCAATACCCGCATGTGGAGGACGGATGTACTGCAGGCTAAAAAACTTTCTGTCCTACTATTCGCACATCAAGGATAACTGTGACATTAGAACAATATGCGGCAGGCGACGAAAATGCAAGAACAGAAGGGGACCTCAGGACTAGTTTTACTCTAGAACAGCTCGCCCCATCCCATGTGAGGTAATATCCAAAACCCTTGTTCCCAGGGTCCTCTCCTTGGCGCTGTCACAGTGATATGGGCATCCCAGCGTTTTCGGCATCCCCATTCCCAAAACCCCGATGATGTGGGTATCCCCTTCTCATATTACCTTAGCGATTTGGGTTAGGGTTAGGGTTAGGGTCAGGGTTACAGATAGGGGATGCCCGATGAAAAGTAGAGGGGACTCTCCTCCTTTTTTAGGGTTTTCCCCACTATCTGAACGGAATGGGGATGCCCAAAACGCGTGGATGCCCACATCACTGTGACAGCGCCACAAGGGCCGAGTAGAAGAGTACCCTGGGAACTAGTTGGTACTTCTAAGACAGTCGTGGATTTTAGAATCCACGCTGTGGATTTCGGATTGCAAGTAAACTAGGGTACGTATCATTTACTTGGAAAATCCGGAAATTCTGAATGGGAATCAAATGGTACGTTCGCGCCATTCCGTTAGTGGAGCCTCAGAAAACATGCGCTGTCCAGCTGATTTGAATATTCATTGTAGCGGGTCGTTGTCCTACCACCTCAAATTTTATAGTTTTTTTTTTCTTGTTTTTGCACACGATTTCTTCCCGGTTGGTTTGTGTAAATGGTAAGCACCCCGGACCTGGATTAGGGATTTCTTGTCAATGGAACTTGCATTCTGGATTCCATTCGTTAGGTGAATTCCATATTCCAAAGCCCAGGAGTCCGGATTCCACAAGCAAAGAAAGTCCGGATTACCTATACATGGGGCGAAACTTGACGAGCCAAATCGCTCGCGGCAGCCATGCTTGATTCATACAAAAGGAAATTATTTACATATCGAAAACTAAGGGTAAAAGTTGACAAAAGCAGGCTCCTGACAAAAGCAGTTAGATAATATAATGCATGTGAAAATGTTCCTCCTATATGGCTATATGTTTTAATTAACCGCGAACTGTGATACACAAGTCAATTTTAAGTCGCCACATAACCTAAATGAGAAAAACAAACGACCCATTTTATAAGTTCATCAGTAATTGTAAAACGAAGTTTCTAGCAAGACAATTTCATTGAAATTATAGACTACCTAAGTTGAGCTCAACTTTATTAAAATAAACAATTTCTTCAACAACCTATATCAGGATTCGATATCTATGCATGCTACGTGTTCGATAGTGTCAGTCTTCCCGTGGGATATCTGTAAAATGTCTAACCGTATGGCTAAGTGTATTTACCACGTATTAAAAATAAAGCGTCCATTTCAATGTCCAAATAAAAAAAATCTAGGATGTCAACGCAGGGGGGGCTTTCATAAAAAAAACAATTAAGTTTACCTGGATTAGTTGCCTCGGATCAACTTGACTTTCTATTTAAAACCAACAAATGATTGCCCTGTGCTGATCAGTCATTTTGTTGTTGTTGTTGTTTTTTTTTGCTTTCTTGTTATAGGCCGTTGGACATGCGGTTTCCCGCTAAAAAACAACAGCTACCATACGATTTCCCGCCAAATAAACCACGGTTGCTAAAGAATCGTTGGGAACCCCTGGTCTCGATAGGGCCGAGAGTCACGCTAGAGTGAGGGGCTTGTTTGGATAGTCGCACTTCACCATGGCCTGCTGGCCTAAAAGGGGAAGCTATAAGGGAGAATTCAGGCGCGCGAGGAGGGGAAAATAGGGTAGCCTGCGTAGCAGGTGTCGAAAAGGGCAAGGCCGTAAGGGATCACGGGATGGGAGGGTAAAAGGGATGGGGATTGGGGACTGGGGAGAGAGGGTAAGGGACTTTCCTTTTTTCTTTCCCGCTTTTCTCCCTCTCTCCCTCCTTTCCCTTTTTTACCGGCTGCCACACAGGCTAGAAATAGGGAAATGTGAGATACAGTTAAAGGGTTGACAATTTCTCAAATTAGGAAATGGGCCGAGATAACAACTGACCGTGAGATACAGTTAAAGGGTTGACAATTTCTCAAAAAATTTTTTGAAATTTGCACTTTTTGAGATAACAACTCTACTGCCTTGGGAATTCATTTCTGTGAAACTTCGCTTATTTTTAATTTCAAAACGAGGCTTGGTGGTGAAATTTGCTTGTGTGACGTAAACATGCATAAGGGCTATTCTTATGGACGAATCAGGCTTGGACTACTTGATTAGTTTGTGTATAGTAGATAATAGCTCTCGTTAATATTTATAGTTTACTCAAACAGAACTTAAAATCGGGTAATCAAGCGGCGACAGCAACGAAAACGTTAATCTAATTACCAAAAAAACAACTTCGCAGGTGCAGCAGACGTTTTTGTACATTTCTTTGCCGTTGTTTTGCATGACTACAACGTGAAACTTCCAGAAACATCCCAGTAGGCCTAGCTACAAATATCACGTAAAATCGCCAAAATATGCCTCCGGAACTTCCTGATATTTTTCCTAAATATCTTGCTCCCCCACCCCCTCCCTAAATATCGGAAAAAATTCTAAATATCCCAAATATTCCCTTAACATTATTCTATAAATATCGACTTCATAAACTGATAAACTGATAATCACTAGGAGCTGGCGATCTTAGTTTGTCTGAAAGCGATGCTACTGTGCTTTCTTTACTCGGTTCTGCTGTACGAACCGCTTCAGGTTCGGCAGGAACCGAAGCCTCCGAACTTGCAGCATCTGCCATTTTGTTCAGGTTGAACTTACTAATAAGACTCATGGGATATAATAAAGGAATTGAATTAACTTTAAAAACCGTGGACGAAGATCCTGCTAGTTGTAAACGTTGGATCTCTTGAAGAGATCTAATCAGCCAAAAACGAGAAGTCCAAAGACTACTACAAAGCTGATTCAGAACAACGTGTGTTGTTCTTTCATAACAATATTTCGGCTGGCGATACCAGCCCTCTTCAGGTTTACAGATGTTACTGAACTTATGTAGCAATCACAATACTATATAGATGGAGAATGTCGCAATAAAGATTGTTTAAAAGGGAGCGTCGGAAATGACGTACAACACACAGAAAAAAAAAACTAGTGAAGAAAAAACTATAACAAGGATATAGATTAGAATAGTTCGTCACACGGCGGGTAAGGCCATAGGTTCAAGAGTCATGGCCTTATCTATCAAGTGCGACTCCCTAGCTTTACGAACTGAGTCACGTGAAGAATGAATTTTCCCTAACCGGGGGATTAACTGCATGTCAGTATGAGAATGGTTAGAGTGAGAGAGAAAGTGTTCAGAAACATTAGTGGGTTTAGACTTAATGTTAGTTTTGTCGACTGCACGTCTGTGCTCGTTAAATCTGTCCTTGAGGCGTCGCTTATTTTCACCTATATATTGTAAATTACAACGGTTATATTGGCCATGCAGATCACGTGTTTCACTTTTACAAGTATAACTTGTGAGGAGATTAGTAATGTATGGACAAGTGGTACAATTGACTCTTGAACCTAATGGCCTATACTAACCGCCGTGACGAATTATTGTAATCCGTATTCTTGTTATTTTTTCTTTTCTAGTTTTTTTTTCTGTGTGTTGTACGTCATTTCCGCCCCTCTCTTTTAAGCAATCTTTATTGCGACATTCTCCATCCATATAATATTGTGATTCCTACATAAGTTCATTAGCATCTGTAAGCCTGAAGAAGGCTGGTATGGCCAGCCGAAATATTGGTATTATTTAAAAAACAACACACGTTGTTCTGAATCAGCTATGCAGTAGTCTTTGGACTTCTCGCTTTTGGTCCATGGGATAAAATATACGTAAGGAAAACCGCTGAATAGGGCCACTGCTGTTACTTAATTGAGCCTCAAGGTAGATTTCATCTCAATTTTTAAAGAAAAAAACTTGTGTGAACTCATGAAGTAATTTAATAACCATAGGAAAATCCTAAATTTAATCATTTTTTCAACGTTTTTCCTTATATAATACATCGTAATTTTCTAAACTATGATCGGGCCAAAAGTTTCTAAAATATCTAAAAAAACATCCGGATATTTGTAGCTAGGCCTACTTCCTAGTTACACGATGGAAGACTGATGTCGCATGTGTTCCTGTTAACATTTCGTTTTCGCTGCCGCTCATTAGTCATTTTCACCTTGCTGGCCGCTAGCATCTCCCATCTCTCACCGCCGCTATAAAATTTTCACGTTTTGGTCTCTTTGTTTTTTATCTCTCGCTCCAGCTCTTTCTCTGTTATCTACGTTAAGAAAGACATTAAAATTCAGTCGAAAGAAAGAATCATCTTTATTGTTGTTGTATTTTTTCTCTGTAAAAGTCAGGGTAGCCATGCGATTTAACGGGCGGATGAAACGCGCGGGTCGGCTTGAAATGCAAAATTTCACCGCGGCTTGCATGAAGGGCCCATGAAGGTCATGAAGGGGTGGATCAGACGTACAACGTTTACCTCATTCGTATTTTCTCTAATGATAATAATAATAAAGTAAACAAGGAAAAGAAATTGAAAAGTGTGCTTATTGCTAGGCATTTTTAGCCGCAACTAGCAGCCAACCAAATTAAATTGCGGGAATAAATGATAAAAGAAGGAACTGGAAAATAAAAAGAGAACCGCTTAAAATCTAAACTTTTCCATTTTTTTTTTAATTTGAAAAGAGAAGGGACGACCGGAAATACGTCTGTGTTCGCTGGGATGGGGTGATATTGTTGATGGTGTGACCATGAGCACGTGAAAACGAAACAGGAAAAACCGGTTCTGCCTGGTAGTGATGACGCTATCAACACGTGACGAAATTTTGCTTTATACTCGAAAGCCGGCTCATTACGGCATCACTTTCATGGCGGAAAGTGGAGTGAATGTTTCTCTAATAGGACTTTACGAAAACAGAACTTTTGCCGGTTTTACGCACTTTTTTCGTTATATCACGCAATATTGAACAGCCGAGGTAAGTTCGAACATTCTTTTGCTTGTCCCCGTCAAGTTTTCCTTGTCAACCCACAGAAATTCGGTTAACGTAGAGTTGACCTTTGTATCTTCGAATGCTGCCGCCGAGGCTTTCAGTAAACAGTTTTTTTTCATAAATTTAGAAAAGTACATACTTCGTTTTATTGGGAAATGATTATTTTTTACAGTTCTTTCTGTGGTTTTTGGTTCTACAATGAGAGATCTCGCGTCCAGGTGGACGAAGCTCAAGCTTGAGATTCTCAGCACTTCATCCAATTTTATTTTATTTTCGCGCGGTTTCAGAGCGGAAAATATGTACCTTATTTCTACCTCAAATATTTTGTTGATATGAAAGGTGCAATTTTTTTTTTACCTGACAGAAGTAATTCCGCTTTCTGCTTTTAGTACAGTGAAAATCTGAAAAGTTATTTACGCCGCGAAACTCGCAACCGAAATTTTTATGCTAACAATTCTTGGTACCACCTTGTTCGTGTCGGCCGAAAAATAAACGTTTTCTGAGTCGCTGGGCCGCTTGGAATGATTTGCTATAGGAACGCGTCTTGGACCACTGTGGAAACTTTGGAATTTCTGAGCTTGTTCGATCAGCGAATATTTTATTGCACAACATCTCAATTTGTTTATTTCAAGCGTTTTGTTTATATCCGGTAACTTAATTACCGTATGCATGATTAAGCCAATAAGGCCAGTTTTGTTCGTGTCGGCCGAAAAATAAACGTTTTCTGAGTCGCTGGGCCGCTTGGAATGATTTGCTATAGGAACGCGTCTTGGACCACTGTGGAAACTTTGGAATTTCTGAGCTTGTTCGATCAGCGAATATTTTATTGCACAACATCTCAATTTGTTTATTTCAAGCGTTTTGTTTATATCCGGTAACTTAATTACCGTATGCATGATTAAGCCAATAAGGCCAGTTTTTAGACTGCATTGAATAAATAATTGTTGACCAGGGTTCTTTCATACATCTTCCTTGCCGCAGTTTGATTTTGTTGCATTGGATTAAAAGAATATGGCTCTTCGTGGATGCACAAGAAAAGTCTCAAGTTTTCTCCAAGTTCAAAGCAGGTGTCTGAGGAAATCGATAAAAACACAGCCTTCTTTTTCAGGTAATGCTTATAACTTACATCATTTATCATTTTATAGGCAAAATGGGATTCACATTTTGGTGGTTTGCTGTTTAGGTATCAAGAGGATTATTATTCTTCTGGCTCTTTGTGTATGCAGTGAACAAAAAAGTCTAAACTGATGACATAATATCTTGGCTTTAAATGAAGTTTCTTGTATTGTTCTTGTACCTTTAATCAAATGGACAACTCCTAGTGAAAATGAAAAACTGTCAGAATGTCGACTTTCAATTTACTTTGTTGGATTTGGCATCATCAGTTAAAAGTTTGTTTTTTGCTTGGTTTTTGAAATCGCTTTACTTTAGTACTTATAACTTGTACTTTAGCACTAGCTTTTATCTGATTGGAAAACTTGTGTAGTTTTACAAGCTACCTGTAGATTGGATTAAGGTCAGTCTTGTGTCAGTATCAATGGCCAGTGCAAGTTGTCATCATGTTTGAAGTTTGCAACATGACATGAACTTAATTTAGCCCTAGGGTAAAGCTGGAAAATTCTGAAAAATTGCCAGAAAGGAAAAATAATATATGCACTGGGAATAGTTCCATTAGTCAAGTGGACAGGGTTTTGGTAAAAAAAAAATATAGTTAGACTTCTGCCTAAACTCACAAGCCAGCAGTTCTAAAACCAAGATGTCAAAGAATAAATTCATACTTTCTACAAGAACCAGCTAGCCAGGTCCACTATGCAAATATTATGAAAAGTAAAATAATAATGCCAGGGGCATTTATTTTAGAAAATAGCACTGTTTGTGAGTAGTCTGTAAAGCCAAATTCAATGTAGCACATGTCTGTCTAAAGCTAACCTGTTTACCTTTTGATTTGTAGGCTTGTCAGCTCAATGTGTGTGGCATCAAAGCCTTGGGTTTGGTTCAAACAATGATGGAAGACTTGTACTTGTAACAAAGAATTCAGAGTAGGTTGATGAATTTTTTGGCTAACAATATTTTTGATCATGTGTGCATTGTACATTGTTGTGAAAGTTTCAGTTTTCTTGGTTTACTGCTAGTCTCAGGACGAAGTGAAACCAATATTATTGGTCAGGTTAAAGAGCTATAATAAGTTTAAGATTAAACTAATATGTAAAATAACCTTTTTAATGTCATAGGAAATATTTGTCAATGGGATTTTTCAGTTTTGTTTTGGCTATATTAGAGCGATTAAGATTCACGTTTATGCCAAATGGCCAACCTGAATTTGTCCCACGTGACCAAGTTTTTTCCCTAATTGTCTTTAACTGTTTATTACTTCAACTAAAAAATGTGTAGTTTCAAGCCAGTTTTATACATAAGAATTTTCTGGACAGTTTTTATCTGCTTATTTTCTATTCTGAGAAATTTTCAACTTGAATCTGATGTTGACCATTTGGCATAAACGTGAATCTTAATGTCTCCATTATCCAAATTGGAGCAACATGTTGCTTCCCCACTGAGGATGCATTTTCTACCACATGATGTCGCACAGTTTGCAGGTGAAGCATGGAAGAGCTAACAACTCTGTGTGTGGGATATTTTTAAAGCAAACAACTATTCCGTACCAAAAAGCCTTTAATAGAGAAAAGCATCAGTTCCAAATATCCCAATGCAGATAAGGCACCAGTAGAAGTGGAATTGAAGAATAAAAATATTGGGGGCAAAAAAAGGGGAAAGCAAACTTTGGCCTTCTCGTAAACAGTTGCAAATTTCTTCGACTTACATTTGATTATTATAAATGCATTGCATCACACGGTTAGCAGATCAAGCCCTGGTAAAAAATTATTAATTTTTAAGTAGTAAAAGTAAAAACAGTTAATGCAATTTTTGTTTCAGTTGCACTTTAAGTGCAATAAAGGCTTACACTATGATGAGTTTTGGCCAAGTTTTATTAAGTTATGTTGAAAGGAAACGAAGTGCTTCGGCAAATTTGGAGCTTTATAACAGCTCTTTAGAACACATTTGTAGTAACAGAAATTCAGCTTAAAGATGACTTGTTGGTGGCAGTGCTCAAGTTTTCTCAAAATAAATTCTTTCTTTCTTTTTGGTACAATTCACCTACTTCGCAACAGTGTAACTTAATAGGCAAGATCAATTCTTATTTTTGACTCCTAACATCTAAATTTTCTATCTTACATCTTGATCTATCTGTTTTCTTTCAATTGGTTCAATCTGAATATATTTCAATGTTACTAATTTGTTTTTCTACAATGTTTTCAAGCAATAACTGCTTCAGGTTGCAATTTCTCACAGAATTTTTTCACTTTAAAACTTTTTTAGGTAAACCATGGTATGTTACAACCTTCCTGAACAAGATTCCCAGAGGAGTTAAAATAAAAATAATCCAGACAACGTTGTAAATTAGAACACTTTGTCTTGCAGATTGTAAAGCCATGAGCAGGGTGTTTAGTAAGAGCATAAAGTTCTGGACTTTACAAATTTAATAATCCCAAAATCATCATAACTTCATTAAAACATACTACTCAAATTACCAGTGACATTCTGCGTGAAAATGTGCAAATAAAATCTGGACTGTGCTTGTTTTGAGGAAAATGTAGAACAGGGTTAAGGAGGGTTTACACCAAGACCAAGGCACTTAAAAACAACCAGCACTTAGAAAAAGCCCTGCACTGTTTTAATTATTACCTGATCATTGCTGTCGGGAAAGTTTGTAGATTGTGATAACACTGTAACGTTAAATTTGTATAATGTTTGAGCATTTTTCAGCTCAAGTTTTTTTCTGAAGAGCTTTGTAAATGAACAGTCGTTTGTATTTGTGCCGTAACATGCCTAATAATTGAAAAGTGCACTTGCTGTTTGTTGCTATTCAAAATGCATGTAAGATGGGGTGAGCTTACATTTATTTTCCAAATATGGCACCATGCATCAAATGGTTATTTAGTTTTCTTTAAGAGTTGCTTTTTAGTCATAGGGGACTTCATGTGTACTTTTTAAAAGGCAAATTTTGGAAGGAGAATCTCTACCTGTAGCAGTTTATCAGAAGTCACTTGAAGCATTGTTCTATCAACTTATATTTTGACTTTGCTGTTATCCAAAACATGTTGATGTAAATTTGATTAGTACTAAATTGAAAGGGGGTCAAGGCACTGTTATGAGGGTGTAAGGTAAGTATGTTGTGCTGTAATTAACAACCTCTTTGGTATATATTTGCAAGAATCATTAATTTGGATTGGTCATTTCGAATGAGTCATGAATAATAATTTTGTTAAGTTTCTATTGATTGCTGTCTATATATTTTTGTTGTGATTGGATGAGCTATTGTTGTTCTGCAGAATAATAACAGTGTATTTCACTGGTATATTTTGTGATGGAGGTTGTTATACTATAAAGGTCACTTGTACTACCATTAATACTCTAGTTATATGCTTTAAGGCCTGCAAGCACTGCTTGTTGAAGGCCATCTGTTATGTGGTGCTGACCTGTAATTATCAACAGGCAATGCACTGATGGTTATGATTACAACAAGCTCTTTGGTCCTCCACCCGAAGCAGAACAATTAGTCAGATCATCGTCTTTGAAACAACCATACATTGACAGGGACCTTTGGAGAGAAGGTCGTACATTACAAGGTATTAAAGGGTTTTAATCTTGTTTGGTGGAGAGGAGGAGTAAAACAACTAATTAGCGAAATAATACAATAACTCTACAATAATAACTCAATTATTTTTACTAATATTGACTATAATATTAAATATATTCATCTTTTAATATTCTCAAAAACTCATTTTATCTTTGTGCACTCCTTCAGTTTTGTACATCTTTTTCAGTCATTTTTTTGGTAAAAGCTGCTAATTATTACTTTATTGATATTAATATTTTTATAGTAAACTTTCCCTTTGCATGTTTAGGAAGGTGAGCAAATTGTTACCTCCTCCCTGCATAGAGTAAATAATAAATTTTGCTTGGCTGTGCATTACATGAGCACAGCAAGTCTCATGAGAGTGTTGGGTGGTGTCAAAGGATAGTGTGTGTGCAAGAAGTCCTGTCTTGTCATCAGTGGCTTTTTGACATGTCCCTTCCCCCCTGTTTGTTTTGCTAATATTGGTTGCCTCCTGCAGGTAATGCCCCTTGGGCAAGACCACTGCTTCCTCGTCGTGGTGGTTATTCCACATGTTTTTCATCCCTTGCTGGCGATGGGCAGAGCTCTGGGTCATCTGCATCTGCTGACTCCCTTGATCCATCTCTTATCATATTTGACAAGGATGGGACCTTAATTGACGTTGATTCTGTTTGGATACCATGGATGGAGAGCTATGTACGTGAACTTGAAGCTGCAACTGGGCTGGATCTGGCAGACAAACTGTACCAACAAGTGGGGTTCTGTCCGAAGACTCGCGCTTACACGGATGGAGGTCTGCTGGCCCATGCTACTATAGCTGAAATCATGAAAGTATTTGTCTCTGTTCTAGTCAACTGTGGTGTGAACAGAGACAGAGCAGAGAAGCTGGTCGACAACTGTTGTAAGGAGTTTGATAGTGGAAGTCATGACACGCTACAACCCTTGGGTGATTTGCCACTCATTTTTGAAACACTAAGGGCAAAGGGGGTGAAGACTGCTATATGCACCGCAGATAGCCGGGAGGGCACTATGTCAGCTCTTGACAGGTTAGGACTGATGGAAATGGTTGATAAGATTGTATGTGGAGATGACAAAGATACAAAGCCCAAACCCCACCCTGAAACTGCTCTTGAAATTTGTAAAGAGTTGAATGTCTGCCCAACACAGACTGTTATAATTGGGGACACATATGCTGACACCACAATGGGTCGCTCAGCAGGGCTGGGCCTTACTGTTGGTGTGCTCAGTGGGGCAGGTAGTAAGACATTCCTTGAAAAGGAGGCTGATGTTGTCCTCAACAATGTGGATGAGCTCCTTGATACATTATTTCCAGAAGAGTCTTCTTAAGTCGATTCTCCTTTCTTTTTGAGGGAATTTGGGTAAGTGATCCTTTAAATTCATTTTCAGCTTGGTGTTAATTTTTTCTTGTTGATGTGGATAATAATAATTATTTAACTCCATAGTTATTGTATAGGATACATGTAGATGTAATAATTTACATGTTATGTATTATAACCGTTTGTCATTTGACATCTAGGGTGGGTGGCCATGTTTTCAGTATGAAATGAGTGTTAGCTAGGTGGAAGTTAGCCTGCATCACAGACATAATCTATCCCTGTTAGTAATGTCTGCGAATTAGTTCCAAAATCCTTTTTCTGGGACCCAAATGGACTTAATGAATTACTTAAAATGTGTTTTGAATTTCCCTTTAACCTGATCGTAAAACCAACAATAATTTGTTAAAAAGCTGATCGTGCTACATTACTACATACTCAGATCATCGTACACAGGTGGGAACCCAGAGCAAGGATTTGTTGCTGATTCGCAAATGGACTTTACGAGAGGTTTAGTTTTGTCTGTGGCATAGGCCAGTTACAAGTGAAATTCAAAATCTTTCCTTAGTTACATTGTTGATTGATAGTAAAAACTCATATTTATTTAACAAAATGCCTTTCATGTTACCTGAAATAGAAATAAAAATATTTATTGTCATTTTACTATAGTTTAATATGTGCCAATTTCATAGTACTCAGCTGGAGTATTCATTGGATGCATTTGCAAAGTAGCGTGTTGCACATACACTTGTATCCATAACATTTTTTGCCATATGGAATTTCTTATTGTTTTCATGCTTAAAGTAAAAACTGCTGTAATGCAAATGAATAGGCTTTCATTCTACAGCTGTAAGTGCTTACATAACTGGACAGTGCATGAGGATTATATTGTAATCAAGTCTGTATGGTTTTATACATGTTAATGTGTTATAAGTCCCTGCAATATGAAACCATTAAGCTATTTTTATTTCAACTTTTTACAATCAGTAACTTATTCATATTATATAACAAAAAAATAATTATTATTTATTATACTGTGCTGCTGGTTTTTTTCCCTGGTTTGGAATCAAGGAAATTTTCGGGTAACTGAAAGATTTTGGTGATGTTCAAATGAACTGTGTAGATAAGAATTGATTTTGAAATGAATTTACAAAAGCACCCATGTGAAAATATCTAACCTTTAGAGCAGTTTTCAACTAAGTTTCAAGGCTTACTTTGCCTAATTATGTTTCAAATAAAAATTATTACAATAATTATTAGCCCCTGCAGTTACATTATAATTTAAACCAACCTTCCTGCATAAGTTTTCCTATGCTTGGCCGTAGACTACAAGAGCAGCAATGGTGTGAGGGCATACTTGCAAAGTAGGAAAAAACGAGCAACACAGTCACAAGAAAAGTAGTCTCCTTTGCAGCCTTTATTAGGGTCGTCAAGTAAGTGAACGTGCACTGAAAGAGTCTTGGTCGGCCAGGGCTTCTTTTGCCTCCTACAATTTTCATTTTTTGGTTTAACTGGTTTTCCGTTTTGCCAGCATAATAATAATATTTAAATTGGTTGCTACTTTTCAACCTCAGTCATAACTGATCAGTGGCTTGTAATGTCTTGTTATGCTGTTAATTTAGAGATATTTTCCATGGGTTACTCCCACTACACTGGTGTGAACCTTGGGTGTAATATGATAATGGTGAATTTTAGGGGAGTTGTCAACTCCTTGAGTATCTGTCATCCGTTTTATGGTTTGTCAGGTGCAATAATTATTAATAGTGTGTACACATATGATATTCTGTTTTTAGAAAAAAAAGGACTAGAAAGAAAGCAAACTAAAGGATCACTATTTATTGCCCCATGGCTACTTCACTGTATTGGCGGCAATTGAAAATTAAGACTCTTAGAACTGGTAAATAGTTAGACTTGAAGTAAATTCGATAAGGCAGGTTGTACGCTGAAGGCTATTACCTTAAATTTTTAAACATTTGTACCTCTGAATCACTTTCTTATTAAAACGTATCTCTCTAAATGACATTTTGTAAATGTTGTCCTCACATTACCAAAGATACAAAGGCACAAGGTTCTCCTGCTGCCTGGCTTAAGCTTTTTAGCGAGGGATGGGAGGAACAGAAGGCACGAGGAAGGTTAGGTCTGATCTTTTCTCCTTTCCATCCTTGAAGGGCCGTTCACAGGCTAGAATCGTGGACATGAGACTAGAGATTTAGTCCCCGTCTCCCTACCCAAATCAAAGATGGGAAAATGGCGCGTTTTGGCCTTCGCTCTGGCGTTGACCTGTCCTCAGACGCTTTTCTTTTTTTCCCTACGGTAATCCGCACGAGGGAAAAAAAAGAAAATTCTCCGATTTTGTCTTTTTAGCAACCCTCCACTTTGCGCTCGCGGTGAATAAATGCCTCGCGGTTTTTATTTTCATACGCCCGCTCGACGATACCCTGGGTAACAGGCCCCGGTTGTTCAAACGTGCTATCCACTGGATAGGATAAGTACTAGGGAAGCCACTTGCGCCAACCACTGGATATAGAGACGGGAGAATTATAGATTTATCCGGTGGACAGCGCTATCTTGCCTTGTCCCCGTAAAGACTTGACTTGACCTTCACCGGAAACCTCGCATAAAAAGTTTCTAGCACCCAGATAACTCGGCGATCTCTCTAAGGTCTATTAAATGAGGCTTAGCCGTTGCTTGATTTCAGATGTGGGTGGGGGGTGGGGGAGGGAAATAGGGGATTACTGTTCATTTAATTCTGTTGAAGCAATCTTGGACAACAGTACCCTGGCTTCCAGAGGATATTTTTTGCTAATCGATACTGATGGTTCGCGCCGAAGCCTAGTCAACGAGGCGTGGCTTATCAAATACCCTAGGTATTTTGAGAACGGACCTCTTGAGCCAGGGTACGACAACAGAGACGAAAACACAAAAGACAGCAAAACAAGTCAGGAGCCTATCAAATTTGATGGGCTCCTGAACAAGTGTGTTTTTTTCCTTTAGTGCAGAACTGTGCGCTGGGATGAGTGGGCACTACCAAGAATCCTCAGATTGTTTTGAGTTCCCAAAGACTTTACTGATTACTAAGGACATACATTCAGCGATACCCCGGGAGTGAGTGATACTTGCTAAATTACCTACAATACCAAATTATACACTGAAGCACACGTACCAAGTCCGCGATGTGGCCAGTACTCTTACGCATGCGCATAACTATATCACCCCAGCTGTTGCAGCAGCCATGGGCAGCTGTTTCGCCCTTATTGGGGCTTATCAAATTTTTCTAGCTACCTTAACCTCCCCCTCACTTGAAAAACCGAGTACTCTTCCTGTGGCAGTGCTATCTTTTCCCATCATGGCCATTATTTTGTTATGGCGGGCAGAAAGCCAACAGGTTAGGTGGAGATGGTGGGTGTGGCCATTTTTGTTAGGATAAGGCCGTTTTTAGTTCGTTAGTTTTGTTTAGAGTGCCATCATAGAAATCAACAAAAAGCCCCCCCCCCCCCACAAAAAAAGTCGACAACAATTTTCCATCCAGATCACGTGGTCATAGGGACCCAGCCACGCTCTCTTTGTCAAGTGATTGAAAAAAAAAACAAAGCAAAACAAAACTTAGAAAGAACCATAAAAATGAAGGGAAAGTAGAGCTCGCCCTGATACTCATTAGTAGCTGTTTATCTCCCGGACCGGACTACAACTACCCCCATTGTTTTGTTTTTGTACCCTCAGTCCCGACCCTCACCCACTAACCCCCCACACTATATGTGCTCAAAAACAGCTGGCTGTCGTTTTGTTTTCAAGCAGCAATACGTTCAAAGAGGTTAAATTAATTGAGGATGGAATGGAACCACAAAAGCAGAGAAGAGAAATAACGAAAAGACGAAGACCCAAAAAATCTCCACCGTATGAAAAGATATGGCGCTTTCCCCCCGGCCGAGCCCTTCCGCGCTCACAGAGCAATCTTCCCACAATTCTCTGCAGTATTCATTAACAACTTGAGCTAAAACGGGGTTACACGATACTAAAAGGTAATGTAAAATCCTCGAAAATAGGTAGTTATACTTCTGCTTTGCTCTTCAGGTAAGAACATTTTCTTCCTTCTACTGGTTTTTAATTGCATGAACCTATGACAAGTTTAGATCGCGTTGTCTGAGTATTGATTCAACTTGCTTCTCCCTCTCTTTCGAAACTCAAAGAAGGAAATAGAGACCTTAAGATACCCCGATATCGGTGTACGGGTACAGGTAGTGTACCCGTACAAGTAAAATGTTCATGTGCGTGACTATTTCCATTAAGATACCCGAAGAACAAGCACGCAAAATTAACTTTGTACATGCATGTCGCTTAATGCATACAAAATCTCCCTCAAATTCTACACTTCATATCTTAACAACAAGCTGCAACAAATAATTCATTCATACATAAGCTTATTGAAATATCATAGAAAGATTTTAAGAAACTTGGCGGGAAGTCCCTCGACCGAAAGCTTGTTATCGCAAACCCCGCCATTTGATCGAGGCACATCACCAAACAATTCCTTTGATTGTCAACTTCAACAGTGACTCCCATGCTAAATTTTTCAATGCTATTTCTTTTGCAAAACTCAAACGTTTGAGAAATTCTCAGAAATTCCCCCAAATACCGCCACAAATTGATATCGTGCCAGAGTTCAACCTGCGCACGTGAGGTCCAAAATCAATACATTTTGAAGCGCTTTCTTTACAGCTAAAATTCAAATTTGGCAAAAATATTTGAACAGACTTGCAATAAAATTGCCAAGGAGTCATACGATTTACATTTGTACTTAAAAAGTCTTAAAAACTTACTCGTTTCTCCATCATGTAGGACTTGCAGCTACTCGTAAATCTTCTACGGGTAAACTGGTGTCTACCCCGGAAAAACGGCTGGTTCTACCGGGTAAGGTCGATGACGTCACCACAAAATGAAAAAAACATGGCGCTACTCGTTACCCGTACACCGATTTCAGGGTATCTTAAGGTCTCTAATTTTGATCTTTCACTTTCGTTTTCCTTTAAACGTGTCAGGTGCGCAGGAGAGAGAACGACTGGAAATCAAAAGTATTGCTTCTACAGTCTGTAGCTTTCGGTCTCCAGACACACACACACACACCTGTGCAAACTTTTGTCAAACTTGGCCGGTTCTACACGTTGGGGTCAGATGGTCAGATCATGTGACCCTTATCTTTTTCTACATACTGCAAGAAATCGAACCATCTTGTTGCGATAGACTGTTTCCATTTGAAGACAGCCCTTATGGGTTGTAATAAAGGACAACGCTGTCACCAAGATTTTATATTTTTGGATATGCATTTATTATGCACATGTCATCGGCTTGCCCTTGGGATAGACACCCTGGCCAACCAGGGGAATATGCCAGGGAATACAGGGGGATAGATTGGATTCTCTGCCCCTGTGTAGGGGAAAATTCACGACATTGTTTTAAGCTCAAAGGAAAGAAGGTGGGGGAATTGCAAATTTTGTAAAATCGTGCACAGTAACGATGCACGGGGATATCATGGGGATTTATCGCAAAAAGGGAAAGGAGAAGCACTGCGTCTCTTAAGAACTAAACTCAGTTAGAGAAAACTTTGAACAAAGCAAACAAGACCTTGAACAAGGCTTACCTTTTATGCTGTAGCTATAAGGCCTGTAACCGGTCAAGGTTTTCAAAACACTAAATGACCGACAGTCCGGTATTTTCAATAAATTTGACTTATCTAAGAATCCCAGTCAATCAAAACTATCATTATGTTGATTAAGAAAAGTCCAGCGATCCTGAAATGCTCTCAAGTGTAGAGTTTGGTTTACAGACAAGACCTTGAACAAGGCTTACACTTTATGCTGTAGGTATAAGGCCTGTAACCGGTCAAGGTTTTCAAAACACTAAGTAACCGGCAGTCTAGTATGTTCCAAGTTTCAGCCAACGAGGGAATTATGGGTTAATATTAAAAGTAACCTTGTCGAGTTTTTATTTGAAAAACTTTTTGAAATTTGTGCTTGTCTGATTAATGCCTGAAAGCAAAACACCTTGATGTCACAACCATGGTCACATACTCTCATGCAAACATGCCTTTCAGCTAATCAGAGCATGCATATTATCTTAGTTATTTTATAAATAAATTTTAATATAAATTATAAATTATATTGGAAGCCTTGTTAAATACAGGCATACACGGTATAGGCTAAGAGGCGAGGGCTTGAATTTGGAATTACCTAACTTTAATCTTAAATTTAAGAAGAATTCTTTCACTTATTCATTAGCTAAGTTATGGAACAGTTTGCCTTCTCAAGTGTGTCTTTCAAGTGATGCTAATGACTTCAGAAGTAGATTGCACAACTGCAGCTTCTTAGAACGTGTCTTATAGTGCACGATTGTAGCTTTTAACTGTTTTTAGAACAAGTATTATAGTTTTCCCAGTCATGTTTTTAGTATGTGGCTTTTTAGTCGGTTTTAGCTTTTTATATTTTATGTTTTTATTACCAAGTTTTTTATATTTATATATTTATTGAGTTGTTTTTAAAATTGAATAATATTATATAGCTGTAATTATTATTATAGATTTATTTATACACGTTCATATTTTGAACAAGTTTTTAGCTCTTTGCCGTAACGCGTTAAAATAAATGATTGATTGATTGATTGATTGATTGATTGATATAATAATTACTATATTCCAGAAATTTGGCTTACTAATACCAGCAGTAAGAGTGGCACTGATGGCATCTGGAATTGTCTATCTTGAATTGCTTCCTGTTGTCCTTGGTTTCTTTGCTTTGGTTGCCTTTGTCACCTCGTGAGTAGTCCTCTTATTTATTATAACAATAACATTTGACATTAATGATAACTCCATTTATCAGGATATAAACACCAATGAAATACCGGGAAAGTTTTTGTGCGCACAAAATTAATTCTAGTTTAAATTCAAGTTTAAAACAGTGAACTCAAGTTCTTTTATTGTCACAACAGTAGAAAACTTTTTGCAGTTTTGTCATCACCTGATGTAAACACTGGCGTTAAGTTGAAAAAAGACTCGAAAGTTATGAAAACCCTAGTTGTGTTAAAGACTCAAGTCTTTAATAATATATCTTTTGTGTTGTCTTACAAAAGGTATGCAATAGCTGTTCATGAAAATGATGTTAATGCTCTGTGGCCTTATATAAGGTATGTGATAAAAAATTCATTTTCCATAATATAGGAACTATATGCATGCTAGTGATAGATAATAATATAAGTCTGATCTTAAAAAAATATGGTAGGAAGAAAATGCAATGGAGCACATCTTGATAAATGTAGTTGTTTTAACCCTTTAAATCTATTTAAAATATTACATGGCTGAATTTGCTAACGGGCAAGATGGAGCAAATCCTGTGTTCTGATAGGCTACCCTTCCCCGCTTAGGATTTCCCTGCATTGGTCCTGCAAGAAAAATTTCTCTTTATGGCCATGTAATAAATCCGTTATTGACCAAGCTTGGCCAGTGATTCCATATGGCTGGAAATCGGCCTCGTTCTTTTTTGCTTTTTACTTGACCTTGACTTCATCTCAGTCCTTAAAAAACACAAAAAAAGAACTTGGCAGCCAATATTCAGCAATCTTGAACTTGCGCTTGGTCAATATAAGCGTATATATAGCTGATTCAATAAAGACTGCTTTGGGCATTGGTAATTGGGCACTGCATGGGAATCTATTGTTTGGTGGTCACTCTTGAAAGCAAATTATTGCATTGTTCTGTATGCCCAAATATACCCAATTGCCAAAGTAACCTTTATTGAATTCGTTATATATCACCAATCATATTCTCGATGAGAAATTTCTTGGATATACATTTATTGTGAAAAATGTTAACCCTATAACAGGGCTGTCAATAAGGACTGGTAGCCAGCCAAAACTGCTGGTTAGTTAATTAGCCATCCTTAGCTGCCTATTTTCCTCTCCTTTTAGCATATACAACGAATAAAATTGTAAAGCTTACGTTCCCCAGTTTTGAATGACATTGAACGCTTAAAAAGAGGTTTAGATCTGTGAAATGTTCGAACCGTGTGATGTCGTGGAACATCTGGAACATTTCGGCGGCATTGTTCCCAGTTTTGCATGTATTCTGACAAAACAACATGCCGTTCACGGTGGAAATTAGCTCTTGAAAACCCCTGGAAATGCCATTTCCAAGGCTCGACTAATTTTCAAAATATCCCTTAGTGCTAGTTCCAAAGCCGCCTACTATTCATTATCAGCCTGCTACTTAAAAACTTTTTGACAGCCCTGCTAAAAGTCATAACATTTTGACCTTTCCAACGTCATTTTCAAGTGCAAGAGAAAAATATAATTAAAAATAAGCATAAATATATGACTATCAACATATACGTTGTGGTTCAATTTTATCCTTAGTTTAAATTTATTTTCCCTTGTTTTGGGGTATGGTAATGTATGATAATGAGTTAAAAACAAAGGAAAATAAAATTTAAACCAAGGATAGAATTAAACCAGTCGACAACATACAGTTTTGTATTTTTTTATATTTTTTATAGTTTTTACTCACAGTTGAAAATGACCTCGGAGAGGCCAAATCATGGTGACTTTTTAGAGTTAAACATTTAAATATCACAAAATTATATTCTCCACATCAATATGATAAGTTAGTAAGTAAGTAAGTAAGAACTTTATTATAGTGTTGAGGTCGCTATATCATACAATGTACACTAATTGAGGACACCTAACTACAATTAATTACTTGCCTAATAGTCAGTAAAATAATCTAATCATCAATAAAATATAAAATCAGTTATTAGTTGTTACTTAAAAAAAAACAGTATTTACAAGTGCTGTCCAGCAGGCTTGCGAAATTAACCAGTTTAATACGCTTTTGAAAGTGTCAAATGAATTGTTATCCATGCACCATGCCTATGGTGTTGTTGAAGAGAATTATTTTCCTACGACCTCTGTATTTGAATGACCAGTAATGAAACTGGTCACTCTTAGAAGTTAAAGAGTTAATGTATTTGATTCTTCATTCTTCAGCAATCTTATTTTACTGTTGTAAATATGGTCAAATGTTTGGCAATAAAGAAAATTCTTGCTTTCCAACCTGTTAAAATATTAATCATTTGTCCCTCACGAATGAGGCCAAGCAAGGAGCGAGGTTTATAAATTTACCAAAATTTACCTCCCAGGTGGATCGTGTGTGGATTGCTGAGTGAGCAGGGAACGCTGCTTCACTATTATTATTTCCGTTGGTTTTGTTTGGTGTCTGACTTGTTTTGCAACAAATACTGCTCATTCCATTCACCCCTTTGTCTATCAAAATAACAAGAATTATTGTCTTTATTTTGCATTTTTTAAAATCAGTGATGCAGGTGCACGTCCACCTCAGAGCTGTATCTTTGGACAGTTCCTAAATATATCTGCAGTGATTGGTATGTAACATTTCATGTATAATTTGAATATTGAAGTTACCATGTGTTGCACAGCTCTTGAGGTTGCTAATCATTATGATTTTGTACTTCCATTTTCATAATAAATTATTATTGCTTTAATGGTAGGAAAGAAAGTGGAATGCTGTCTTAATTTAAATCCTTTTCAAGATGTACATGCAATACATAATTTTTGAGTGACCCTGCCATGATTATGTGAAAAGGTAAAAATGTAGGTGAGCCAAAGGCCCAAACGGCCAGAGTTTATCCCACTTTCTTTAGCATGAAGCATGGCTTGGAGTATTATTGCTACTCCCCCCTGGATGGGATGCTAGTCCATCACAGGGTCAATCCCCCGGGCCAGCAGCAGTTTGCTGGTACCCACACCTGTGTGAAGAGGGACAAAATTTAGTAAACTTCCTTGTGTAAGGAATTAACACAATGGGCGAGACAGGCCATGATTATCTACTGAGTACAACAAGGCATGTACATTATATTTTACATTCATTTTGAGTGTTCTGATATTACTAATGCTAAAAATGGCTAAAACTTGCATGAATTATTTTCTAGTAGCAAAGCTAGTCTTGACAAGTCACAAAGTTACTTGCAAACATTTTGGTTTATCCCTTTACCACCAAATTAAAACCCACAAAACTTTTGTGCTACATAGTACATAGGTTATGTTACTTAATTTACTCTAGATGAACGTATACAGTATGTACAATTCAGTGAATGTTATTTTTAATGTGGCTAAAGACATGTATCATTTAGGCAAAGTTAAACTCGAGCGAGTTGGCCAGCGGTCTTTTCCCACTGTATGTGAACCTACGGGGCGGTTCTCGGGGAATTGCAGGGCTCTTTGTGTGCCCTTTTGCTAGTGTTGCTTTGCATTGTAGCTTTGCTTGCTGATCGTAGCGGATCAATTTTGCCTCCTTGCGAATCATTGTGGATTCTTGCTGATCATAGCAGATCAATTTTTGCCTTCTTGCAAATCATTGTGGATTCTTGCTGATCGTAGCGGATCAATTTTTGCCTTCTTGCCACTCATTGTGGATTCTTTCTGATCGTAGCGGATCAATTTTTGCCTTCTTGCGAATCATTGCGGATTCTTGCTCCCTCTCCTCCCTCCCTGCCTGGTGGTTTTGTAAGTACTTTCTCAGGTAAGTATTCTCTTAGGTAAGTATCTTCACTGAATTTATTCAGTGTGACGGTGCCGGAGAGTTGCCACGAATACCTCCTCTCTGCTTATTGCGTTTGGCCCCCCACTAATCTTTAAGACACCTGCTCCCAAGCTCATCATTAGCGATGAGTTTAATCCCCTACATATTTACTATTAATCTATTAGTACATTTATTATATTATTATTCTAACTAGAGCTTAGTTCCTGTCATATTTTTATTCTTTATAACTTTTAATTTTGGAAAATGTTAAATTATTACTATTTTTTATTTATAAAATGTGTTGTTTGATATTTTGCAGCATTTATTGCCATGTACATTCATTACAAGCATGTCACAGAATTCAACATCACTGCCTTGCCGCTGATACAAAAACTTAACTACTGGTCATTATGGATTGGTGCTCTCACCTGTTTAGGACTCTCAATAGTTGCAAACTTTCAAGTAAGATTCATTTTTGTTGGTTATTAATTACATTTTCATTATCATTGTCATTATTATTATTATTATTATTATTATTATTATTTATATTATATGTTTCTTTGAAGAAAAAGTGCTTCTTCTTCCTGCCCAAGTGTTTGTTATATTTTATGTACTATTTGAAAAACAAACAGGAGTGCATTATCAGGTTTAAGAAGTCAAGGCACCTGATAATACACAACTCCAAGTTTTTTGAGTGGCTTCAAAATCTCTGATGTAGATCAACTAATTTTTGCACTAATATTTATATTTGGGGTTAATTTGGTCCAAAAAATTGGACATTAAGTTTAGTCATGTCTTTATCAGATATAAAGACACTCATTAAACATTAAGAGGGAATCCATCAGGAAATTGAATAATTTTAATTTTTAGTGGACATATACCTTTTACTAGATTATTTTAAGCCATTTTATAGCATTCTTTTTAGACTTTTCAAGAGGTATAAATGTAACAAGTTGTATGAAATAACTTAAAGAAAAGGTTTTTCCTAGAAAATAAATTTCAAATTTTACAGGAATTGAGAAACACAGTAAGTGAAAATCATCATACGTAAGATTTCATTTGAAGCATTTGAAGTTTATTTTCTCTTTGGAGTTATTTCGTATAACTCATTACATTTATAGCTGGTACAAGGTTCTTGTCCACTGAAAATTAAAATTACTCAATTTTCCAATAGATGCCGTCTTATTTATTTTTTTCTTTATGGTTTATTATTGAGTTTTTTAATCCGATTTATTAACTTCAAAGAAATAAGAGATTTTTTGTTCCTGAGAAAGAGCAGATTATATTATTTTGTAACCATATATGTAGCTTGCAAATTTAATTTCACAAAATTTGCGAACCAGTATTTCATGAGTATTCAACTTCACAAATTATTTTGGCAGAGCCAAAAAAAGCAAAGACAAGCCCATGTATATTTAGATTTCACCAGTTTTCAGTTCATCAACCCATTTGCCCTGTGAAATTTTGTGGCAAAAACGCTTTTTAAGGCTATTCAAGCCATTTTCTGTTCACTGTCTTTCTATAAAGAGGTAAAAATTACCAGAAAGCTGTGTATGGGTCGTAGCTTCTGATCCAAATGCAAAATATCAGCTTCCGAAGTTCAAGTTTGAACAAAACCCAAAATTCCAAGGTAGTCTTCGGGTTTTCAAGTTACATGTACAGCAGTCTAATAACGTTTAACTTTGGCTTTTTCCTTCCGCCCTTAGATGTCCAATAGATGGTGAGGAGTTAAATATTACTGGTAGATCACCCCCTTAAAAAATTGGTCATAAAGTTCTCTTAAGTTAACTGAGTTTTGCACATAGCTGTTACACAAGATTTGCCTTTTCTTTATCTTTAGACTGCAAACAGTCTCTCTTTTTCTTCAGATTAGTGAGGGAAGTGCATGCACTCGTAATTGTCGAGTTCCACCACTCGCGTGGTCATTTTGGTGTCTCTCGCGTTTCGCTCGAGAGACAGCTCGTAGTCTACCTTTTCTTTTCTTGTTTTCGTTAACTCCTACGTCGCAAAACTTTTCCCATCGCGAAAAAGGAAGTTCACGTATTTAGTATACTTTATTTCACTGTTTATCTAAATTTAGGTGGTTAACTCTTTGCCTGTGCATATGATTGGAGCACTTATGGTCTTTGGTTTGGGAATGGTGTACTGCTGGATTCAGGCCGTCATCTCTCACAAAATGCGACGCCAAGCAATGAGTTCTGCACTCAGCTGTTACACAAGATTTGCCCTTTCTTTTCTTGTTACTGTATTTTTCATCATAAGTATCCTTTCATTCAATGAAGTTTTATTGGGTTGAACAGGGAGTCGTCCTTGGTAATAAGATAAAAGTACAAGGGGAAAGATTAATTTGTGTAAACCAAGAATTGAAAAGTCAAAAATCAGATCACAAACGGAAGCAAAAACTATTGGTAAATGCACAATGTCCAGAACTTAAAAACAGACAACTGAGTTTTAGAAAGAGGCACGTTTAGTTGTTGAGTTGCATTGGTAAAGTTTTAGTTAATTTTGATCACTTTTTTCATCTTCCCAGTGATGTTTTATATCATGAAATTTTTTTGTCGGTCAGTCCCCTTAAAAGTTTTTTTTTTAAATAATAATTATTATTATTTTAATGAACACCTTTTGAGGAGACTGATAAACCAGAGTACTTTTTCTTAAGTAAAGTTGAAGTAAGTGAGTCAATAGAAGGAAAGTTAAAGAACTTGTGTTGTTTTTCTAAAGCTTTTTTTCTGGGAAATAATAACCCAATGTGACAAAATTTGCCCAACTCCTTGAAGCTGGATTCATTATCCTTGTCAGTTACTGCGCTTTTCAAAAACATGCGAATTCTGAAATTCGAAGACCAACTAACGTTTGCGTTTTTCGCTGCCGTCAATCATCTTAGGGGACCTCTTAGCAAACAGAACTTTACTTTAACGCGTTCAAAAGCTCATGGTTTGTAATTGGTGTTTAGTGGCTTTTGATCCGTTTTGTGTGTTTTGTGATTGTAATTATGATTGACGGCAGCGAAAAACGCAATTGTGAAGGCGGCTTTTGAACCTTAGAGTTCGCATGTTTGTGAAACGCGCAGTAAGGCAACACTTCCAGGCTATATTCACACTATACTGGACAGTTTTTTGTGCTGATGTGAAAAGTTACCCAGTATGGTATGAACAAAAGTAGATTGAGTTTGATCGTCTGGATGAACGTAATCCTGATTAGGCAGGGGCACCCAACGACAATTTTCGGGAAAATATCTGTTCGGATTCGGAAGACGATTTGAGATCTAGAATTTTCGGAACATTTGTTGTAAAATTTCTTGCTTGCCTGCCTCTTCTAGGATTTTCGAACATCTAAAAAATGGTAAAATTGCCCATTTTCAACGGATTTTTACACTAAAAAGGTCACCTAGAATTTTCGGGAGCCTTTTTTCTGGCTGAAATTTTCGAACGGGCAAGTTTTGATCCCTATAATTTTCAGATCACTACACTTTCAGCTAGGAAATCCGAACAGATGAAAAATTTATAGGGGATAAAAATATGCCCATATCCACCGTTTTAATACTAAAACACGTTTAACAATGCTATGTTTAAGTGGTTTTGAACTATATTCTCGTTGGGTGCCCCTGATTAGGACTGTTGTTGTTGACAGTGACTGACGTTTCGACAACCTGTGCGGTAGTCACCTTCAGAGTCAAAGTGAGTTGTATCAGTTCAGTTGATGGTATTATACTCTGGTTATTGATTTGATTGTTCAATTACGTCGTGATGTTATTGGTCGTCTGTGAGTTAAGCCGTGATGTTATTGGCTATGAGACTCGTAATCAGTAATTGGTGCGTTTTGATCCGTCTGTTGTGACAGTTAAACAGTCGTCTATCGTTAGTCAAATTGTCAGTTCTCCAGTCATTCTCTCGTAGTTAGTTTTCCTTGATCTCGTCAATAAGTCGTTTGTACGGCGCTGGTAACTGTTGGCTACGATTCAGTGGCGTTTGTTCTAAGTTAGTAAACCAGCTTTCTAAAGTAAGACCTATCCGGTATGGGACACTCCACTTTAGAGATGACTGGGGTGCAACTTTGCTCCGTTACAGAAATCAGTCTTGTTGTGTGAGAACAGAAGCCCTATTTGCTATGGTTTACGTGCCATATAGCAATAGCTATCCCGCAGTATAGTGTGAACACTGCCATAAAGAAGGAGCATGACTATGTTAATTTTGTGATGTTTTCGATTTTGTAAATACCGTAAAATTCCGAAAATAAGCCCCGGAACTTATATTTTTTTAAAGGCCTTTTTTGAGCGCTTATTTTTTGAGGCGCTTATAAGTTCGGAGGGAAATTTGTGTTTCAAAATCGGCTAGTCTTATACTTGGAGGGAAATTTACGTCTCAATAGCGATTAGGCTATCTTATAGTTCAGATAGTTGGAAGGAAATTTATGTCAGTAATTTGAAGGAAGTTTTTACTGAAGCTCGCCTTGAGGACGTACGCATTTCTAAAACAGCCATTCAAGTGCTTTGCCTGTATGGACCTAGTCAAGAGTGAAGAGTGAACCTACGCAAACAGCAATAAACTGTGACACTTTTTGACTGCAATCACTTGGCACACGTAATAGCTCTCTGGCTTCCAAGTACAAATATTTTTGTTTACTGTGCCGTTTTTGCTTTGTTTTACTTTGTATTTGAGGGCAATTTCCAAGTTCAAGCCCCCGGGGGCTTACATTTGGAAGGGCGATTTAATGGAGGGTTTTTTGCGTTACAAGTTTGGGGGGCTTATATTTGGAGGGGCTTATTTTTGCAATTTTACGATATGTTGGGTGTTATGTAATGTGTTGTAAACCTTGACTGTGAAATAGCTCTTGTAGCTGGAAATGTAAGTGTTGAAGAATATAACAAGAACGCCATTAACGGTACTAAGCATACTTATGATCGCAGGTGGAAGGAATCGGATAAGGTAGGCATCTCCAGTTTGATCATCTATTTCCCAAATCCATCATCGACCTTTTCATTTACCGAACTTAATACCTATTTAGGTCAACCCAAATGATATTAGTTCTGTGGTAGATTCAGACGTGCAACCTACTTAGTCAGACTCAATTCATTTTCACAATGTGAAAGGTTCGGCAAATGAGAAGTTCGATGTTTGAAAAGACCTTTTTACCGATACGGCGGCCATATTGAATTAATTCGATTTAAGGAGTATTATGAGCATATTTTGTTTGTATTTTGAGTGCTTTTCGGGACACTTTTTCTTAAAGTTTTCTTAGAATAAGATTGTAATGAGAGAGAAGATCCTTGTGCCGTGTTTGGATGTAATAATGATCGCCTTTTTCTAGTTTAGTATTAGAAATATGGTCTTTCACTGTATATTTCTCGGGAAAAAGGCGATCATTATCATCTTATTCTAAGAAAACTTTAAGAACAAATGTCCCGAAAAGCGCTCGAAAATACAAACGAAATATGCTAATGCCGCCTGGGCATCCTATAATACTCCTTAAATCGAATTAATTCAATATGGCCGCAGTATCGGTAAAAAGGTCTATTGAAGTTTCTCCACAATTGAAATTTCCCTCTGGGCCACTCGATCTTAATTCATGAGTCAACCCAAATTGGATATGTTGGGCTTAAATGATTCAAACGTCGATCTCTTCATGTACTTAACTGAAGAGATTAGGTTCGGTACATGAGAAGTTCGACGTTTGAACTGGGCCCAACTGTCTAGTTAAACTTGTCAAGTTAAAGCATAAAGTTTAAAAAATAATCTGGAGTGCAGCCGTTCCTTTGAAAAGCTGCACTCACATTTTGATTACCCAAGCTGTCATTGCTGGCCGGTCCCAGTTTACGATTTAGTAAGTTGAAAGGCTCAGTTTATATCGAGAAAGTTTTACCTCAAAAGAGGTTCACTCTCACAGCTGTGTCAACTTTAGCGCGCCCTTATATGAGAAAAACATAACATAACAACTTTATTTAAGTGTCGATGTCTTTAGCTTGTAAAAGCCAATTGGGGACACTAAAATAATAGGAAAAAAAATATAAAATGAGTTTATACATGGTATCATAAGGTGAATTTATAATTCTCTAAAATCCGTAAAATTTATGAAAGGTAAAAATTTAAAAGTTAAAAGATTATGGGGTTATCCCCACTAAAATATAGAGAAAAATGCTTACCATATTTTTAAAAATTCTCAAGTACTACAAATATGACAGAAGCCATAATTTTCACTTATAAGATCCACAAGGTTAATACGCCGTATGCTGGACTTGAAGGATTGTAAAGTAGGTTTATGCTTGATTTTGCTGTCCAATCTAGACCATATATATGGTCCAAAGTACCTAATTGAATGTTCCCCGTAACGTACACTATTAAATTTGGGTAAATGAAAATCCATATTTCTTAAGTGATATTTGGATGACTTAACACTAAAAATGTCAACGACATTACTAGGCACCAAACCATATTTAACTTTATACATTAAGGTAGCAAGATCTTGTAAACGCCGATTTTGTAGGCTAGGTAGATTGGCCCGCTCTTGTACTCTTTCAACTTTTCTGGCGTCGGAGGCTTTACAGAAATGCCACATAAGATGGCAATATGTTAAATATGGCAATATCGAGGATTTACATAAAAGCAATTTTGCTTCCGTAGGGATCAGATTTCTTAATCTTCAGAGGAAGCCCACTCTCTGGCTAGCTTTTTTATTCACAGTTCACTAATGTGTTTGCTAAATACAAGGTGTTCGTCGATGTTAACTCCGAAAAGGCTAATGTCCGCAGTACTTTCAATGACATGCGCATTGATTGTTAATGAAGCTTGACCCTTATCATTCTGTGAGTTGATCGTCAGCAACTGGAATAAAAAGTGGACCCCTGGCCTTAGCTCGAACCAAGAGTGCTCACACGTGCTCTGATTGTCTCGCAAGCCAAGGTTTTCATATGCAGAAAAGTTGGAAGGGTAGGAGGATGACCCTGTTTCTCATGTCAACGATTTCCCAAGTTTTATGAGCTCCTGGTTTTATAAGGAAATTAATGGGGGAAAATTTGGCTTGCCCAGTGTAGCTCGAGTAGACAAGTGACCCCTCTTACCAGGACAAGAAAGTGCCGACCTACCCCTCCCCCAAGCCAACATTAATACTTTCTTCTCACTTAGGGCAAAATGTTGGCTTAGGGAAGGGGCTGGTAGACAGTTTCCCAGAAACGTATAATGTTCCGACAAGTTTCTACTTATAAACAGGACCTAAGACAACCTGTTAACTAGGCTGGGTAGCAGGCTTTTGCGCACACGTTGCTTGACATGTTTGAAAACGAGTTCTTTAGAACTCCTAAGTGCTTTGTGGGAAACAAATAATATTACAATTTACATTTTTTTTTTACTCTGAACAAAGAATTTTGTTATCTATTTTTTCTCTTTATTCATCATTGTTGTGGGTCCTACATACTCACAACTCTTCCAGACAGCTTTGCTTTTGTATGTTTTATACAAAGCTTTTGTTGCTAACCTATTTCACTCCACACTTTGTAAAGCTATAGGGCATATCAAACTTATTACACTTTCTTATCCATAGGGATACCAAGCCCATCTTGCCAGTACGTTCAGTGAGTGGCTCATGAGCATTTGCTTCCTGCTTTATTTTTTGACTTTCTTCAGGGAGTTTCGAAAGATCATTGTGCATATTCAAGTGCGTCCAAAGAACGCAGAAATCTTTTCCTCAGGGGAGCACGATGAAGCCAGAATAGTAGTTTAGAAACCGTCTTTGTCTATGTGTAAATTTCTGTACAGTTCCTAGATTTTTCAGGCCAGGGCTACACGCATGCTGAACCTAATCTGATTAAGTTTAAGTTTGGAGTGTTTGGTTACTTAGGTTGCTTGAAACCGTCAGCTAGTTAACCTGATTTATGCGAAGAGTTTAAGAAGACCCTCTTGACAAGGGTCCCTACAAATTTTTGAACCGACGATTTTTTTACTTGGACAACCCGTGTACACGGAACCGTGCAAATCGAGTTCAAAAAAGATCAAGAAAATTTTCGTTTTGTGTTCACGTCCCATATAAAACCTGAAAATAGGAAAATTCACTGCATAGTTGTGCAACAACGGCAAAGAAATGTTTAAAAAAACCGTAATGCACCTACAAAATTGTTGTGTTGCTTATTTAAACTTGTGGTTTTTTGCCGTTCTCTTTTCCCTCGCCGTCTTCATTGCGTAAGCACAGGTACCCCAAGCTGACGAGTGACAATCGTTGTATTATAAAGGTTTGTATGGGGATTTAAGCGATCGTTATTCAGGGGTCAAAAATACTAATAAAGATACATCAGAATTTCTGACCTTGTCTCCTTGTCTAAATTCGTGGCTTTTTCTTAGCATTTTTGGCCATTTCAGGGCGATTCCAGCGAGTTTTAGTTCTGCCAAGGCCGAATCTCCATAGAAACTCTTACAATATTTCTGGTACACTCACTCGTGTGCTTGGGGTACCTGTGGCGTAAGCTGCCTAATGTTACATTAACACTTACTTTGCTGATCTTAGTTATTTTTGTGCCATAACAAACTAAGACTGTTCTATCAAACCGATTTAAAACGCCACTTTCCTGCAGTGAATGTACCAACCGCAAATTAATCGGCTAGGTTTGGCTCATGCGTGGTAGTGCAACCAGGCCTGCATTCTGTTATGTTATTTCCAAAATAGAGACCTTTAGATTCAAGGACGAGAACGACTACGAGTACGAGATTTAACTTAAACTTTTTTCGCGTATTCTCAAAAAATAGACATCCCGGAAAGCTTCATTGTACTTTCTTTCATTAGAAAAAATAACAAGAACTTGCACGGATCCGCGGGAAACGCCGGAAAACCTCAATCTTAAGGTCTCTAATATACGGAAACAAACGAACGGGAGACTGATGACCCTAAACGCGTAAACTAGTAAACAATCATTATGGCCTTTACGAAGCCAGGCGCAAAGAATATCCACCATGAATTCGATGTTATTTCAGTAACTTAGAAATTTTCAATGGCTTGGAAATTCCAGTTAAATGCTTAGCAATGATTAAATTCTCAAAGAATTGATTTTTTTAAAAGAATTATTGAGTAATTTTTGATCTGCGGCTTATAAACCAAAGATGACACCTTTTTTCGCTTACATGAGCAAATGTACATCTATCTTATGAGTAAGAATAGCAAAATGTGTGATCGCAAAGAGCGATTGCTTGCCAATTTTCACTATTGAAAGAACTGAAGCGCATATTAAGCCAGGTATATACGTGTGGATTGTACCGGCATGATTCAAAAACAAAAAGTGAAAAAGACACATTTGGGGATGCAAAATTTTAGGAACATTTTATTTCAAAAACGCTCTCGTAGATTTTTTCAAATCTTGCCAAGGTAAAGGCAACGGCCTAACTATCATTACACTAGAGGATTTTAACAGATTATTGCTAGATTTCGAGACTGAATTCCCATGCCATCGTTATTCTGTTTCTAAGGAAGCGGCGATGTCAACGAAACATGCTCTAAAATTAAGTTCGATGTTGGATAAATATGTGGTTATTAGTTTTTTATATCCAGACCTCGTTTGGTCTCTATGATTTGTTACTGTTATTTATGTTTATGAGTTTTTGAAATATTGCCTCAAAAACAAGTACAAAATTTTGAATTTTGAATTAGACAAAAAGGATATATCGTATCGCAGAAGTCTACCTCTGCCATAGGATTTCTTTTTAGACTGTTCATTAAACTAATACTTGGATAAATGAAATGAATTCTGTTCTCAAACTTATTTTCTTTTTTGGTGATATTTTAGAGAGATCTGGACAGGTTATTGACTCCTTTCTCCTGTCTGCCCTATCTAAGCTACGTCAAGAGAGAATAGGGAGCTTAAACAACGATGACAGCGACGTCAGCGTGAAGGGCAAAAAAGCAATAGGTTTAGATTGGCAAAACGACAACTCTGCACGACTACAACGTAAAAATGCCTAATTTCACGTTTTGTGGAAGACGTAAACTGACAAGACAACGAATTTATTTTTCTTTTACTGAATTTTATAATTCAACTCCAGCAAAAATTGCCAACATTTGACTGACGAACTGAACGAGATGGAATAAGCACGATAAAGTTTGAAGCAGCGCGACGTCACTCTTTAAGTGACATTTTCGTAGCCGTAGCCGTCGCCGTCGTTGTTGCTTAAGCTCTCTAATACGGACCTTAAGATCCGACGACGGCGACGGCAACGGGAACACAACAAAAGCAATAGGTTTAATTAGCAAAACAAAAATTTTGCACGTGCATCACGCTTTTTTGTTCATTTCTTTGCCGTCACTGCACGACTACGACGTGAAAATGCCTAATTTCACGTTGACAGAGGAAGTACACAAGCGACGACGAAATTTCATCTCTCTTTCTGAACTTGAATATGGTTCTTAGGAATTTCCCTTTAGGAGGGTTAACCTACATTTGACAAAGTTAGTGACTTGGAGTAGTCGCGATGAAGATTGAAAGAACGCGAATTCACTTTTTCAGCGACGTTTTCTCTGCCGTCGCTGTCCTCGGATCTTAAGGTCCCTAATAATGGGACAGAGAGGTAACCTTAGGGTCTCGGCTGCGATAAGCGAATTTCACTTGAGTTAATTTTTGAGGTTGTGATTAGACAGAAGTCTAATTACTGGGACGTCCGCAAATGATAATCGATAATCAAGTCCACGCTTGCTTTTACGCTCGCTTTCACGCTTGCTTTCACGCTTGCTTTCACGACCTGCCTTCATTGTTAACCTACATAACAGTGGATGATCAAACTATAAGTATTAGTTGGTGAAAAGGTAAGAGCTAAACGTTTTTTTAAATTCGTCTAATAATTCGTTTTTGTTGCACTTTCTCTGTGACTTGATCTTCCTGTAGATCATCTGGGTGAGTTGCTTCTACAGAAGGTAAATTAGGATGGATTTTGTTGTAAAATGTGACTCTGCTACTCGCATAGATCGCTCTCTCTTTCTTTGAATCCTCCGGAGTCCTGTGTTATAGAAAAAGAAAGGAATGCTTCAAAATAAAGTAATAAAAGGGGCGGGGAGTTAAGATGTTTACGATATGGAAAAAAAGAGGGTCTGGATCAGTGGGGGTTGTAAAGGTCAGTTGTCAGTTAGCCCCCACCCAGACCCTCAAAAAAGGGGTCAAAACTTTTTGGGTCCAATCGGTCGCAGATCGATTTGAGTCTGTAAATCATATAAATGGAGTTTCCCTCAACTTACTTGTAAGACCTTTGGACTAGGCCCCATCTTTCAGGTTTCCAAACTGCATGAGACTTGAGAAGGAACCAACAACTAAAGGGACATGCACTGTGTAGCCAATGGTTGTTTACCATTTATTTAGGCGAACTGGTCGGTTCACGGTTTGTGCGAATTCACTACATTTTCAATTTAGTCCCGGAATAGCGTTTACCATTGTACAAGCAGTTCCATTTGCCGAAAAAATGGCCTCGAAGGCCTGAAACTAGTATCAAAGATGGCTTTGAAGAAAATGGAACACGAATTTCCGTTTGGAACATTCCGTCCGGAAAAAAAAAAGAGGACTACCTTCTTCAGGAGTTCCATTGCTCTCGTAAATTTTCCACTGGAATGACCCAAAAAGTGGTGTTCCATTTACTTTCCAACCGGATTTTTCGGAATCTTTTTGTTAATGGTAAACTACCAATATCACTAGTAATTTTTCGCACTTACCATGAAAAGAAGACAATTTTTGAGACAGGTCCTCGATCCTCCGTCTCGTACGCAAAGTCGTACAGGGCATAAAAGCATTCATCGCCCACAAAAAGTTTCAGAAAATCCCCATATGTTGATTGCCTGACTTTTTTCCACACTGCTATGTATTTTCTGTTCTCAGTCACTTTAAAAATAGCGTATTTCCACTGTTTACGTTTTATCTCTTTAAAGGCTGCGACACACTCTTCTTTTACTAGGATTCCAGATGGATTCTACCGAAAAAAAGTAATTTCGTTTACAACATAAGTTACCCTTGACCATGTTTATATGGGAGGAGGTTATCTCTCCCAGAAGCTTATTAAGATCAAAATGCAGCCTTCCTTGACTCTAAGATGGCTTATGAGGCTTACTACACAAGTCAAACCTGTCAAACCTGTCCTCTGTTATACGGGAAGACTCAGTCCAACCCCTCACTCTTTTTCTATACCATTCTTGAAAGGAAATGTACTCCTTTCGTATACTTTTCATTAAAACGTGGTACCCATTTAACTCACCTAGCTCTTATAATATTAAGTCGCCTGAAAAGGAACTCTTCTTACCATTTTCATGTAGCATTTAATAAACTCTAATGATAAAGGTGCGTCTAGAGAAGATAATTTGTGATATTTTAGTTAAAGGCCCTTTTAAAAAAAAACCTGAATGAAAGATTTCCCTACGTTTTCATACACCTGAACTTCTAGAATCCTTACTCTCTTAAATATATCTAAACAGGAGCCTATTAACCTTCTGATTTGAAGCCTGGAAAAAAGTACCCCTTCCGGAGCCTCCGCGCATTGGAAGTGCCACGGCCCCCTTCCCTGGGAACTGCCTCCTTAGTTCATTACTAAACCTGGTGTTCATAATTGCTACAACTGCTGAAAAAAGGCCAACGAAGGAAATGATGGTAGAGATAGTAATGACTTGAAATAATACTGAAGTCTATTTCGCGATGGCTTTGTCTTCACGATACGGCTGTAATCACTGCGACCGTTGAGGATGCACTTTCCTAATCTCGTACCCAGATCTCCCGTGGACAGAGTGAGATCTGGCTACGAGATATGCACTTTCCTTACCAATCTTAGGCTGCGTTCACACGGCATTGGACTAATTTTTGACGGGACACTTCGTTCACACGAGAGCGTTCAATATTTTAGCTCTGTTCCACAGAACTTTGAACGGCAAAGTGTCTGAATTTTCGAGCGGTTGAGATGGTTAATTCCGTGTGAAAGTAACATTTAAACGCACTCCGAGTTTTCAACCCGTCGAAAATTCGTCAGGCGCCGTGTGGACATAACATTATTCGCTGTTTTCTAATAGTTGTTTCCACTGATTTATTGGATGCAATCTTTGAATCTTTCCTACACTAATGGCAGTGTTGGACGTCATGGAAGTCAGGGTTAAACAGTGCTTTCTGGCCTAAGCCACAGGCGGGACCTCAGGTCCACGCAACAAGACTCCTCAGCTCTCCTATACATGCGAATAAGCAGCGCATTTATTTTAAGTGTATAAATTCAGACCCTGAAAACTAGCCAACTATCTGTTTTTTGAGGTCAGAAACCTCTAAGATCAGGTTGGTCCGTAGTAGGATGTTGGAGTACGCGTAGAGAAAATGACTTTTTTAGGCCTCTGTGAAGCAAACACTGCTAGTGGATGACACTTTGACACTTTTTAATAAATTTCGATGCTGTCGATCGCTGCACAACTGCAACCTGTAACTTCCTAATGCGACGATTTATGGAGGACTTAAAAACATAACCATGATAACAGCAATATTTTCATTAATGCCTCTCTCTTTCCGCGCTTGGATTTCGCACCTAAATTATAAAAACTAATTCTACGAAAATTCGCCTACATTTGACAAACTAAGGGAGTTAGAGGAGGCTCTCAGAAGCTTCGGTGATCAGAGAGCGCCGAGTCCCAAAATTACCAAGAATAACTTTTCTTAAAAATTGCTCAGTCTTATAAGCCGCTTTCTAAAAGACAAGTTATGTTGTTATAATATTTTGCGCACATCACAAAGAAAAGTATCTTACCATTTTCACTTCATCAAACTGTCATTTCTTTGCAATCTAACCACGCTTCCTCAGTGATTTGCAACGACATGAAGCTTCAGTACCGAATATGATTTGTCCTTAAAACTTTATCCAACGAAAGATACCCTATCGTAAAGTTAGTTAGCTCCACACCTGCTGGGGAGCTATCCAGAGACTATATGCAAAACCTCATTTACTTAGTTCAAGATTTCTGTAGTTACGCTCCACTGATTTGTTTGTTTATGAGCCTATTCGTGAAAATAGTTTGTAAAATCGTGTAGATCGGGAAAACTAGATTTGCATTGCAAGACTCTTGCAACACATGATCACCAGTGGCTTGAGCATACACTTGAGTTGCCTTAACTCATTAGTGCAGCAATCAGTCTGTATTCTTGCAGAGCATGAATTGTTTCCCTCATCATGACCGCATAGATCAAAGTATTAATTGCTGCTACCATTTCATTGCCATTTGATTATAATAGGATACTCCTTTTAGCTGCAAAACTCCCTGGAGAGCGATTTATTACAGGAAATCATTGTAATAGAGCTTTACAGTTACTCGTGCTGTTTTCGTTTGTTATCCATTGAAACTTAATGTTTTGATGCAACATTGTTTTTATTTCTTCTTTTTTGGCTTTCTACCCCTTTAGAAAGCTTATGCAAAATGAAACTAACTACAAAGAAACATACCAAATGAAGTAATAATAATGATAATTATAATAATAATAACAATAATAATAATAATAATAATAATGAATGAATGAATGAATGAAGAGTCGTGGATAAGAGGACAACAGACGTGCCCTCTTACAATACATTTTAACATGTGAACAGCAAGCTCGGACGTCAGCATACAAAGGCTCCACTGGCAGCCGCTCTCAGTCCATTTGTGAGCTTGCTGTTCTCACCCAGCCCATGATGTGAATGATGCGATGAGTGAAGGTTGACCACAACACCGAGGTCTACGTCCCCTACTCTTTTTCGAACAGTGGTGTGGGTTCTTTTACGTCGCACAAGAACCAGATAAGTTTAAGTGCTGTGAGACGGGGCCTACGGTTTTTCGTCCTTATCCGAGAAGACTAGAAAGTCTAACCGTTTGCAGATGTCATTACAAAGGCAGCACTTTCTTCTCAGTTATTTAAAGACCCTTAGTGTTGGTCCGGCCGAGGTTCGAACCCGTGACCTCCCGCTCATCAGACCGGGGCTCTCCCAACTGAGCTGACCAGGCGGCGGTTAATTATTAATTATAATAATTATTATGTTATTGATAACAAAACCAGCTATTAAAAACCGGTTTGCAATAAATTCGGTTAAAAAGTCATTTTTAAGCACTATTTACAATTCATTTTGGTCTGGATCCAAATCTCTATAGGAGTCAGCATTCGAGTGGCAAACTCTAACATCAAGAAAGCCGACATCTGCCTCTCCCAGAATCTTCTGGCCACCATATCCAGCCGCACATCCGGGGCGGTGTTAGCTCCTCTATTCAACTCTGATCTTATCCTGTGATGTCTTGCAAAATTAGTTCGACGTTCACGTCTTTACACAACATGCTAAGCAGTTCAGCCTCCAGATCCCTCAGTTCACTATGGCGTTCGATGACAAATCCGCCTCATTTGCATATCATAGCATGATCCACACTGAAAGCAAGCAAACACAAACAGATGGCGAATCAGGAACTTCCCAGTCGTAGCTGAGTTTCACAGCATCTCGAAACTAACTCTTGTTTAGATCAAAGTCCATATCTCTAATTGAAAAAACGGTAAGCTAACTAGACGCACCTTTCTAAGTGGCAAGGTTCGCAGCTCTCAAAGTTTTTCCAGAAATCGTTCCCTTCACCTCTCCAGGCTTTTCCTTCAGATACTGATTCTTCACTTGGCTCATCTCCTGTTTCACAGCTCTTATTGCATTGTCATATGGTCGCTCATGTGTCTGTGATTTTATTTGTTGAGCTAACGGACCAGAGATCTTAGTTGACGCTACATACTCCAAGGCTGTCACTTGACTCGGATTTGTTAGGCCCATACATGCTTCCCATTCTCGCTGGCAGCGCCAGCAGCTCACGTTCAGCTTGTGTAAAGTTGTGCCCTGTGATAGAAGGTATGAGGGTATCAGCTATTGTGCCCTCCAGAGGTGCGAGTAGATCTTCTATATCAGGCAGAGTTCTCAGAAATTACGTAATCCAAATATGAACGCTGCGTAATTGGCTGCGACAAAGCAAACTCTGCCAATTTTGTCACCAGTCCCACCCAATCCTCCACTTAACCGTTGACGTACTGCTCGCGATAGGATCTGGAGTCGAGAGCCAAGTGCTTCTCGTTTCCTTCCAATGTGATGTTGATTGCCGTCTCTTTAAAGATGCTCTTAGCAGTTCCTCCTTACCAGGCTTTATGACAAGCCAGCATTTTCTAGCCTTAGGATAGTATCCTAAGTCCGGTCCTGCCACTATGAACTCGTCCCACCACAGCCTGTTGTCCTGTAGCGATCCACACCCTGTCGCATCATATGCAAACCAGTATTGTTTAGCTTGGCTCACTGCTTATGAGTGAGAGATGAGAGGCTGTAGACCGAGGGAATTCATGCTCCTTGCTAGAGGATCCCTTTGTGTATATAGTACTCTCAGCTGAAATTAGCTCTTTACTCCCCGTTACAAATGGTCGTGCTGGTGCTCGGTAGGCATTCATTGCAAATGCAGCTAACGCTGGACAGAGGATGCTGATGTTACGAAGGGCGGCGGTTCGATTAAGCGAGTTGAAGGCCTTTGACACATCCATTAGCAACACTGCATCGTTTTCCTCGTGCTGCCAGGAATAAGCTGTTAATTGCGTCCACCGCTGCCTCACTCCCGGATTTGTGTCCGGCGCAAACCTGAAGCGAGCCACTCGACTCTAGTATATCCTGTCTCGTCACCTTCCCAATAACTCTTCTGATTACTTCCCCCACTCCTATTGGTCGGACTTCACCGTTACCCTTATCCAGCGGGATTAGATGACTCGCTAGAATCGGCTCAATACTCGCTGGGTCAGTGTATTCTGTTTACAACCGACGGGTCAGAGTTGCAAGAACGCCGCACAAATTAGAGCCAGAGTTCCTGAATGACTTGTTAGCAAGGATCCTTTGAAATCCATTAGTGTCTACATTCGAGGGATTTTCAGCGCCTTTAGTTCTGAGTGCTGCTTCTCTAATTATCTCATCAGTGATCTCATTATCCGCTGACTACCTCCCTAGCGTAGCTGGTTGCGCTTTAGGGTGCTTATTCTGTAGTTGCTTTAATACGTCATCACTGTGTCATCAGTCAGGGATAAACACCTCCGCAGCCATCATTTGTTGGGTATCGTAGGGCGGAGTTTATTCGCCCTTCAATAATGAGGTTCGCTAATATCTTTGCTTTGTGCGGATAATCTTTTTTCTGGTGGGATTTAATTAGACGTTTTTGGATCGTTCGTCCTTCTCATAACAGCTCAGCTATTTCCCATTCTTTCCATAAAGCTAGCCTCTTCACTAGACATTCTTGATGATCCTTTGCCTTAGAATTTTGACTTGGTTTTTGCAGCCCTAGTGCCAGAAGAACGAAAGCTATATGCTGATTTTCTGACTTATTGTTCCAGTCGTTTACGTGCTTTTTAAGTTAGTAAAGTCGATTTTTCCGTACGGTACTTATACGAAGGTGTTTTTGCGCCAAGCAATGACCTCGTTATGGGCCTCGATGATTACTGAAGAGTTGACTGTTATCACTTTTCCTGTTGATTGACCCCAAACAATTGATTGCGGCGTATCCACAGGTGTAAATGGACCATTTTCACGATGACGACTCTTGACTACAACTACGTACCATAATTCATTTCGTGTTGCTTTCCTGTTAAAAGTTGTCAATCCCGGTGAGTTTTAAAAAAACAATAGCCCTAATTTGCACTAGAAAACAACAAAGTGAAGGATTCTGGTAGTTTTAGTAAAATGACGTCATTATTCAATTGGCTTCCTTGCGCTCTTCATTATTTTAATCATTTTCAGCATCAGAGTTTGTATAGATTAAGCCCATAGATTAATAATTAATAGAGCCACTTTGTACAAGTGGTATTTAAAAAAAATCAGCAAAAATAGATTCAGCACTACAATACTTAAGATAGACTTTCGAAAAGATACGAGGACAATTTGGGCATTTGAACCCCGGGAAACCGCGTGTTTCAAATTCTTCTGGTCGAGAAAGTTGAGAAACTTATAGCGAATCCTCCATTTTGATTGCCTACTTGAGCGGTCAAGATGGGCTTATCGTATCTATCGCTTTGTCCCGGCTTTCGTATAAGGTAACTACCACATTCCGAAAAACCTTATGGGGACCGGTCAGTGTAAAACGCAGACTGCGGACTATTGTTTTCAACATGCAAATGCATATGAGTAGGTGACAATAATAGTCCCATTGTTTTCTAACTCTAAAAACAATAGTCCGCAGTCAGTCTGCAGTCTGCATATTTTATTTTGGGAGACCCTCATGACTCAATTAGCATTTCGTTTAAACTTTCATCGAAACTTTTACATTGAAATCTATATTTTGGAAAAAAAATTGTGGTCGCAGTGATGATCTTCTGTATTTCCACTACTACTCTAAATATATCGATGCTTAGACGGCCCCACGAACGGAGGGTGGTGTTCTTGTATTCACGACATGCAACCTGCATGAAGACTGGGCCCCATTAATTCATCTTCAACTCCAGCTGAGGCAGTTATATTGCACTTTCGTTGAAGGACCTGAAGAGATGGCACGGCTATTTCTTCTACTGTGGACCTTCGTTAGCGCTTTAAGCGCAATTGCCAGTTCCAAAAAATTGTGCTCAAGGATCTTCTTTCAAAATATTAATGAAGAAACCATGCCGTACAAAATGATTGAAGGAGTTTACATCAGGTAGAAGATCAACCACAACGGCTTACCTGTGTATCAGCGTGAAAACGACGATTTACTGTTTTATTACTACATAAGCAAGAACGGTGGGAAGTACTTGGTTTTTGGCTTTAATCTCCAGGTAGAAGACTTCTTCGGCGTGGCTGCTGCTGTTTACAGCGCTGCTGATCCTGTTTCTTGGCTGACTTCCGGGAGTTTGGATAGAAGTGATGCCTTTGAAGGATTAATAAACAAGTGGCTGTTCTTCAACGTGCGAGATGAAAAATATTACTGTGTTGCGGTTGACAGCTTGTCACCTATGATTAAAGCTGTGTGTGTTGATGAGGACTTCAGACAATGCAATTCGGACAGACTTTACTTTAATGTCAAGTTCAATGATAGGAAAGAAAATGTTTTGAATCATCCCAGTCGAGACTATTTCTCACGCAAGCAAGGCGTCTTCCGTAACCTTCGCCCTGTGTATGAGCACAGCAGTCAAAAATGGTACCTTCAATATATAGACGGCTACTGGATTGTAACAGGAGCGTACTCACCAAGAGGTTCAAACGATCGCACTATAATAAAGATCAAGGATTTTGCCCTACGACCAGAGTATATCAGCAAGACTTGGTCGGTCCATTACAGTGGATGGCGTGATATGCCCAAGCTTAGAATCCTGTGTAGAGGAGTAAATTCAAAGTCTCACACTTGCCCTTCAAAGCCATGTGTTAGCAATTCCACCTGCGTCTACACTTCAGATAACGAAACATTGTGTCTCTGTCCTTCTGGATACTGGGGCGTGACTTGCTCTAGTTATAAGCAATGCCCAACTCCTCACCCCTTAGAAGGAACGGAACTTAGCCTTCACTATCTTGGAAAAGGGCCCGGCGATCTCGGTTTATCCTTCTGCAGTGATTCGTATCCTTCCGTACGGTTTTCCCTCTGTGTGGATGCCAAATACAGCTTTTCTAAACCTTACTGGAGGAGGCAAGGAACCGCCTATCTCAGCAGCATCTTTGTCAGCGGCGTCGCAGCTGTGACAACCAAACGTCCCTCGGAAATTACAACCCCTCGACATCTTCGAATAAACTTTGATGACAACCCTTTAATAATCCCTGTGGTTTTAACCTGTGTAACTCTCACTGAATTGCTCTTGCCATTTATTGTCTACTATTGCGCTAAGTGTAAGAAAAAATACAAGGAATGGAGAGAAAAGCGAGAAGACCGGGCAAGGCTGCAGGAAGTTAGCAGGGAACTAGAAAGGGGACTACAACAAGTTGCCCGCGCGGGAAATCAAGAAGAACGCAACCGAGGCGTTCAGGATTACCAACGAACCGTCAAAGAGTACCAAAGTGAAAGCGAAGAGAAAGAACTGAGAAGAAAACGAGGCTTGTACAGAAATGTAAGTTTATTGAGGCTCATTTCCATGCACTCGTTTTTTTCGTTTTATCTGTGGCTCATGTATCTCGGAGGCTGTGATATTTCTCAGTGCACTCAGTATGGGCGGATTTTCTTCTCCTTGAAAATTTTTGGCATGGTTGTGCTATGCATCGCGTCTATAATCATCTTCGTAGAAAGCATCTTCTCACACGAGCTGAGCTACTTACGAAACATCATGCAAGACGAGACAGCCTGGGGTTACATACAGAAAATGCACGAAGTCGCACCAGTTATTAGCATGGTCGTGGAGTGTTACCACTACGAGACATTCTCGGTTATTAGGTCCCACATGGACGCAAACGGAAACTTGCAATACTACACAGACACTTTTACCCGGAGAGTGTTGACATTTTTGGACCAAGAGGAGTTCTCGTATGGCTCGTGGGTTGACGTTTCCAAACGAGAAATGCCGGCGCCCAAGGAAGTATCTCTTACTCGTGTGAGAATCGATCCGTGTATCATGTTTGGTGATCAGGAGACAGCTGATGATTATAAAATGCAAGTGGCAGCCATGATAGAGAGGAACCGTTTCCGAGATGACTACACGGATTTCTCGGCAAGAGGAGAAATTCCTGGGCTAGAGAGGAGGATCGCAGCTTACGTGGATTTGAGCGTGAAACCCTGGTGGATTCATCCTCTGTACTTTTGGCTTGCCACGCTGGTTCAAATGACTTGGCCTTATCGATGGCTGTTCAGAGCCAAGACCAGTAAAAATTATTACTCTCTAAAGAAGAAGATGTATAAGAGTACAACCCCACCAAGGGAAGCAGATCTTATGGATCCGATACCAATGCTGGAAGGTGATGCACCGTCCACTGACTTCAGCGTTCCTGAGAGCAACCAACTCAATGATGGAGATCGTTAATCTAGACTTGAAGAGAAGAAGCGTACCGAACCGTACGAAGAGCCCCAACCGTAGAAAAAAGCCATCAAACATATCTGTATGGTAAAGAGAAGATATTACATTAAAATAATTAGTACTTATTAGATTCGGCTTTCGTATGATATGATTAATTATGCAGATCGAGAAGGGTGTCCAAGGTGGATAACACCCTCCCCGATCTGTATAATTCTACATATAAGCTGCCGAATGCAACAATTGTTTTATATTACTAATTCAAAATGTTTAAAATTTTATAAAATCTTGATAAGTGCTATTCTTGCTGTATTTTTAGGTTGTAGTTTGGCTATTTCTTTTTCGCATAAATGTAACCAGCTGAGCAGAAGTTTTCTATCATTTTCTTTAGCTCTGCCAAAACAACTGAGCTACCGCACCTTTTGCCGTATCCGGAGGAATGTACCTTCAACATTCAGTCCAATAAACGTCGATTGCATTGATATCCGTAAGCATTTTCCAGATTTGGTCAACAGGAGCTCGTCATGCATATGAAGAATTAGCCAATCAGAAACGGAGAAGTAGTTTGAATTTTGTGCGCGATATTTTACAATGCAACAAAAAAATTCTAGCTTTTAGTTTTATTCTTTACTACCGATCCAGATCTATATTAAGGTCCGGCTTACCTTCACTGAAGGTCCCCAGTAGGATTCTTCAATCCTGTAATACCGGCCCAAAATTTGGTGCAGTCACGTAATCCCGATGGTTATTTTTGGCGTCCCACCTTCACCGCATACTATCAATCCCCATTGCCACCCAATTTTGCTTTAAAATTCTCCAATCCCGAGCTTCAAATAAGGAAAATTGCTGATCCTGAAAAAACCTATTGTAGTCCTTGCATTGATTAAAACTTTATACCTTAATTTAGTTTGACTACAGACAGGCCACCCTCCTTTTGGGTAGTTGTTACTGACTTAAGCCGGTAGAGGATGAGCGCCGAAAATCTTTTGTACCATGCAGTTCAGCAGGCACTCCGGAAGTGGTCACGTAAAATGACACTTCATCTACAGTTCTTCTAAGGAGCTACTCCGGCAGCCCACAACCCCTGATGATGTCAATCAGGTTTTAAAAACAACTACACGAACATAGGTTAGTCTGCCTGTGACTTTAGTGATAGAAAAAAAAAGAGACCTTCGCTGGGCCTGAAGCAAATTGAGAAATCTCTTGTGCACGTTGAGATCGTTACAATTGCAGAATTTTAAAATGTAGTCGATAAATAAGATTATAAAGTACTATTAGATAGTAAATGTTGTACCACGACGATTCAGAAAATATTAAGTGTACAAAGAACTGAAATAAGAAAAAGGTGTAGTGTCGTACCAGTATGCGTTATATGGGAATTGACTGTACGTTGTATGAATATTTTTATAGGTAGTAGCATGATTTGTAATGATATTTGGTAAAAAATACCACGAGTGATATTATACGAGTGAAATTTGAGACAATTTTGATATACCGGGAATGGTATTTATGCCAAATATCACGTACAAATCATGCTATTTTTCAAATTAAGCTGAAATACCACTTCTCTAAACCAATAAAATTGCAGAAATTTCTTACGTAGTAGTATAAATGTAAGAAATTGTATTAGTAAGCAGTTGGAAATGTTCATTAAAGGTTGTTGTTAGTTTTGTGCTTATAACCGGTACACTGATGGACTTAACAAAAGGTAACGTAAAATGATACTCAGTAAAGTAAGACTTGAGCATTCTTTCATTTCCTCAATAGCCTGTTCCAGACGTTTAGATGGTGGGGTGCGAGTTAATTGTACGGTAGTGAGCGTAAAAGTTAAACGAGGACAAAAAAAAGAGACGACAGTCAGTTGCGGGGGCAAGAAAACTTTTTCGCCCCAGTCTCCCCTCGTTTTTTAACAAAAAGTTAAAATAAGTTATTTTTTTGAAAAATTTTAGCTTTTGATAGATCATACTTTTAAAGTATTCCACCTCTAGTATTGTTTTACGTGTAGAAATATCAGCAGTTAATTTAAAAAGAATCTTCGTGAAAAAGCAAAAGCAGACACGCGAACACCCAATTCGGAGCACGACGTCCAGTCATAACAAAAATAACAAAATTCCAGTTTCCAGTGTATCTTTACCATGGATAATAGTTATGATTTTTACTATAGCGAAGGACTGTACAGAACGACTGTCTGCTGTTCGTGCGTCGGAGAAAAACAGGGAATGTTACAGCCTAGTCCCCAGGCGTTCTCGGCTCGGTCAATCCTGGACTCTACCGTGAGCTGTGACGTCACCGAGAGAACTTCGCCCGGACAACGGGGCAAGAGAGAACGCTGGGAATGTTACAGATTGACAATGTTTTTACAAACAGTGACGTCTCTGCGAGTTAATTGTTTCACTAGTATTCCGAACGGACGACCTCCTGAAATCGCAAATACTAATCCCCAGCAAGAAAACCAGGATTTTCACCATGGAAAAATTAGTTCCCGCAAACATAAGCTTCTACGGGAGTTTTATTCTCCGATCCGAAAGATAAAACTCTCACAAAAACTTCGTTCCACGTGGTATCTTAGTATAGAATTCATTACTTTTAGAGTATTTTCTGTTCAGCTGGCTTTCACCATCTGAGTCCAGCAACAGGGTTATATACTTCCAGATCTAGCTGCTGCTGGGTCGATTAAAAAAAAAAAAATTCTGTTTTGCGGCAACTTTTAGTGAGGCGTTAAAGTTTTTAAGGTCAAATCACCCCAAACCGAACTTCCTGGCTTGCGGAACAATTTCTTGTACGGTTAACTCTTTTTACCCTATTTACGGTTAACGGTGAAAATTCTTCAATTTTTATGGCTATTGACTAAATTTTTGGCCGTTTTACGCCTATCGGTTAACCCTATAGAGACCCTCAGCTCTAATGTGGACAGATTTGACTGGGCCTAAGTTGTGCGTGAAACTCGAACCTCCTACCGTCTCTCCCCCCTTCCCCCCCGCTACACAGGCTGCTCCCTCCCCGAAAGGACTATTCTATGCGTTCTAAGGTACTCTTGAGGAAAATGAAAAGAAAAATGATGGAACTACCCGTATCACAAAATGCAACTGTAATTTTCGTGAAAATGATGTTTGGTTTTATAGCTGAAACTGCGGTAAGAAGCTTATTGACCTGCGGATTACACCAACCTCAGTATGCGCTTTCGCCTTTTTAGAGAAGTCCCGGGTTATGTTTGTGTTACAGCGGAGGAAATGAATGAGAAAGGGATCCTTGGGTATCAAATTTTAGCTTTGTTCGAAGATGCTACATAAAAGGCATTTTGTATCCACTTACTTGAGCTCCTGCGGATTGTATCTTAACCTCACGACGCGGTTTTGAACTTTGCACAAAGATGGGAACCAGTCATTTATGGTTCATCGACCGAGACGGAAGAGTTTTCCTTTTTAATTTACGAGACAAATCCTGGCGCCATATCTCTACTCCCAAACTCGGATCAAGGAACTGTTTTAAGCGAGTTTCAGCAGTAGAACAGTGCGCGTGGGCGATCAGCGCTAGCCAGCAGCCGTACCTGTTTGTTCATTCCACTGAGCTACCGATCAGAGTGAAAGTACAAACATACGAGAATCAAAGATGGGGAATTTATGGAGGATGGAAAGCCACAGAGAAGTCGGTAAGACCCTCATTGCTCTTTTATGATTAAATCTCTTAAGCAGAGGACCAGTATTGATTAAAAGTGAAAACTTCTGACATCTTTCCCCAGCCATTTTCATAATGTGACGTTACTATTATAAATAAATGCACCTCTCAGCAGCCATCCCGTTTATTGACCTTGGGGATTGACCCTTGGGACATACTTGAGCGTGGCATGGGATTTGCGATTTTCAACCTTTAATATTACATAACCATTCTATAAAAGAAGTATTTTTAATAAAACAATAAGAAAATGTTATTGAAATTTGGAAGTGCCTTGGAATACTGTGCATTGTGACATGAGCCTTTATCTGAACCAACTGTTTCCCCAGGGGGAGCTTTTTTGTGGAGAAATGTTGTTCTTGGATGGGGGGATTTGTAAACGTTGCAGTGCAAATGCCTGGGGGTCTGTCAAGGGTGACTGCTGATAAAAGTGCATAAGAGAAACTTGACGACCTCTTCATGCTCTTATGAGTCAGCTGTACTGTAAGTAGTGAAGGCTAGCACTACAGGCTCACGTATTGGTTTATGTTTGGATGATACTTGGCCAATGCTTAACCAATAATCCATCAATCATATCCATCAACCACTGGTCAAGTGTTGTTTGAGTACTGGTTGATATATCTGCTATTACTTAGCCTCCTAGCGGGCCCTGGTTATTTTAGTTTAGGGTGAAGGGAGAAATTTTTGACAATAGGAGAGGAGGCACATGTTGCAGAGACCCTGGTTTCCCATTTATGCCCCCGATTTAATTTGTTTACTTGCATCAACTGTAGATTGAAAGCAGATCATCTAACAACATGAAATTATTGATATATGACCCGATGGAAAATAATCCTATGTATAAAGCAAACAATGCAAGTTTAAATTAGCAGCAAACATGACAAACATGCTTACGTCAGTCCTGTTCACCCTTTCATTAACAAAAATCTCTGCTCTATTTGTGTCAATCAATAAGGGTTATTTTAATGAATTTGTAAAACTTATGTCTATTGCCACTTCAGGTGATGCTTGTATGATGTGTTATACTTTCCTTGCTTTATTTCTCTTGAACAGTCTTGTTTTTCTTTCATGTCACAAGCTGACATTCCCGTAGAAGCACCCCCCCGCTGCTTGATTAGCCTGCGTAGCAAGCATTTCCAATAGAGTTATTGTGCAAAAGTTAGAGCGGGAGCAAAAAAAAAAGTTGGAAGGGAGAGGGGAAGGGGAGAAGAGGAAATGATTACCCGCTAACCCCTCAATTCTGGAAAATGCCCCTTGATATTTCACGGTTCGGTTCATTTGTAAATTGACAGTTCGTCAAAATAGAACTAACGAACAGAGTACCCCTGGATTACCAGATTTGTAAAATTGCTTTGTTCTCTAACAGAACATGTTCCAGGCAATTGCAAGAACCGTAATAAAAAAGGTTTACAATAAAAGAAAGTTAAAACTCTGAGCAATTGCTGCAGAGTTTCTTGTTTTTTGTTGTGTGGCTTTATCTCATCTGAAAATAATGTTGACAAAACGTCAAAAATGATTTGTCCGGAACAATTCACTCCACCGGCTATAAGTTTTGCAGAGTGGCTGCTCCTCAGCCTGTGTCTCATGCGGAAAAAACGCGCGGAAACGCTTGCTACGCAGGCTACTGCTTGATCCCAAATTTTGCTTTGCAACGGTTGCAATGCTGTTTCTGGTCTTTGGACACCAGTCAGTAGAACAAATAAGTGGAATATTTTTAAAGAATTTTTAAAAAAATTAAATTTATTAAAAATTAATTTTTAAAAAACCTTTCTTTTGAACCCGTTATGAGATCTTTACCAAGGATAAGATGACACAATGCTTTTCATTGCGCCATCTTTGAACTAAACAATTCAAAAAGTCCCTCCGCCATGCCGCATTGTCATCTGTTTCAGAAAACATGCCTCGAATTTCCACCAACTGGCTAATAATGCATTGAGGTGACAGACTAATTCCCAAGAGCCGGTGGAATTCTACACACTGTCATAGAACTTAGAAAATGGAAAACTAGGGCCTTCCACCACCACGTGGTTGGCTTAGTTGGGAGAGCGCCGGTCTGCTGAGTGGGAGGTCGGATAAGGACGAAAAACCATAGGTCCCGTCTCACAGCACTTACGCTTATCTGGTTCTTGTGGGACATAAAAGAACCCACACCACTGTTCGCAAAAGAGTAGGGGACGTAGACCCCAGTGGTGGGGTCAACCTTCACACATCAGATCATTCACATCATGGGATGGGTGGGTACAGTAAGCTCATAAATGACTGAGAGTGGCTGCCAGTGGTGCCTTTGTATGCTGACGTCAGAGCTTACTGTTCACATGTTAAAATGTATTGTAAGAAGGCATGTCTGTTGTCCTCTCATACGCGGCTCTTCATTCATTCATTCATTCATTCACTGCAGGCGACTCCTTTTCTCTTCGTGTGTTCCCCTCGTGAACTCTATAAAAACTCACCAAAAGAATAACCGGCACCTGCCACGCAGGGCACCCATTATGTCATAAACCAGGCGGCTGCTACTGATTAGACATCATTGATCGTCGAATAACAAACCATTTGTCTTTTGGGGAGGGGCTCTCATTTGCTAGTTTTGCCAAGGTTCTCTGTGGGTGCTTATTTGGGAATGACATCTTATTAGAGCGTAGGCAATATTATTGTTTGAGGAAAGATGGTAATGGAAAGTTATTGACCAAGAAGTAATATTAAGCTTCAACCATATACTACAGGGCTGTCAGGGGACCAGTCCCCTGAGTACTATTGTGACAGCAGCATGACCCCTCAGGCTACTTTCAGAGGATATCTTTCATATATGGAGGAGAAAAGATTGAATTATGGCACTATTACTATACAAGCAAAAGATGAATCCAGAATACTGCTTTACATAAGTTACAAGTAAAACAGCTCTGTAACCCATAGACCTTACCCTGGTGATACATATTTCTTTGTTTACCAGTTGAAAATTGTGTTTTACATTTTGCGTGAATTAAAGCTGTGGAGGGGTAGTGACATCACTGGATAGCATTAATGCCCAGTGCTTTCAAATGTCTCACTCGGGAGTGTGTGACTCAAGGAGATGCCTGAAATTCAGGCTAACCTTCTTCAAAATACAGTGTTATTTGATATCCTGTCTAATGTATCAAAAACAGCATGGTTGGAGCAATGTGAATTTTGAAGAGGGAAAGAGCACATTACAGGCCCTCATTTCTTTGAAGTGCTTTAATTATTGACAATTCTTGCTGTTTCACACAATGTTTTTAATTAAAGATAATTCTCAATGTTTTAAATGGAAATCCACAACTTGTGTGTATTGTTCTTGCAGATATTGATGAAACACACAGATCGTTGGGGATGGAGTAGTAAAAATGGTAAACTACATTTACCCAAGGAATCTTTTCAGTTGCCATCTGTTGAGTGGATCTGGGAAGGTGACTGGTATATAGATCATGGAATTGAGGTGGACAATGAGGTACATGTAGATGGAATTTGTCATACTGAAACCTTTAAAACTAACTGTAAACTTTAGGTGGGGGGGGGGGGGGGGGTAATTAACACTTTAAATAACTGGTAAACCTGTGGCTCACTAAGTGTCCTCAACAGTAATTTGAGACACTTTCTAGATCAGTTGGAATTTGGATACAGTCAGCTCTCTCTAAGACGGACACCTTCAGGACCGGCCTCTAGTGTCTGTCTTAGAGATATGTCAGGTTTATAGAGAGTCAAGGTAATTCGGCTAATTATAAGAAAATAAAGCTGAACCTTTCGGCAATGTATACACATCGGTTTTACTGTGCAAACAGTAAAATCTGGAACAATCTAATAGAAAAGTGCTTTTGTGGTTCTCCACGAGGTGTTTAGAATTGACAATAATGGTTTCAAGATATGAGCTGTTTGAGATGAACTGTTTTTGGTTATGCAAATTTCTTCCCCTAGTTGTAATTTACTGTCATGCAGAGCACCTACATTTCCTACTACATAAATTAACTTCTTAAGTGTCAGCTGGCAGTTTCAAAAGTGTCCATTGTCCGTCTTAGAGAGGTGTCCGTCTCATAGAGAGTATTATTACAGTACAATAAAATGACTGGAAAACAGCAGTGACCAACACCATGTCTCCATCTTAGGAGCTGTCCATCTTAAAGAGGTGTTCATTAGGAAAGAGTTGACTGTATGTTGATTTTTGAGAAGAGGGGGAAACTGCAGTACGTGGAGAAAAACTTTTCAGATCATGCAGAGAAGAGTGCTAACAGCAAAATCTTATCCCAATAATGTTGTTGATGCCAGGATTCAAACCTGGTCCACATTGGTAGGATGCGAGTGCTCTGACCTTTGCATTAGGCAGCCTGCTTCCCCAAATCACTTCTCAAGATCCTTGCCTTGTTACAGAATTACACTTCATCATATGGCTGAATCAACAAGTGGGCATACCCGATCTTGCCCGCTCAGGATACCCTGCTTTGGTCTCATATTCTTGGTCAATAACACATATGTATGTATTAAAGTTAGTAGCTGGAATTTGATTCTCCAGAAAAGAAATGTCCTGTATATACAGTGTGGGACTGTTGGTGACAGTGACAGTGTTAAAATGATGTAACGAAGATCAAACCCAAGTTTTGAAGTTGTAGAAAGAAAGCTTGAAAAAATTCAGGTTTTTACGGGGCTGAGGTAAAGACAGACAATTTTTTTTGGTGGAAATTTCATAGCCGCTCTTCTGATCGATTGTTTTTAGTGGTAGGTCTCAGAAATCCGAGATAAACATCACGAAGGCTGCGTTCCCACGGCGCCAGTCAAATTTTCGACCGGTTTAAAAATTTGAGCGGACACGTAGTCACACGGAACCGCTCAATATTTTCGCTTTGTTCACACGTAATTTTGAACGGCTAAGCGTTTGAATTTTTGTTCGCTTAGGGAACGTGAACGCACGAATTTTCAACCGGTCGAAAATATGTCAGGTGGCTGTCAAGGTTGTTTCCCTTGAACTTTTTTATGCTTTCTCACCCAGGGACTAGGTCTCGTAGCGGGGAATAAGGGCGAATAACGGACTGAGGTAACCTTTTTGAAGCCAATCTGTTACCTCAGGCATACTATGTATTTAGGACCCGTTTATGTGGAGAAAACTTCTCATTAAAAAGATGCGACCTTTTAAAACATTTAGCTATAAAAATTGCGAACAAACTTTTCTTAAAAACATTAAAGAAATTGTTAAAAAAGTTTAAAAATATACGACGTTTCGACGCTCTCGGGCGTCATTATCAAGTAAAAAAAAATACAGTACGAAATGCTATTCATCAAAGAACTGAGGCCTAGCCTTAACACTCAGAGTGACTGCATCAGTGCTAACTCTCTTTGTTCAACTGATAGCATACTTTTTATATGTTACTTTTCTTTTCAATGAACTATTGTTTTTCTTGTATTTATAGAACATTAATATAATACTATATTTGTTTACTTGATAATGACGTCCGAGAACGTCGAAACGTCGTATGATTTTTAACTCTTTTAACAATTATTTTTCTTAAATGGTTTTAAGAATTTTTTTTTCTCAATTTTTTATAGCTAGAAAACGTCTCCCGGGTGTTAGAGTCACTTGCCTACCCAAGCTACCTTGGCTGAGCCAACTTTTCCTATATTTCCCTGCAAGCTTTGCGAACTGTTTATCTTGAAGTGTAACCCACCTAGGCGGGTCAACCTTTTTCGATGATAGGGTCCCCTTCCTAGTCGGCCCAACTTTTCTCCATATACACTATAAGCGCTTCGTTGGCTCACCCAGCTTAGTCAACTTGACCTTTGACCAAGGCAAGACAATCAGAGCATGCGCGAGCGCTGTTGTCAGCTCGTGGCTCGGACAAAGGGGTCAACTTTTATCCATCTAAATGGGACCTTATTGCAGGCGGCAAGAGGGACCTGCGATGATAATCTTCAGTTTGCTGTTACGCATGCACGGCACGTACGTATATACCCAGCTTCGTTCGGACTTAAACTAGGAATGAATGGAATACACAGGCACAGAACGCAATCTGATCTGATGCGCGAGTTTGGACCTCTTTTGTTCTATATTGAGGGACATATTCAGATTACCCGACATCGTATCACCATCTTTGGCTACATGTTGATGAACTTAAAATTTGTTTGCTCCTTTTGAACATCTATCACGTGAGTCTTACGCAAATCTCTTTGAGCAAAAGCGTTCGTCGATCGATGTCACCCGCAGTCTATAACCTTTGGTTATTACTAATTGTTAATAGTGTACGCTTTTTTTGTTTCATTTCCTTTAGGGATGGCAGTATGCGGTTGACTTTCCAGCAACTTACCGTCCGAAAAATTTCGCTTTGGCATGTGTGCGAAGACGTTTATGGTCACGATACTACAGATTCGATGGCTATGATCAGTGGATAAAGGTTGGCTGTCACTGAAACGTCGCTTAGAAGTGAATTTACATTGTTTTAATTGCTATTATTCCATTTTGTTTCAACTTTTTAAATATGGGCGAATTTTATTGGAGTTTGCGTACTTAAGGACCGTGTTCAGGTTCAGAAGAAGAAAGCAGAAATATTTGTTATGTGTGTACGTCCTCCATAAAAATCTCGCATCGTTGTCGAGCATTGAAGGCTAAGGAAATTTGCAAAAAGCGTGATGTCGAAGCAAAATTATTTTTTGTTTTCTTATTAAACCTATTGCTTTTATGAAGTTCTCCTTGCCGTCACTGCTTTTGGTTGCGTAAACGCCCTTATAGGCAAGGTGCGGAGGATTGAACTCTGAAGAATGCGTAACCACCCGTCTGGCACTCTTGATTCACGTGGGTTTCTTATAAATTGTACCCTTAGCTCTCTAGCGTCTCTCTGTAAAGTTGAATATGTGACCGTGGGGGTTGTGGGTACGAGATTAAGTATGCATGTGATTGGTTTAGGTTCCTGGTTTGAGCGAGGACCCTTGTCAGCAGCCATTTCAAGATATCGCTGTGGGTGGTACAGCTATTCCCGGACAGGAGCCTGGTTACTTAGCTGTCTGGGCCGTCACGTTTCAAGGCAAGGTTGGTTGTATTTTGATTCTTCTCGCGCACATTCAATGTGACACTGCTTTCGTTTGGTGAATAGTTGCGTGGAGAATTCCCACAGAGGTGAAAGTAAAATGAAAGCGTCCTCTGTTTTGAAAAGAACCCTCTCTTCTTATCCTACCTATAAAGTAATCGCCTGGACGATAATTCCGTCTTTTCCGTGTACATCATCCGCCGCCCGGTTAGTTCAATTGGATAAGCGTCTGTCTGCCGAGCGGGAGATCGCGGGTTCAAATCCCGGCCGGACCAACATTCAGGGTCTTAAATAAACTGAGGAGCCGGAATGTGCTGTCTTTGTTGTGACATCTACAAATTGTTAGCCATTCTAGTCTTTTCGGGTGAGGACCAAAAACCGTAGGCCCCGTCTCACAGCTCTTTCACTGTTCTGATTCTTGTGCGACGTAAAAGAACCCGTATTGCTGTTCGTAAAGAGTAGGAGGCGTAGTCCCCGTTGGTGTGGTACAACCTTTTATGGGTTGGGTGGATATTGAAGGGTTTCATATTCTATTGGGACGTAAGTCCTGTTTCATCCCCTGTCACCGTAGTAAACTCAATAAAGATAAATATCGTTATATTTTCCTTACGTTTTCCTGGCCTCTTGTTATTCAGGTTGTATACCGATCAGGAATATCAGAAAAGTGTCCTGAGGGTGATAAGTGGATCGAGATTCCCTCCCCACAAGTTAGCATCACGCAGCTTTCTGTGAGCCCGTCAGGGATAGTATGGGGAGTCACCTGGGAGGGTGTGGCTGTTGTACGGAGTGGAGTCACCTGCTATGAACCCTTTGGTGAGTAGTGGCCACTTTAGGAACGAGAAGGAACGGAAGACTTCTGGGACTGTTACTGGGGACAAGGGGGTCCCCATCCAGTAACGATCCCAGAAACCATAGCGGGACACATTTTGCTCTAGTTCCCTCTCGTTTCTTTAATGGCGAATTCAGACGAGTTGTTCCTCGCTCAATTCATACAACTGTACACTACTAAGAGCCGGCCTTATTTTCTCGAAGTATTCAGAGACCCTCTGTGCGAGAGGTTGGGAGTTCGATTCCGAGGTATGGCTTTAACCAATGGGAGGCACTCCCTTATTTGTCCTAAACGGGTATGCCGCTGAATAGGGTATGGTTTTCTGGGTCTTGAATCTTGAACAGGGTGTCTTTTTGGAGTGAAAAGCTTAAAAAAAAAGCTTTTCCCCTAAAATATCTAATTCGTTAATGAATCGGGTCACCAGGGTTATGAAATAAGTAGTAGCGAGGACAGGAACCTACTGAGACGAAAACATTTTCAGAAGTAAGGACTGGAATTAAGTCCACAAATCGCTCTTGGCCAATCACCCTGGCACAAAGTTCGATGCGTGTGAACGCCTTGTTTCAGTTCTGTTCCGTCGCCGTTATACTGTACGGATAGCTTTCCATGTCGACACGAATAGCTATGCGGTAGAGATAATGACTATTTCGAGCTGCCGACATTATGACATATATACCTCATCGAATACAGCGCGCCATTTTGAAATGGCTATGTAGGGCACATGTGTGTGTTCACTTTCATACGAACGCAATGAGCCAGATGGCGAATTCGTAGGAAAGACAGCAAAATGCTAATCATGAGCTGTTTTGATTAAATGACTTTTTTTATGTCAGCAACTTGAAAGTCGTTTAAACGCATTTAACGTCTGAGACGTTATAGGCGACTGGTGTAAAAACGGGACGCATGAAAGTCGACGACAAAAAAAGGTTTTCTGATCAAAAGACACAGCAATGTCTTTTTCCAGTCGTCTCCGGACGCGTTGCGCTTAAATGCGTCCCAGTTGATTTAAGGCGTCCCCTTTTTGTACTAGATGCAATTAAGTCTGAGGCTTAAACGTCGCCTGGCTTTAAATGCGTTTGGCTTAACAAAAACGGCCACTATGTTTGTGAATTTTGATTAAAGGGACAATGTGGGAGAAAGTTGCTTCACCAGACGTGCCACAAGAACTGGGTCCTTGTCGCTTGCTACAAGTGTCTGCTGGACTGAACAGCGTTTGGGCTCTCACAAAGGATGGACAGGTACACACCTGAAAACGCTTTTTACGTCATGCGAAAAAATCTTTACAATTCAGCCATGTATATTTGCGTTATTGACCAAGCGTGAGGTCAAGATGCTCAGTCAAAAGATTGAACTTCCGAGCGAGTAGAATAGGTCCACCTGCCTGCTCGGGTAGTCAATCAGAACACAGGTTTGGCTTCGTCTTGCGCGCTGGTGTAGTCAACCATATAATAGGGACTTACTATCTATAAACGACGGCGGTAGTGAAAACGTCCGCCTCTCAAAAGCTGTGTATGCGTCGTTTTGAAATTTTTCGCGATTATTTCAACTCGTCCAGTCCTCAAAGTGGGGAAATACGCTGGAGCCGAAGAGAGAGCCGTACACGTTTAAAGAGTACTTTAAACTTGGTCATTTCACGTCGTAGCTGTGTAAGGAAGACGAAGTAAGAGCGTGATGCCCGTGCAGAATTGTTTTGCTCACTAACGTATTGCTTTTTTGACGTTCTCGTTTGCGTCTTCGTCATAGTTTCGGCACTTTCCGTTTATAGTCAGAAAATGGCTGGTTAGAAATTCGCTATTAATCAGAAGTGTTGAGCTAGATCAATGTAAAAAATAAAATGGAAAGAGTAATTTTTACTCACCGGTGAAATAGGTACAGTTGAACCTCTCCAGAACGGCTACCTTGGGGACAGAAGAACGTGGCCCTTGTAGAGAGGTGGCCGTTGAGAGAGGTTTAAACAAGAGTCAATGTATAGACTGTCCGCCAAATAAAGTGGCTGTCGCGAAGAGATGGTCGTTGTGGAGAGGTGGCCGTTAGTGGAGGTTCGATTGTAGTACGTACTATTATGAAATTAATTCCGTTGTCTTCTTTTTGTAGCTATTTCGTAGGCAGTATAGTAGGGATGTTTTACTCCTTTTTTGAAGTGAAATCTCGTTAGTTCGAAGGGGAATACATTAAAAAATCAATGACGTCATCGGTGTTAATGTATTCCACAGGAGCAAAACATCCTTTCTATACTTCTTTGGTATCAGTTGTCAGTACCTGTTGCACGGGGAAAGTAAAATAACTCTAGTTAAATCGTTAGCTACAAAGTGATAGCCTGATATTTGATTCGTCCGATCATCACGTCCGACCACAGATAGGATTTCATCGTACGTAGGTAGAGTTTCCGTCGGACATTGTCCGATGTCTGTCTATTATTTGCAGCTCTGTCTTTGATTTCTGTGCAGGTTTGGTTTAGGAAAGGTCTGTCAAGAGCAAATGGCCAAGAAAATGCGGTAACTGGATCAAAGTGGGTGGAAATGGTCGGAAAATTTTCTCTTATTACTGTTGGATTGAACGATCAGGTTAGTACTTCATCTACGCCGATGCAGACGACATGGCAGCAGGGAGAACGGAAACGCCGCTTGGGATTTTAAGCAACCAGGACAGCGACGGAGATGGGGACGCCCCTTACAAAGTGTGTGGTTTCTTGGTGTTGCGGACGTGTGCAATCACCAAATGACGTAATACAAAAGATTGAAAAAGCACTGAACAATACACGCACCACAACACAAAAGCGAACCCACAATGGTTTCCGCAACACTAAGAAACACCCACAAAGTGCATGCACGTTCTTTGACGATTAATAGTGGTTATTCCAACAGGCTCAATTGGTTAAATGAAGGCGGGTTTTCCTGGAGTTGAATTTTTAAGGAGCATACCAAAGTTAAAAAATAGGAAGAAAATTTTGTCGTCGAGTGTTTTCACGTCCTCTATAATACGTCACACTGGAAAGTTTCACGTCGTAGTCGTGCAGTGACGGCGGAGAAATGTCAAAAAAGCGTGATGCATCTGAAGAGTTGTTGTTTGGTAATAGGTGCGTTTGTACTAGACCTGTTCCCAAAGCTGCCCTTGCGGAAATGGCTGGGTTTGGGTTCACCGTAGGTTTTGATTTCTTTCATGTTTGCGGTTACACAGTAATAATAATAATAATAATAATAATAATAATAATAATAATAATAATAATAATAATAATAATAATAATAATAATAATTATTATTATTATTATTATTATTATTTAATATTTATATTGCGCAAAATACATGTAAATATGATCAAATGCTTTGGTTTCCTATTAACCCATAGAACCTACGTCGAGAACTGTCATGGGTAATTCTTTCGTTCCAATTTCCCCGAGGCAATTTTTCCATAGGGAATTCGGTCACACAGAAAAATTGCTTCCCCGTGGGTAAGAGCCATTTGCCTGTGGGTAAAACTGCTAGCGTGACCACACCTTATTAAACCGATTGCTTTCCTCATTGCCGTCGCCGTCGTGGTTGCTTAAACTCCCCACTATTAATATAAATTTTGGTATTCTCCAATCAGTCAGTGTAAGACGAAGACTGCGGACTGCGGACTGCGGACTGTAGACTGTGGACCAGGGGTAAGATGCAGACTGCGAGTAAAATGCAGACTGCAGAAGTTTTAAACATTTGTGCTCCTTCTTCTCCAAATAGCTAGCTGGCACATTCGCCAGAAGTTTCATTGAACATCCGAACAGCAAAAGTGTGCGTACCTTGATTTGCGATATTTTCATAGAAGGTTATCCAGCAGAACATCTTTCTTTGTTCTTGGAATGATTTACTCCCTTTTTGATCACCGTTATTCTTTCTGTACAGTATTCTGGGTCAGCAGCTTTTATTTAAGTGTAAACATCTTGGTTTTGTACCAATTCACGGTCACGTGTATCGAAAACTTGGAGCGTGAGGTCTCTAGAACGGAGAAAAGGTTCCAAGATTGCGATTGTGTTTTCGGGTCGTCGACGACGTTGAATGGATTTGTGAAAGCAGATGTCAAGTAAGTGATCGTTTACATGCATTTGCGGGATTTTTTTGCCCTTAAACTCTTCCGCAACTACAGTTTATGCTCGGTCTGCATTTTACCCCAGTCAGCAGTCCTCATTCTGCATTTTGCACCCAGCCTGTGTTTTACTCTCAGTCTGCAGTCTGCATTTTACCCCAGGTCCGCAGTCCGCAGTCCGCAGTCCACAATCTATTTTTTACACCGGCCGATTCTCCAATCGCGATTATTTCGACTCGCTGAAACTGCCATTTACAGGTGAAATTTTTCATGGTTGAATTCCTGGTGGCCACACACATGTTTAGAAAAAAACAAATCGTCATTTATATTTGGTGTTTACGTTCTCCATGAGACGTCAAGTAAAGAAATGTCACTCCTTAGTGGTGTTGTGACAGTAAGGTAGTAAAAAAAACTGTGATGCACGAGCAGAGTTGTTGTTCTGCAAATTAAACCTATCATTTTTCTTCGTTATCTTTGCTATTTTATTTCGAGGAGCAGGAATTGAAAGAAGTCTTGTCATGCGTTGTTTCCGCATTCTTTGAAAGTTTACTTTTATTGTCTCTAACCTTTCTCAACTTTCTAAAATGAATTTTAGTTTAATAAATGAGCAAAAGCGTTTTGAGCCTTTAACACTCTCAAACAGTATCTCTTCCAATCTTTCGATTAGTAATACTTCAAACCGTCTTTTGCAGACAATCTGACTGGCAATTACTTAAAATTATTTAACGTCAATTAAAGGGGACTTACTTGAAATTTTTTAGGGGGACTACTGGCATGAGCCCGCTGAGGCGTCTCCTACTTGTCTTATTCAAAAACTGATTTGCAATAGCAAGCTTTCGGTATATTAAAATTCAGCATGATAGCGAGTCTTAGAGGACACAAACAAAGAAAATGAATAAACATGAATAATCATGATTTATTCATTTTCCTTGTTTGTGTCCTCTAAGGCCCGGTTCAGACGCCGCTCCACTCATGTGCCGAACATAACTGAGTTTGGTTCGACTTTGGAGCAACATTGGCGTGACATCTGATTCAGACGGCGCACCGTGTGTCGAACCTAATCTTTATTTCACGTAAGGACTTATGGGAAGATTTATAAATTATCATAATGTATGCATTTGATTCGGCACATGAGAAGAACGCCGTATGAATCACCTGCCGCTCCAATGTCGAATAATGCGACAGACCCTGTCGAACTTAACGTTTTTGCCGCACCAAATTAAAACTGCCGTACCAAACTGATTCAGACGCCACTCTTTTGCCGTACTAATACCTGATTTAGGTTCGGCACATGAGTGGAGCAGCGTCTGAACCGGGCCTAAGACTCGCTATCATGCTGGAAGTTGCCTATTAAAAAGTTATTAGAAAAATTTAAAGTCATTAATTTATTTCACACTTAACATTTCCTTGCTAAAAGTGGTAAATATGACTAGGCGGCGCTTTGTTTGAGCACTTAATGTTCTTCGATAAAGAATTTCTTTTTTAAGTTTAAAATGTCGGGACCGTGTCCAACTGTGCTTACACTGATATATACATTTTATATGTACATTGTGCGATCTTGTTGGTTAGAATTTTCTTTGAGTTATCGCTTGATTTACTTATCACGTGGTTTAATGTTCAATTTATCGATCGCCGCCTTGTAGGGAGAAACGTTTGCATTCACCAGTCACTTCTTGGACTTGGTCACTCCCCGAAAATGGGGCTGCGTTTCGGGACTGAGTTTCGTGACTTCCTGCTCTAAAAAATAAAAGTAATAATGATAAACGATAGCATTCCTGAATTTTCTCATCCGAACACGCCCTCCACCGCTTAAGAAAATCTTTCTCCTTTCTTAACAACTCAATATTGCGGCTAAATATTCGCTGATAAACGTGACTACTTTGAGACTTAGCATCCCAAATTCCAAATTGGGGACAGTTAATCAGTCTTTTATACGCATTTTAATTTAGTCAACATTTTTTTGTCATACCTGCAGACATATAGCGAGGAATGATAAACGTCCAGCCATTATCATTAACTAATTATTGCAGACTACAAGAGCAACTCTGTGGTTGTGATAGTGGCTTCATGTGCCAATCAAAACAAAAAATTGAACAAACAAAATACAAGCTTCTCCTCTATGGGAACCTCTTTTCATTTAAACGCAAAAATGTGGTTTTGTCTACGGAGTTGAAAGTAACCAAGGACTAGTGCAGTTGAAATGATAAAACCAAAAGTTTTCCTTCTAACTGTGCATGACCAAGCACCACAGTTAGTCAGCCGAGCCGGGACTGGACCATCTTCAAGTCCAACCTAGGGGTGTCAATAAATGTCTACTAACCTTAACGTTTGAAAATCCAATGTCACGTTGTCTCCAATCAGCATAAAAGGAGCCCATTGTCCAACGTCAGAGAAGCCGTTTTCTCTCATCCACTTCATGGCCTGGTGAAGAGATTCACTGGCACTTTCCCTACGAACAAGGTGCTCGTAGAAACGACTCATAAACTGCATTGTCGCTTCGTCGTATATGGCCCACAGTGCCACCAACACTGACCGTGCACCGGATCCTAAAAATGCTCGAGCAATACCAACCACTCCCTCCGTCTTGATCTGTCCTTTTGCACTGTGACAACAGCTAAGGACTACCAGTTTGGCTCGCAGTCTAACTTGTGAAATGTCAGCCATTGTCAATAAGTAGTCTTCTTCTTGAGGTTTCCTATCAGTAAAAGGTGGAGGGGCAAGAACAATTTCTCCCCTTTCGGCATTGCCGTGACAAGCTAAATGTATCAGAGATACTGAATTTATGTTTTTAAGGACCGCCTGCTTTGTTGCCTGCTTTCCTAGCAGAGGTTGAATGCCGAGATGTTTTTCAATCATCTCTACTTCGTCGCCTGCAAAAGGCAGCCTCGATATTTGCTGAAGATTTCCCTTGTAAAGCACCTCACCCACATCAGGGTCCCCTACTATCAGTGCACCAGTGTGGCTGTGATAATCTGCTGGACTGTCCTGAATCATTTTGAGAGTTGTCAAAGAGGGAATGATGCGAATCCTGAAAGACTCGGATAAATACTTTCCTTTTTCGTCCTTTAACGCTGCAAATGGAACTGTGAAAAGCAAGCGATCAGGAACAATGATGATTTCGGGTTTATCAAGCAGTTCAGCGACAGGAGCGATGATCATTTTGTAACCATCGGCAAGAGTAAGGATGTGCTGCTGGTCGTCTGCATCCTCTTCTACAAGGCGGGACACTGTGAGACTATTTTCTTGTGATGACTTGCGCTTTTGGTGTAAGAGATCATTTGAAGGAAACCAGGATCGATCTTCGCATTGCTCCGGAGCTAAGCACTGTACCTTTCTGTAAATCTCGCTGGAAAAAACGTCAGCCACTCTGCTTGCTGATCGTTTGCCAGCGAAACAGTCATTGACGTTTTTGTGTCGCAAAATTAATTGGTTGTCTGCTTTAACAACAAACAAATTAATACAGTCCTCATAGTATGAAATGTAAAGACAAACACAGTTGTTTTCTTTCTTCATGATTCTCTGAATACCATCCCATGCCTGTGGACAGACTGATCTTTCGTTTTGTGTGGAGTATTGGGCTGACATCAAGTCTGCTAGGGCTCTGCCTCGTCCAATTTCCTCTGTGTAAAGACCTTCGTAAGGATTCCCAGTAAGGCAAAGCAACTGACTCATAAGTCTATAGTAACTACTGGTCTTGTCAAAATACGATATCTTGAATTGGTCATGCTCTTTCAGAAAACGGCGAATAACTTCTCTATTGTTAATGCTTGCAAAGAAATGTGATTTAGCTTCATGTGTGTTGTCGATTATCGTGCAATATGAAATAATTAAGTGGGTTAATAACTCTTGTTCTATCTCCCCAATGTCTTTATATATTGCGAGTGCTCTTTCTAAATATTCTTTAGTCTTGACGACATCATCTCTGTAAAACTGACGTGCTAGAAGTTCATACAGTTTTGCTTCTGTTTTCCTGTCGCCGATTTTTTCGGAGATTTCAATTGCTTTTTCTAAATATTCTTTAGCCTTGCCAAATTCTCCTCGAGTTTGAAAGATTACTCCTAGGTCTCCGTAGCATGTGGCTTCTGTTTTTCTGTCACCAATTTTGTTCGCGAATGCAAGTGCTCTTTCCAGGTATTCTTTACCCTTGGTATATTCGTTGAGAGACTCAAAGACTTTTCCTAGGTTTGCATAGCATGCGACTTCTGTTTTCCTGTTGCCAATTTCTTGTGCGATTGCGAGGGCTTTTTCAGAATATTCTTTAGCCTTGACATATTCACTGAGACAATGGAAGACTCTTCCTAGGCTTACATAGCCTCTTGCTTCTGTTTCCCTGTGGCCAATTTTTTCAGCGATTGCAAGTGCTTTTTCTTGACATTCTTTAGCCTTAACATATTCACCGAGAGAATGAAATACCATTCCTAGGTTTACATGGCACTCGGCTTCTGTTCCCCTGTCGCCAATTTTTTCTGCTATTGGCAATGCTTTTTCTTGATATTCTTTAGCCTTGACATATTCACCGAGAGAGTGAAAGACTCTTCCTAGGATTACATAGCATTTAGCTTCTGTTTCCCTGTCGCCACTTCTTTCAGTGATTGAGCGTGCTTTTCTAAGGTATTCTTTGGCCTTTGCATATTCACAGAGAGACTGAGAGATACTTCCTAGGTTTAGATAGCATGTGGCTTCTGTTTTCGTGGTGCCAATTTTTTCTGCGATTGCAAGCGCTTTTTCTTGATATGTTTTAGCCTGGTCGTATTCACCGAGAGACTGAAAGACAACTCCTAGGTTTTCATAGCATTCGCCTTCTGTTTCCCTGTCGCCAATTTTTTCCCCTATCGCTATTGCTTTGTTGAGGTACTTTTTGGCCTTGCCATATTCAGCAAGAAACCAAGAGATACATCCTAGGTTTAAACAGCATTTGGCTTCTGTTTCTCTGTCGCCAATCTGTTCTGCTATTGCAAGTGCTTTTTCTTGGTGTTCTTTAGCCTTGTTATATTCACAGAGGCCCTCGAAGACTCTTCCTCGGTTTACATAGCATTTCGCTTCTGTCTCCCGGTCTCCAATTTTTCTAGCGATTGCAAGTGCTTTTTCTTGATATTCTTTAGCACTGTCATATTCCCTGAGAAAAGGGTAGATACATCCTAGGTTCACATAGCAGTTAACTACTGTTTGGCTGTCGCCAGTTTTTGCGGCGATTGAAAGTGCCTTTTCTTGAAATGTTTTAGCCTTGACATATTCACCGAGGGACTGAAATATGTTTCCTTGGATAACAAAGCATTTTGCTTCTGTTTCGTTGTCGCCAAATGTTTTTGCGATCGCAAGTGCCTTTTCTTGGTATTCCTTAGCTTTGTCATATTCAGAGGTCGGATGACATATACATGCTAGGTTTATATAGCAGTCGGCTTCTGTTTCCCTGTTGCCATTTTTTTCTGCAATTGCAAGTGCTTTTTCTTGATACTCTTGAGCCTTGACATTTTCACCGAGAAAATTAAAGACTTTTCCTAGTTTTACGTAACATGCGGCCTCTGTTTTTTTGTCGCCATTTTTTTCTGCCATTGCAAGTAGTTTCTCGAGGTATTCTTTAGCCTTTACGAATTCACCAAGGGACTGAAAGACTCTTCCTAGGTTTTCATAGCATGCTGCTTCTGTTTCCCTGTCGCCAATTTTTTCTGCTAACCCAAGTGCCTTTTGGAGACGTTCATTGGCCCTGGAATATTCACAGAGGCACTGAGAGATAATTCCTAGGTGTGCATAGCATTTGGCTTGTGTTTCCTTGCTGCCAATTTTTAGTGCGATTGCAAGGGCTTTTTCTTGACATTCTTCAGCCTTGTCATATTCATGGAGAGACCGAAAGATACTTCCTAGGTTAACACAGCATTTAGCTTCTATTTCCTTGTCGCCGATCGTTTGTGCAATCGCAAGTGCCTTTTCTTGATATTCTTTAGCCTTGGCATGTTCACCAAGAGACTGAAGGATACTTCCTTGGATATCATAGCATTTGGCTTCTGTTTCCCTATCGCCAATTTTTTCTGCGATTGCTATTGCTGTCTCCTGATATTCTTTAGCCTTGACATATTCACCAAGAAACTGAAGGGTAATTCCCAGGTTTCCATAGCAGTTGGCTTCTATTTCTCTATCGCCAATGTTTTCTGCGATTGCAAGTGCTTTTTCTTGACATTCTTTAGCCTTGACATATTCACCGAGAGACACAAAGATTCTTCCTAGTGTTACATAGCATCGTACTTCCACTTCTTTTTCTCCAGTCTCTATCCCAATGCTAATTGCTTTCAAGCAAAGCTCTTTTGCCTTACCGTACTCACGTTGGCATTTATATGATTCCGCCATGGAACAAATTACTGTTCCTTCTAAAGTTTTGTTGCCAGTCTCTCTTGAAATGACGAGAAGCCTTTTGCCACATTTGATTGCATTCCTGTGATCCTTAATAAGACGGTACGCTTCAGACATCTGTACATAAACCATTAAATAAGTTCGCCTAACAAACTCCTTTTCATATTTTAGTGCTTTCTGGCCGAGAAGAAGTAAATGTTCTTTGCATAACTCGATGGATTTATGAACACGATTTGTGTTAAGGAGGTACAAAGAAACAAAAACTGTGACCTTGATGGCCCACATAACCTCTTCTATGCTGTACATGACAAGATTTTAAGAGCTGAAAAAAAGACAAAAAGAAAAGATAAAGAACGTACACTAGACGAAAAAAAACAGAAACAATGTACAGTTGATTAAATCAGTACTTGATCGAAATACCTTCGTGATCGCCTTATCATCATCATTTATTTTATCGTGGTAAATGTAAATGTAAATGTAAATGTCGCGATTGAGAGGACAAACATACATGTCCTCTTTACATAGCTTTTTGCAGTGGGCTCGGACATCAGCATACTAAGGGCGCCGATGGCAGCCGCTATCAGTCCATTTATGAGCCCACTGAACCCTCCCAACCCATGATGAGTGATGATGTAAGTGATGAAGATAGACCACAACACCGGGAACTACGTCCCCTACTCTTTTCGAATAGTGTGTGGGTTCTTTAACGTCCCACAGAGTTATATGTGAACAAGGTTTGTGAGTCATTACAAAGACAGCACTTTCTCCTCAGTTGTTTTTAGACCCTGTTGTTGGTCCGAATTCGAAATTTTAAAAACTGGAACCGGGCGGCCGTGGTTTTTTTTAAAATGACGTCGCTTTTTTAAAGGCAAAATGATACATAATTATCAATGGCCAACTTTATCGTTCTTCAGAAAAAGTTCCGTCTTTATGCGGGTTTGCGTAGCTTGAAAAATACAGCAAGGCTTTTATAGCATGTTTTAAGTAAAATGCCGATTGGTGCAGGTGAAGCCGGAAGTTTAAATAAACCGCTTGCTTGAGGTAAATATTGGGACTCTCAATCACTCATTCACCTGATAAACGAAACATTTTGTTTAAAAAAAAATGCTAAATATTTAAAACTGTAGGCTAAGAAACAGCCGACATAACGTAACGCCGCAACTGGTTTCCCCAACAAATGACGTCTGAGGAACGAGCGCAGAAATTCCATACTGATGACGCGTCACTACCCAGATCTGGGTAGTGCTTCTGATTGGTTGAATATTTTTTTGATCCAAATAGAAGAGGGTGTCTTATTTATTCATTTTTTATCAGAAGCAACACTCAGATCTGGGTAGTGAAGCGTTAGCTAACCTGAGATCAGGCACTATTTTTGTTTCGCTTTGTAAATAACATTCCGGCGGGCAAGGCAATAAACGAAAAGAAAACCTGATACAAACCTTCTACGAAATGTCTGTCGCCCACTTTTTTGATTGATTGACATTTGCCGAATCTGCCAACCAAAATTAGTTCCGTCGCATGATTTTTACTATGCAAATTTTTCATACGTGGGAAAATGAAGAAAATAGCTTTTATCTTTTTTATAACTAAAAATAAAACAACACAGTCACACTTAACAAGGAGATCTTGACGGTTATTTTTGTTCGCGTAGAAGGTAAAACGTTTTCGAAAAGACGGCGACACGATGTTCTAGTTTTAATATTTTGGCAAGGTGTGCTCGATTTTTAAAATAGTGAAATTTCTATTTTTCTTGTTGTTTCCCGATTTTCAGTTCATGAATCAGAACAAACCAAACGAGTTCTCAAGTGCATTTAATTTAGTCCTGTGAGTACACTTGCAGTTTGCGAATTTACTAAAAACAACCGCCTAGGAAAATATATTTTTTTATAAATCCAGGTAAATACTATCTGCCACTTTTGCTAGACGAAACGACAATACTAAAACTACATGCGCAACGAAGCTATAAACAAAATGATAAACAACTATTACAAACACATTTTGTAGTTCTGTTGTGTTGTTGTTTGATTGCAGTTCTGAAAAGCTCGCTAAATTTAATGACCTAAACTAACAAACAGGAAACAGCCAACGAGCGAGGACAACAGTTTTTCTGGTTACCTTTTTTACAAAAAGCGAAGGCAAACAACAAGTCTGTAACCTTACAATTATAAGACTAGTAGCACTGACTTTTAAATAATGCCTACGAAAATTCCTTGCACAGCGATGCGATATTTTTCGTCTAATTCCCGACTAAACTTTCAAATGAAACCAGTTCTAACATGGACAGTATTTCCACCTGCAGTCGTTTGTTGGTAAATCAAAAGGCACCTTGTTTGACGTCATATGTCAACAACCTGCAGAGGGGTTAGGCTCCGCGTCACACTCACAACAGTTCCGTAAGTAGGCCACTTCCGAGTACCAAAAACCCTCATTTTCAAAATGAGGCTAGGTGCACAACCTTTCTTGTGGAAATTAGTTTTATTTGCATGAGATTGAAAAATGATTTCTATATCAAAGGCTGAGCACGTACCCTTGTTTTGAAACAGAGGCCCGGGGAAACTCGGAAATGGCCTATACAGCAAATCCTGAGAGGGTATGGACAATATCTGAATTTTCTGAATTTCCATGGCACATATTAAGGTATATTTTCCAACCAGAAGACCGTAAAACAATAAAAAAGACAGCAAAATCCTTCTCTCCACTGATGGCGGATCATTCGCGAAAACAACCACGCGAAGAATAACAGCGTTCAACTTCCGTTGATTCCAACAGTCAATCAGATCCTGTGGCATATTGTTCAAACAGCCAATCAGCGTTGCCGCCAAAATCGGCCCCTGCAGTAAGCACAAACGTGAGAGTTTGTATCAGGCGCAATTTTAGCGGGATTACGTAAAAGAGAATGTATTAGAATTCGCTAAAATTGGGCCTGATCTCAGTTTGAGCGTTAGCTGTAGGTAATGTCTGCGATCGCTCCTTAGACGGCATGACGCGGGGAGAGCAGTGGTGGCGTCCCGAAATGTTCGCTGTTTATACACGCTAAATTTTACGTTAAAAAGCACTTGTCAACAGTATTGTTTAAATTGTTATGCCATGCAAAAATGTAATCATTGACAACAAGCTTTTGAGAAGAAAACTCGGGTGGCAAAATTTAATGGAAAACTACAAAATCTAGTTTCAGAGAGTAAAAATGGAAAACAAGACTAAAAACACCAAGAAATGTCGAATCAACAGTGCGTAAAAGGCAGATTGAAGATCAGTTCGAAAAACTTCAACTTCTTCCCTGTTTTGCGTTAATACTTGAGCGGTTTTGACGTTTGATTTGTTTGGTTCTCTTTTCACATATTTTTTCTGAATAATAAAATTCATTTGTTTCTAGCTACCTTATAACACGAAATTTTCGCGAATTTCGCGATACAGAAAAAAATCGCGAAATTTAAGTGACGCGAACAATAAGTGTTGCGAACACATGACGCGAAAATTAAGTGACTCGCATTTGTCCATAATCAAGAAAGAACGAGTTTATTACGATCATATGTCTACTTTTCTGAGGAATTTTCAGTGTAAATGGATGTTGTGGTCAGTTGACTCAAGAACAATAATTCACGCATAGGCATGAACTGCTGGCGGACATTGTGAGAACTGCTTTGTTGTTACTGTTGACATTTAGTCCCGCTGTTACGTTTTTCTTAATTTTGACGATATTGTTCCTTTGATAAAGTCGTTTTATTTCATCAATTCAAAGGTATGTTAAATAACATTGCCTTTGAAATGAAAATCGTTGTACTCAAAAACGCGAAATTAAAGTTATCTATACTAATTACATCTTTAGCCCTTGAAAAATGTAAAAAAGAATGCAATATTCTTTAAATTATTCTGGTACAAGGTTTTTGTCCTCTGAAAATTAAAGTTTCTCAATTTCCTGGTGGATTCCATCTATCATGTGAATGAAGCCGCCAACGATTCCTTTCGAAGAAACGCCCGCTCCCGGAACCAATCAGTTTGTAGGATTTGGAGAATTCCGCCCGCTCTCAATGTACGAAAAATTACATATATCTGAATAAAACGTTCACAGAATAAATAGAAAAATAGATTGTACTTACCTGGATGCCTCTCACAGTACTTTGAAAAGTAAAGTCTTAACTGAATTTCTCAACATACTAAACTTGATGCTGAAGGCTTTTTTAGACGTCGTAAGACTAATTTTTTGTATAGAAGAGCCTGTTAGGCTTTTTAGTAATATTTTAGTTTCGTCGAAGTAGAAATTGAAATTGAATCTTAAAAAAAGAAATGATGAAATCCGTCGTATCTGAGAAAGCATACATCGGAATCTTTGTTGAAAAAGGTTTCAATTATGGTGCATTTTTTTTAGAAATGATTAGCTGTTTGAGGCCTATCGAGAGCTCTGAAACTAAAAGTCCAGCGAAACAATAAAAGCAAACCAACAATAACAAAAACCACCGCAACTATGTAAAGCCAGTTTTTGGGTGTTCTTTAATTCGTAGTCGTTGAAAATGAGGATCATTTTTCGGTTATTAACAAATTTAAAGGGATGTGAGCTTTTCAGTTTATGTTTATACCCATAGAATTGGTAGCAAGGAGACAAATAGCGACTTGCAAACTTAAGTCGTTTTTCAGTTTCGATGATTTTCTTAACTAAAATATTCTTTGTTCTGTTTGATTAAACTTGTTCGCTTTTCAGGGCCTGAGTGACAGCTCTGAAACTAAAAGCTAAACGAAACAAAGAAAAACGTGCTTCAAAAAGAGGGCCTCAAGAAACTCTTGATAACATTGCACATCGCGGGAACAATTTTATAAACATCGTACCTTTGCAAATCATTTCAAATTCGTTGTATTTTTGTAAAAAATAACGCCAGTTTTCTAAACTTTAAGGTTTCATTTTTTTTTGCCTGATATAACTCGAAATGGGGCTTTATTAAACCGCTTTCCCTTGTCCGCGATCTATTGATACGTCCAATATTTCTTGTCATTTTTTTGAACCAATAAATTGGAGCTAAACACTTAGCCGTGTGTTATTAGGTTGAAAGGCACTAAAAAGTAATATAAAGTAGTCAAGAGTTTTCCTTCTTTTTTTTGAAGTCCCGTAACTCATAAGCCTCCTAAACCCTTTTGCAGGTGTTTGCCCTTAGTACTCTTGGTGACCACATCTATTTTCGTACTGACGTGACACCAGACGAGCTTGTGGGAAGAACTTGGAAAGTGATTGATATTAGTAAGCCACAGATGCCTCGCAGTGAATCCACTGGCTCTGATATGGCCAGCTATGATGGCACCACGTTTGGAAACAATCAAAGTGAGACACTTTGTCTTGTGCTAGTTTTATAAACAAGTAGGAGTGTTTTATGAAGTTTTAAACACGAGGTGCAGCTGAGTGTTTCACACTTGATGAAACACGACATTCGAGAAAACGGAGAAATGTAAAGGTAATTTAAGGAAGGTTAACATTACGCCAATTTTGTCAGTGGTTGTACTCATCTGTGCACGCAAATTGCTCTCCTGCTAAAGGCTGGCCGTAGAATGTTACACCCTGTAACGGCTGATATTTACAAACTACAATCCCAAAATACGCTGCGAGACTCGCGCTCATTCCCAGATTTCTTAAATCAGCCGACAAAATAGTACTTGATGCTAATTTTCGATTACTGCATTTAACATTATTCTAAATTTTTATCACGTGTCCTGTTTTTTTTCCTTCTCTTTACTAAGGCTCCTTTACAGAGTCCGATGACAGCTATAGTGCCCAGTCCACTTCCAACCTGCCTTGTAATATAGAGTTCTTAACCTGGCTGAGCAGCGGCGCATGTCAAGTAGATGCTGCCTTTTTCACTGAGGTCAGCGGAAGCCTGTTGTCCTCTGCCTATAGCATGAGTCTGATTAGTCTTAGTAGTAGAGATGCTGCATGGAGGAAAACTGTCATACAGAGATTGCGCACAAGAGATGCCAAAGAAAGTCCCACATGTGACAAGTTGTATGAGGAAGCTGTTTCACAGGTGCGTTGAAATAGATAAACTTGCCGAGGCCTAAAAGCTGAGCTCCCTTTAAACGCTTATGCTCGAAACGGGGAACGTAAGACCAATTCATAGGCTAATAAACCTTATCTTGCTCTATCACTTGATGTAATTAACGAATACAAGTTAAAGACCAGGATTAAGTTGCTCAAAGAAATCAACTCATATGTCCTGTTTGCAGTCAACCCTTGGAAAGCTAACTTACACTGGCATGTAGCTCCGTGAGACTACAGTACTCGTCACAAATCGTTGAAACAGGAGCCATTTGTCTAGAATTTTCTCCAGATTTCTTATATTCACTCCTGACATCTTCGCTCTCACTTAAATTCGCCCCTCTCCTTCCCCAATGTTGAGCCACGCGTATTTTGGACCAGTGAGACGACTGTAATACCCAAATCAACATTGGGGAAGGGGAAGATCAGACAAGTGTTTCAAGATTTGTGACGAGTATTGTAGGTCCAGGTGATTTAATAGAATCATTTCAGGTAGAATCATCTTTACCCTCAGTTCTTTAACTAATATGTATTCAGAGCCTGGAAACAATGTGTTGGTTTCTTTTAGCTTGCCTAGAGGTGACTCTAGGTTCCTTTACCAAGGCCAGTGTAGTAAATTTGGTACTAGGAAAGGAACTTTTCTTATTCCTTACACTTCTTTACATAATATGACTACAGCCTTTCAGTAACCTTGCTGAGCATGCGCGTCCATGTGCGCAAACTTAGCCTTGCTGCTTTACTGGGGAGGTAAACTCAACTGATATAAAAAAGGTTACGTCTCTGGCAGAATAGGCGGGAATTATGTTTGTGTCAAGTAAACTTTAAGAGAGTATTCGGTTTTCGCTCCAAAACTGGGAAAGCTCAAGATAACTTTCCTTTACTTTTGTGAAGTCTTATATGAAGGTCAAGCGTGGTTGAAAATTTACGTCGTAACGACTTTACTATAAGCTATTTAACCCTTAATAAAGAAAATGATAGCATAGATAAGAAGAAAAGAGCAGAGCGACAGACGTGTTTGGCTATGTGTACCATTATCACATTTGATTCCCCTTGGTGTGGACGTACGGACGTTCGGTCACACGACAATTGAAAAAATTCAGGGGCATAGATGCCCCATTTTCTCGCCTATTGTGCACTTAGCGAGGATGTTAGTTTTGGTTCTTCCCCAACAAAATTTCAGATTTTTTCTGGCAAAGAATTGTGTATTTGGTACTTGAAGACAGTACGTGAAGAATGTATTACAATGATTTGGACCTTTTACATCGAAAGCAGATTGAAAGTTGGTGTAGATTAAAACGCGCTCAAAATGCAAACACATACTTGTAATAGTCTCAAAAAAGGTGTTTGAATTCTATTGCACTCAATATAAACGTCACCGTACTTTAAAACGAGTTGTGACGCAACGGCAACCACTTAGAATATACAAAAGAATAACTAGCCTACGTATAACGCCCAGTCACATGTCTGTAAAATACAGATTAGGAAGTGAGCCTACGCTCTGCTTGCTCGGAGGATGCTGATTTTTTAAATCCCAAGGATCCAGCGTAGCATTAGATATCTTCTTGCCATTAGCATCCTTTTGCTTAAAAGTGTTTTCCTTGACAAGTCTGTGGAGAGATAAGTACTCTATTAAACGGTTAACTCTGTTACTGCCGGTGTTCCTTAAATTGTGATTTTTTTGGCCGAAGCCGAAACTCTTTTAGCGCGACGCATGTAAATAAATGAATAAATTACTCGTACTTTGATGGCGACAATGGGATCTCTTTGAGAGGAGTTCTTTCATTACACGTAAATTTACGTCCTTGAACAAACAAATTGTTTACCGTGACTCAGGAGATATTGATACTGTTTAACTTTGCTGCTGATTTTCATTTGTCCCAATATCTCCCTTTCATTCATCAGCAGTGGAGATCATTGACAAACAGCGGCAGTTTAACGCCGTCGTGTTGGTGATCACATCGACTGTGATCTGATTGCAGTGGAGAATTACTTCAACTTCGAATCATAAGTAGACTTTTAGCAGCGTACAGCATACATGTTGTGTTTCTTCGCATATCCGGAAATTCCAGCTGAACGTGCAACCCAACATTCCATGTCTTATACCATCTGATCAGAAATTTTCCCGAGAACTTATTTTCGCCATTTCCAGATTTTCTTTCGGTCCGGCTGTGAAAATTAGATCCTGTAAAATTTCAATTGTACCACACTCGTTAAAAGACTCACCGTTGTAGAGCTAGATTTCAGGAGGGGGGGTTCCAACACAAGTATCTCAGAGTGAATTTAACGGTGCAAAAAGCGAAAAACTGGGTAAAAGAATCATGCTACGAGCGTATACCTTAGCTGTGGTCTTGAAGTCTTCTTTGCATCGCTCGTTACAAGGTCATTTTCACGTTCAATGTTTCCCATGAGAGGTTCTAATTCGTCCTCCTTTTGAATTGGTGTTCTCTTGTTAAGGCTGTTGAGGTAGTTTCCGCGACGTTCGACTAACCTACAATGAAAATGAAAAGTGAAGTCGATTTTATTTTACTTTTGTTGAAACTTTTCTGTAATAGACATATTACATTGACACATTGCATTGTTACCGTTTTTCCTTTTCCTCCCTTTTGGCTTTGAACGAGCTCCAAGCTATCCCCATGTAACAATTCACATTATTCTGCGCAAAAGAACCTTACCTTGAACGTCGGTTGAAGACTGATTCTTGTTTTTTTCAGAGTGACGTATGAATAGGCTGCTGGCGCGAGCTTCATCAGCCAATAGGAGGAGAATGCGTGCGCTAGCAACCAATAAGAACCAAGCGCGCGCTATTTCAGACAATGAATGAAAGGACGTGCTTCATTAGTCAAGAGGGTTCGAACCTTTACATTTAGTAACAAGTTGCTGAATGTACCGGTTTTGGTAGTTTGGTTTCGTGGGTAAAGGAGACTAGACGTTTTGGTCCTGACAGTAAGACGATGTTGCTAAGTCCTCGCTATTGTTCTCTAAAGAAAGATCTGAGCACTTTCTTTTATCAGTTTGATGCTGGATAGATATACGCCCCCTTTGGGGTTTGATTATACTTTCTATATCCTCTTCCCTAATCAAAAGTTTGTCAGGTGGCTGTAACGGCTTTGTCGTCTCATCTTCGTTTGTTTTACAGGGTGAATGGTGGAAGAAGGGCCACTTTCAGCTGCTCTTCGATGCCAACTCCAACATGTGGTGCCACTGTTTGTTTAAACTTGACCCAGGAGGAGAGGATCGACAGGGAGCGTTACTATGTTACTTCGAGAAAAACTCTAATTACGAAGAGATGCGGATTCCGCTACATGACATCACGTGCGTGTGTGTCCTTCATAAAATGTCACGCAATCACTGTTTTGCAATTCATACGCCTGTCAGAACTCAGCAGCGAAATCCTCTTGTGATTCACACAGGTAACGAAAAGGACCTTAACGACTGGGTTACGTCATTATCAGGGGCCGTTTCGCGGGTACATAACCGAAAGGGCCCCGCTTCACCCAGGGCCATTTGGGCGACAACTCGTTACGGAGATGTCTTCTTTTGTGAGACACCCTTGGTCGAAAGCGAAGTGCAGCCAGCGCATCTGTTTTGGCACCAAATTGGCGGGCACATGGACAAGGTGGAAAGCGGGGCTGCTGGAGTTGTCTGGGGCATCAGTTTTGATGGTTTGCCTTTTTATTACACTGGGGGATACGGAGGAGGCATATTTGCAGGTTTTGAAAGCAGCGTGTTAGGTATTCACCAGCAAGAGGATTACGAGTGGCACTATATTTTCGAGAATCAGCGGTGGAACCCATTAGAAGGATATTCAGACAGGTGAGTGACACATGTCAATAAAATTGATTGGCAATTCTCAGGATACTCTAAACAGAGGGGGAATTACGACAGGTAGAAGCGGGGCCGTGAAAAAGTGAGTGAGACATGTCAGTATGCAGGAATAGCGTTCTATTTGTTTCAGTAGTAACTTAATTCAAGCAAGTGAAAGGTGTTCTCCGATAACTTTGCTGTACATGTACATAAGTGGTGCTACGTTTTGAGTCCTTGGGTTAAATCCTATAGTGTGACCATTCAAAAGAAAGCTGCTTAGCAGTACTTTACGGTCGTACTGTTTATTATGCTGTACAAGGTGGTTCAAACTTTTGTGTCTGTGGATAAAATCCTAAAGTTTGACCATTCAAATAAAAGCTACTGAACAGTACATTCCTTTGGTGCTGCTTAATATGCTACACAAGGCTTTACAAGTTTTAAGTCTGTGGATGAAATCCTACTCGGTTTTAGAGAGTGGACTGTATTTCAAATTTTCTTTAGTGATAACTGCACTCGTGAGTAAAATACTTGACTATCACGTATGCTTACAGACGCCTTCCCAGCGACCGATGGAACTGGAGTGACGAGAGCGGAGTGTATGAGCGAACGAGAGAAGGGTACTCACTTCCGTCAAGCCAGTGGCAGTGGTTAGACGAACCGTGGACAGTGGAGACAAAACCTAATGTCACTGATAAGGATGGTTGGCAGTACGCTGTGGATTTTCCGAGGTTTGTAGCCTGCGAGAAAGCTGTCCAATTAGGTATTACGATAGAAGAGGTGTCACTCTCGTTTGGCTAATGAAGCGAAGCGAATGGGTTCTTGTTTTTCAATTAGTGCTAAGAGGCGAGGTGCTAGAATACTTAGACACCCTAATAGAGTTTAAGATGATGGTGATGATGATAATGATGATGATGATGATGATGATGGTGATGATGATAACGAAACAGGCTGTTTCGCGGAAGGTAAAGAAGAAATAGGCCGTTTCCGACTTCCAAAATATCTCCTTTATTAAACGAGGCTATCTGCAGAACCTTTCTTGTGAAAATGAATTTTATTTGCATGAACATAAAAAATCATTTTCATCAGTAGCTTGGCACTTAGTCTCGCCTTGAAACAGAGGCTTGGGACAAATTGGAAATTGCGTATTAGCAATAGAGACGAAAGCACTTGCTGCAGAACGCAAAACGCGTTCTGAAAATATGACAGCGCTTCATTGCTTCGTCACGGACGCGTGCTCGCGCCCTGAAACTAGAAATTATCTTGTTTTTGTAGACTTTTCCGTGCGTTGTTGTGGCCTCATTTCGCAGAACGTTACTAATCTGGCCAATTGGTGTTGGTGAGCTATTGCAAAAAGTGTTTTCTTTTTTTGGGGGGGGGGCATATCTAATACTGCTGCACTGTTTCGGACCGTTAAGAACAGATGACGGATCCTACACTCCGTACAAACCTTCAGCATTGCTAACAGCCCGTATTCTGGGCACATACGAAGCGTGCATCTCATTATTGCATCAGGGCACAGTCAGTAGGATATTTAAGGCCTGTTCGTATTGGCTCGGTAGACCCAGATACTCGCGATGAAGTTTCAAAGAAGGCGATTGCATTTTATTGGTGACATTTTTGGCGCCATTGGTGTCGTTTTTACTTCGGCGGAGCGCGAAGTAAAGGATTCGCGACGCTCAGGAATGTATCAAAGCTGCAATTTTTTGGCAAGATTGGGCAAGCAAAGTCTGTGGATTTTCGGTTCTGTTCGGCTATTTGACGCCGAATTAGTTCGAGATATCTCGAGATCACTTCGATTTCTTTGATATACTCTTGAACTTTTTCGAGGAAGAAAGAATTATTATTTTGGCTTTCTCGGGGTTTGAACCGACTCACCTGTGTGACCCGTCAGATCAGAGGAGACTCTAAGTTTAGGGATTAGCCGATTGCGCTACTGCGACCCAAGGTAGTTTGAATATGAAAAATAGTTATGAAATGATGCACTAGTTTCGGGACAAGGTTGGGCGTGCAAGTTCGTGACTTTTCGCCTTGTTTCAACTATTTCACGAAATGAGACCGGACTACTTCGTGATATCTTGAGATCACTTCGAGTTTAGTCTTAAATTACTCGAGGAATAAATAGAGGATATTTTGTGGCCGCGCAGCGACACGAAATTTCTCTTCGAGTGTTGAAAAACATTTCAAGAGTGAGCCCTCCGTTCGACCTGTTTTATGATGAATTTAAAGTTACAAAATGCTGCACAAAGACATTTTGTCTTTGTTGAGTGTTACGTAGTAAAATTTCTTTCATGCGTTGCGTGACTTTCTCGAACGTTCTCTACGTTTTTGGATTATTCATGAATAATTAATCAGGGCATGTTTACATTTCAGCCTGAGTCAGCAGATTTGCATCAGTTACTGAAATCATAAAATATGTCGAAAAGCTACTACTATTCGCCTGTTTGGTATTTTCTAGAACCTTATGTCAAACGGTATTCAAGTTCGAAGCGAGTTCTTTTAACGAACTAAGTTTTTTCCCACGAGCTGGACTGGTATGTTTAGTCAAGTGTGACAAAGGTCGATTTTCAGGTTCTGTGTTTACAAGTTCGCGGAAGCCGTAAGATATCTGAAGTTCAAGTGAGAGTTTGTTATTATTGGTAGAGGTTGTTTAGTTTTACTCAAAGTTCAAGTCAAGTTTGAGTTGGCGGATGCTGTGTTTTAAAGCTCTGTAAAGGTTATGTTCCTTTGGTGTTAAACTTCTTGTGTTAATCCGACATCCCTGCGTGCTGATAATTATCCTCAAAACATTCGAACTCGTGACTTTGAGTTTTAGCCAATTCCATGCTCAACGCAATTGACTCCTTACCCATGCGTTACATATCTTTAATCAGTACATGAGACTGCTATGCTGTTTTTGAAGCCTGATGTGACTAAGAAAAATAGAGATTTGTTTTTTTAGAAGGAATTGTATGGCTAATATCTCGGAGACAATTTGTCCCGAAATGCTAGTTTTTGGCAAGTAGGCCTCTTGGATGTTGCTCTTTTCAGAATATCCTGACAAATCCCATAATTTCACAAATTAACACCTTACTCTTACCATATTTGATTTCTTACTATTCCTCCGCATTTACAATTAATTAGTTCCACAACCTCGACGCCGAAGTGTACGCTCCGTAGCGTCTTGTTCCGTAATGTAAGTCGAGGGGGGCTGTAATAAAAGTACCTCTTCCCCAGTCTTACTTGGCTTGTGCGGTTTGGTCGACTCTTATTATCCTGACTGCTGACATGTTTCCCACTTTCAAATTTTGTAGGAGCTATCACCGAGAGCGTGGTTGGAATGATTACGTTAGACGAAGACGCTGGAAAAGGTTTTTGTTCATTTGTTATTACCTTCAGTAATTTAAACTACAGTCGAACCTCCTGCTATCACTCAGAAATTGTATAAAATAAATCCTCTTCAAATACGTACACAGCGGCGGAGGAGAGTTTTGAAACGTCGGGGGAGCACATTTTTCACCCAGCCATGCGCATATCCCTACTCAAATTTTCCAAAATGCCCTTTGCGTTGTTCGTCGGCACAAGCGAACCTCTTTACAATCTTCACAGTGTCTAGCGTCAGTCCGTAAATCGATTTGTGACAATGCATCAGTATGCAGTTGTGTCCTGCTTCATGGTGCTTCTTAGGGAGTTCTTGAGTATTCTGAGGGCAGAAAATGTGTATCGGAAACTCACTAATTCGCAAACTCAGCAGAACTGCATATGAATACAGTAGCCTGTAAACATGATTCCATGTTGAGCGGGGCGAAAAAAGAAAATCGGCGAGTGTGGCCTGGGTGGGGTGCATGTAGTCTTTGTTTTGATGCCGCCTATCTGCCCACTTGCAATTATCCTGTATGTCAATAACATGACAATAAGGTAATTAGACCTGTCAAATTACGATGTTTTTTACGCTTGGATGGATCGACTTCAATAACATTCGCGCGCACGTGGGTATTTTCCGTGAGTATTGTACAGTACCGCAAATGATCCCCAACCGCAAATGATCCCGAGACCGCAAATGATCCCCAAAATGGACCGCAAATGATCCTCGACCGCAAGTGATCCCTAAAGGCGACCGTAAATGATCCCGTGAAAACTTGAGGAATGGAATGGATTTTATGGGACTGATTACAAAAAAGGACTGATTATAAAAAAGAAACCTTTTTCTCTCGCCTTTTAAAGAAGAAGGGAAGGAGGACGCTACATCTCAGGTCAATTTATACAAGGCGAAAAACAAAAACTGAAAAGGTATGGTATTAACCGTATACTTCTTCCTTTGTCGATTGTTTCAATTTTCTTTCAAGAATGTTTCATATTTTGAAAAATTTAAGACAGGCAGGACGTTATGCCGAAGAATTATTTTTAACACCTAGAAGCTCAACTTTTCTACTGAGGAATACAAAGCCCGGCACCCTCTACCTAACAAGAGCTTTATTGACTTTACTGATCTTTTTGAAAGCGTGAAATTAATCAGCGAGAATATTTCATTTTGATTTTTTTCTGAAGTGTTAATTTTACGTGATAAACCGCAAGACATTTGTTCCTAACTTAGGTGCCCGTTACGAAACAAGACGTGATTTAACATAAACACAAGTCAAAATGCCCCCGAACTTATCAATGTCCACAGGTTTCGGTTTATTTCGAAATAGCAACTTTCTCACATCTCATGAACGTGTTGTGAATAGTTATATTAGCGTTTTTGTGTATATTCATTTGTTGTGCTTTGCTGAAGACAGTTACCAGGAATCTAAACCTGGTAATGAGAAACGCAAAGCCAGGTAAGCAGTAGTTATCGCGTGACAAAACATCGTAAGAAACCGTCACATTCACGGACTAAAACAAAATCGCTTATGATTATTCCGATCCAGGAGGCACTTAGGAGAAAATTAAACAACCTAAAACCCTCATTTGGCGGCAATGAAGAGCACTGCATTTCAAAAGAGGCCAAAGGAAATGCTCTTGCATCAAAGGGCAAATCATGCCGACCAGAAACAACAATAACCGCAGAAAATGCGTGTCATGACCTCTCAGTATGAAATAAGCAGCAAAAATCCTATTTGCTCAGTCAAAACGTTTTCCTCAGAGGTATAATCTACCCGCCAGAGCCGGAAAAAAGTCATTGGAACAAGCAGCATTTAGTATTTATTCATATATTTATTTGAGAAGTAAAATTTAGCTTTTCACCTGACTTATTGTAATAATAATAAAATCGACACGATGATCCGCTAACTTGAGTCCAAGTCATTCCCATTTTTCTTTCGGGATCATTTGCGGTCGACTTTAGGGATCACTGGCGGTCGAGGATCATTTGCGGTCCATTTTGGGGATCATTTGCGGTCTCGGGATCATTTGCGGTTGGGGATCATTTCATCGCTCACTTGTCAACAGTCAAGAATGTCAAGAATGAGATCATGATACCAGAATTTGGTATCATGGATCGGCGCCACATCAAAACAATGCCCCAGGTTACGCTTGGCTCGCTTCACTCGCCTATTTTCTCTTTGGGCCCGCTCCACGGGAGCTTCTTCTCAGGCTAGTTAATGAAAGGAGCAGTGGTATCGTTACCATAGATCCTCAAGGGAATCATATCCTGGTGAGCAGTTGCATGCGGCTGCTTCAAAAGCGAGGAAACAGAAAACTCAGTTGTGCTATCATATCACAATAACTGACATTTATGTTTGAAAATACACTGAGAACATTATTTTTCTTTCCACTGAAGAAAAGCTAAACTGACCACAACTGGTCCTTGGATGAACGTGACACCTCAAGTAAGGTTACGTGACGTATCTATCCAGATGGACGTGTACGATGGCTCTGTAGCAGTGTGGGCTGTAGGGACAAAAGGTGACGTGTTATATCGGCACGGAGTCACGGAAGATTGTCCACAGGTACATTTATTACCTTTTTGTAATAAAGTTCACATACAACCACAGCACTCTTAGTGGTTGAATAAGCGTGCTTAATGACAGTATAAAACACGGAGCTAAAGCGATCACGCCATCTGCCAATAGTTTGTTTTGAAAACTAGAAAGTTCTGGTTCGGGAATTTACGGGATTCTTTATCATGAAACGAATAAAATAGCCTTGACTCTGCCCTGTTCTGTTGTCAAGCACTTGGGAAGTGGTTAGAGTACTCGAGGAGTAGGAAGAAGCACTCGACTACATGTCGTGTTTTTCCGTGCTTTAAAACAGAACAGAGTACAGTCAAGGCTTCTTTAAAATATTTCTGCATTTTTGATTGGCTCAAGTAGTTTGTCATTAATGAGATGTTGTAGATAGGATGAACGAGTTTTTCTGAAAATACAATGACTGAGTGTTCTTTCTTTGTGGACAGAAGCAAAGTGGTCGTATTAACCTCAGTTCCACTTTACCAGCTGTTATCAGCTTTTAGCCGAGGTCTTTTGTTTTTACTCTGATAGAGAATGTTGTTTTACACCCTCCTTGCAGCAATACAGGACGTTTAGATTGTCATTGTCTTTTTAAACATTTGTTCATGCTGGAATAAGTCATTAGAAGCAGGAACAGAAAAAAAACCATCTTTCGTTTCGTTTGTCCGTATCATTTTTAAACAAAACAAAGGAAAAGAGAGGTGAAACAGATAGCATCGTGTTATTAGCGAACGAGAAATTTTAGCGCCGCCCTCAAATACGCGCGACACCGAGAAGAAAAAAAAATGGTGAATGTCAAGGCGCTTATTCGAGTACAACAACTCGGAAAGATTAGAAACTAAAAAATGATTGGAAAATCCCCATTTTTCTCGCAGCTTTGCTGCTTACGTAGGCCGTTCCTCCTTCTAATCTAGAGCAATCCTGCCTCGCGCCAAAATACCAGGATCAAGTATATCCTATCTGTTATATCGTAATTACGCTGCCTACTTACGGTTAGGAATATTATCATGGGTTAGTTTTAAAGGGTTTATTCGCTGAACCTTCGGAAAGATTTACAAGAGAACAATATACATATCGTGCAGCTAGTAATTAAAATTACATTTTTCAAATGAGAAATATTACAATGGAAAACACCTTTTGCATTATGAATGGTTTAAAGGTAGAACGCAGATGGCTTATAGCCATATACCACCTCACTACAAGTATATCTTCTTTTTTTTTTTTTCAATTTTTTTCGCCGCAATAGAACTCAAAAATCTGAATTTTAAGATGTCTTTTCGTCAAATTACTAAAGCCATATTTCGTACCACCTCTTATTACAAAATTGAAAAGAGTATATTATACAAGATTATTATACACGGCAGATTGTTTGTTTGTGGAGATTTACATCTATCCTGCTTTTTGTTATGCCTGGCTTAAGATATCGCTTGGAATGTTACTTGAACCGCTATTTCAGGTGTAAATCTATGGGCAGTAATCATTGCCTAACTCGCTTAGGTGATCCCTTTTTGGCAGCTTTTAAGTGAAGTTGTTATTAAAATTTTAAAAGAAGTTGAAGTTTGATCGATTCTGAAAGCGAGAATTAAACTCAGTCTTAATTTGCTGGTTGCTTTCGTCACGGCAAATTATAAATCCAGTTTTAGCTAGAAAATTCTGTGAGTTATGACAGCTACATTTAATCTGTGGGTATTTCTCTTATTCAAATGAAAAAAATAACAGTCCTATCTTTACGAAACTATTCTCGAAATCCCCCATGGCGTTTATTTATCTTATTTCAATTTCCTGAGAGAAAACAGAAAATATTGAAAATAACAATTAAACGTTTACTTTTATTGTTACCATTAAACTGTTGTTCGTTTGTTAAAAAGATGTTCTAGAAACGTGAAATTATTTGGCCTCATTTCAATAAGCTTAAGCTGTTTTATATATGCGTTATTTATTTTGGTGTTTATAGCTAAACCCTTAGCAAATTTGCATGTTGATAAGTCGTCAAATGATTAAGCCGCTTTTAAGCGGTTGTGATGACAGATGCCCATCTTCGTCAGACTACTAAAAGCTTCGGGGGCTGTATTTACATCCAAATTCGCGAAATACAGCGTAATTTAGGGACTTGTAGGAGTTGCTTTGTGGTGTGGTTAAGTGATAAAAGCAGGAGGTTAATACGCTTTGAATGGCGAACTACACCATGTTTGACAAAACTGAGCAGGTAGTTGGCGCCGAGCAGTGCCCCGATACTGATGAACTCTCAGGACGGTCGTCACTATTCTTTTTTGCCTTTATTTTTGCTTCAACGATAAACATTTTTTTGAGTTGCGCTGTTATAGTTGGAAATACTTTGATTGTTTGGGCTCTTCGCGGTGCAAACTCCATTCACCCTTCCTCGCGAACGCTGTTTTACTCGCTGGCTGGCAGTGATCTCAGCGTCGGCTTCGTGGTTCAACCATTCAACATAATCCATCTGGTAACCTCCGTTACAGGTGATTCAGTAGCCTGCTTGAGAACGCTGCCTTATCTTAATGTCATAGGGTTTGCATTGTGCGGCATATCGCTTTTGACCACATCAGAGATCAGTGTTGATAGACTGTTAGCGCTTCGATTGAAGTTCCGTTATCGATTTGTCATAACTCTCAACCGGGCGCGCTTTGTTGTACTTCTTACATGGCTCGCGAGCTTCGCTGCTGGATTAACAACTCTTTGGAGCAAGGCAACATTCACTATTTTACAAATAATCGGCGTTTTCACCTGCATTGCTGTGTCATCAACCAGCTACATATGGATACACGTCATGCTTCGCCAACGAAATATACAACGAAGAGAAAGACAGCTCGCTTGGGAACTACCAAGCTTTAGTGCCACGAATTCGAGTGGCTTTAACAGCGTGAAATATAAAAAGACAGTGTCTACAGCTCTCTGGGTTTACTGCACTTTGTTGCTTTGCTCTATGCCGTACATGGTTGTGGCGGCGCTCTGGGCAGTTTTCGGTGGAAGCGAAGCAATTCTTATCTGCCATGCTTTTACACTGAACCTACTATACTTTAATTCCGCGCTTAACCCCCTGTTATATTGTTGGAAGATCAGAGATGTTAGGCGTGGAGTGAAGGACATACTTAGTCGGCTTTCCTGTAGTCCATCCCATTAGAATTTTTCGAGGTTTCTGATAAATGGCATCAGCGCATTGAGCTGTCCTTCGTTACTGTGGTCAAACGTAACGATTTCATCCAGACATAAACGTTAGAATCAGTTTGGAAAAGTCTTGTCCAATAGTTTTGAGTTGAATGGTCACATGCACTCGGCATGATTTCCGATTCTCAGAGTCAATAGTTAGAACCACCTTGTGGAGCATAACAAACAGTACCACAGGTTAGCACTGCTCAGTAACTTTAGTTTAAATGGTCACACTAAAGGATTTTATCCACAGAATCAAAAGTAGAGAACCTTGTTATTTCTAAATAAGACCCGGCCGTGGCATCAAGAACTGCTCTGGCTGATATAATTTACTCTTGGTAAATAACGATAGCAGATCTGCGTCGTAACAGTTTGGAAACGTATTGTTTTTTAATAGTCAAATGAAAAGACAAGACCACAACTCCACAGGTCTTCTTATTATTGCTCTTCTTGGTGGTATAAAACCCTCTCTTAAAGGCAGTAAGCCCAAGTTCGCTGCGTTCTTACGTTGAAGCACACTAAGATATATCTGTTCATTTGGTGAATGTGGAAAAATGATAAATGTAAGTTAGTACCGTAGCACCGCCACAAAAACGTGCGTAAAAAAATGGAAATGAAAAAATAAATTTAGAGGAATTGCTGACTTCTGACACCGCTTCTTCGCTTACTACAGTTCCAATGTTTAATAATTAAACGCGCTTTTTTCCCAGCGGTATTAGAGGGTTATTCAGCTTACTGATGAATCGCCTGTAGCGCTAACACTTGATCCGTAGGTTAATCTGAAATTACTTAATATTTTTTTGGGTAGTAAGCTTCGGTTCTTTACCAAGCGATGAATTATCAAGAGTCATCTTGATTACTTGTTCATATTAAGAATTAAGTTAGAATTAAGTCAAAAAGTACATTTAAAGCTGAATTTTTTCCTTCCTTTCTTGTACTGACTAAAGAACGACTGTACTTAAACTTGAAAGTATTTAACATAAAATAAGTCGCACGTTAAGGTTTTGGAATATGTGTTGTTTTTTTTTTTTTTTTTTTTTGAAATATCGCAAATTTTCTGCCAGGAAGCTCCTTAAAATCGCAAACGCTCTTTAGATTTGATTTTTAAGAGGGTAGAAGAATTGTTGAAAAAATTGATTGACCTCAAGCGACAGGTGTCTCTGTTTTTATGCGAGTGTCATAATAAAGGGCTTTTGGAAAATTTCTACTTTACTTGGAGCCAGCCAGTAATGCTTTCCCAAATTCGATATCATAAATGTTATACCGGATAAAATCAATTACTGGAAACTTATATTAATGTCTTAGATTTCATGACAATTTGTTCCCCCATGACGGGAAGTCAAATCGTCCAATTTTTACTATTCAAAGTAATAAAGAAATCAAACACAAAGATTTATCTGTTATCAAGACGTGATGAAGAGAAATTTTCCACACGTTTAGCAAACCTGAGGAAATTAATCTTCGTCAAGGTGTTCCGTTTTAAAACACATTCAATTTATTCTTTTTCTTTTATTTGCTTCAGTCTTTTGCACTTAGTAAATATTTGGGTCTTCAAATGGAGGGCGGCATAGCAGTTGTCACGTTTGCATGAAAATTAACGTCGTCTTGTTTGACCATCTCCAAAATAATGTCATTTTGACTTACAGATCGCACTTTAGGATTAATTCACAGACTCAAAAGTAAGAACCACCTTCTACAGCTTAATAAACAGCGTCGCAGGAAAGTGCTGCTCAGTAGCTTTCATTTGAATGGTTACACTTAAAGATTTCATCCACAGATTCGAAAGTTACAGAACCACCTTTTGCAGCATAATAAACAGTGCCACAGAAAAGTACTGCTTAGTAGTTTTCATTTGAGTGGTCACTGTTGGGGTTTCATCCACGGACTCCAAAGTTAAAATCACCTTTTGCAGTATAATAAACAGAATCCCAGGAAAGTACTGCTCAGTACTAGCTTTCATTTTAATTTTCACACTTTTAAGATTTAATCCACAGACTCAAAAAATTGAACCTCCTTGCAGAACCCTGACAGGAAACTTAAGCTCAGTAGCTTCGATTCTAACGGCCATTTTTCAGGAGTGTCAGCGACTCATCTTAAGATATGGAGGTCTGTACACACATGGTGTTATCTGGCCAGGACAACCGGCTGGAAAATCTCTATAAATATTCTATAAAAGTGTCCTGTAACGCAGGAATCGCCCTATGCAAGGGAATCTAGATTCCAGAATCCGGGAAATTATTGCTTGTACAATTCGGAACCCTGGGCTTTGAAATCCGGAATACAGCCCAAGGAATTCGGATCCCACTAACGATTAGATCCAGAATCTAAGTTCCACTGACAAAAAATCCGGAATCCAGTACCTGGAATCCGAAACCCACAGTGTGAAATCCAGAATCCTAGACTGTCTCGGGTTCCATTTCATGGGGCGACAGGAAACAGCTTTCTAATCAGACAATTATCCGTAACTGATTAAGCGAGGTTAAGCTGTGCTCATTTTTCTCTTCTTGAAACAGGGCACAGCTTGGGAGCACATTTTGACCGACCTTCCGTTTATTAGTATCTCTGTTGGGTGCAAGCGAAGAGTCTGGGGGATAGCTGAGAACGGAACCGCTTATTTTAGAGCTGGCTTCGGAGAAAACAACATCACAGGTACAACGGTGACGAGCTAGTATTAGTGAAGTGTCAAGAATAAATATCAATCCGTAGTATTGATATCTTTTTCCCTTAAAGTTTCCATAGCCCTAAATATTTTATTTTGTTAACTGAAAGAAGACACTACTAAAAAGACGTCGAAAACTGATTTTGCGTTTCGAGCAAAAATCCGATTTTCTTTTAGAAAATTTAACATTCTAAATTTCTTTAGCACACCCGTTCAGCTGATCATGAACTTGACGAGCTTATATGTGACGTCAAAAGACATAAATTCAGGAACTGAAAAAGCGGGTTTTGTGCATGCTTATTCCTTTCTTAGGGTCACTTTTGTTAGTTTTGGTCGGCTTTGCAGAGCACAGCCTTTCGTCGTATTCCTATCATTTTGAATTTACTGACCCATGGAACGTCTTATTAAGTTATTTAGTCCAAATCTGTGCACAAACCAAGGATTGGATTCACACTGTTTTCGGTCACGGGAGCGTTTTGAAACCTTTTCCCAGAATGGAGCAATTTGAAAACGCTAGTTGCGTGATGACACGACTAGGAGACTAGGATTGAGGCAGCGTTTTGTTTTCAGACTCGACAGCATTAGCGTTGACGTGTGTTGAGTTTTCGTGTTGGTGAGATTCTCACAATTGCTGCATTTCAATTGGTATCTCATCTAAGTTACATTATTCTTCCCTCCTTTCCCCTTGAACAGGGACAAGATGGTTCCACATTAGCGAAAAGCCTCCTCATCTATATCAAGTGTCCGCGGGAGCGACGTCAGTGTGGGCTCGTGAAAAAAACGGTAAGATTGCGCATCCTAAACACCAGGGGCCGAGTTGTTCAAAGCTGGGTTAAGATAACCCAGGGTTAGTGCGAGATTTGAATTTAGATTTGAAAGCTTAAAAAGCATTTCAGTTTTAATTCTTTTTGTCTACAAGTTGATGATTGGAAGCTCTAAAAATAACAGAGAAAATTATCCGAGAAAATACTTTTGAACACAAGAAAAAGGAAACCGGGGATAAATTTAACCCCGGGTTAGGCGCTAATCGGCCTTTGGACAACTGGGCCCTGAGTTATACAAGACCAACACTACGCTTAAAAATTAAGCTGCAAGGTGTCGTAAAAATTTGGCTAACTCTGCTTGAATAGACAATGATGTAATTCTTGTCAAACCTCACACTGTGTATTTTGCGTGGCTATTAAATCTTCGTCTCGTTTTGATAGAATATACAAACTCGACGCGACTACTCGTATACATGTAGGCAATAGACCATTTTCACGATGACGTCATTTTTCGGCTGCAACCAGCATCCTTCAGGGTTTTGCTTTCTTGTGCAAATTAGGGATTTTGTCATTTAAACCTCACTGGGATTACCAATTTAAATATGAAGGGAAAAACGAAACGAAATGGCCACTTGCACATTTCCCATAATGCACCTTATTTGCCCCCCAAAGATTTTGGTGGGACGGCTGTAATACCCAGGAGAAATGAAAAGCAAAGGTTATGCAAAGTTTTGGGGGGCAAATAAGGTGCATTATGGGAGATGTGCAAGTGGCGAAGTTTTATCACTTGTTTGCCCTCCCGAAATACCACGTGACATTGCGAGCGTGCAAAGATGGCGGGTATCGTGAAAAAGGCCTGATGCAAGAAAAAATAATAAATCAAATTTTTCAGAAGCTGCAAAAAAACACTTTCGAGAATTTTCCCTTGCTATGCGCTTTTGTCAGACACATTTCTTCATTATTGGATACCTCGATTTTAAACATTCCATCTCATGTTTTTTATGTCAAATAACGTAGAACTGTTACTTAAACAAATGTTTTAAAGCCGAGTAGCCGGCTCCTCCAAAGATTTGAGCTTTCCGTCCGTTTATTACGTTTTTTCCCTTCTTTTTGTCTTTTTTTTTGCGCGCGCTTTATGCAAACGCTGAGTCATCTCAGCATTCTCGCTGTTGCAATGAAAAGCGTTCTCATTTTTTTAGGCCGATTGAATCAACGTCTTTAGCTTGTATATTTTGTTTTCCCACAGGTCATGTGATAATACTCAAGAGAACTTTTCTTTTCAAATGTCATCTTATTCACGTGCATATCTATGCATAATTTATGAAAGGACAAAGGGTCAAGTTCCCCTGGGACCTCTATTGAGCCAGAAACGTGTATTCTTGGTTTGCAACCTTAACCACGTGATAAGACGGCCACGTTGGGGGTCAATACAAAAGATTATTTTCGCGAAGAATTTACTTGAAAATAGAGTTTAGTTCCAAGAGGAGCAAAATGCTTCTGTTCTTAACCACCAACATGGCCGCTTTGACGTCACGTGCAAACTAGCAATTGACAAGTGGAACTCCCATCTCCTCGAGGCGGCTTTTAGCTCTTGAAGCTATGTGGCTCTGAATACACTTGCTTCGTAACACTGCCTAAATGATTGTGATTTTTTCCCAGGTACATGCTGGTATCGTCAATACATCACTGACTCTTACCCAGAAGGCACCTCGTGGCTGTCTCAGCAATTTAAAGTGACGTCACTCTCAATAGGACCTAATAACCAAGTAAATGCAAACAAAATATACAGATGGGCAATAAGCTCCTGCACAGTCGTATGTTTTTTTTCTAAAAATCCCTCCCTTTGCAAGGCGCGTAAGTTCTTTTATCGACTTCGTCGACAAGAGATCTGGGTACAAGATTACAAGGCGCGTGAAGCGAAGGGCTGGCGTGAAATTCTTGCCGGAAGGGTGCGACCCTCACACGCGAGCTCTCTGTTTTTGTACTCTCTCAAGATCTTTCTTTTGGCGATTGCTTGCATTCTCTACCAAGGCAAAAATATGGTTAAGGGCCGACCATTTGACTTTTGAGTTGATTTGGTTCGGGCAAGAATCTTTAGTGGAGACAGAAATTTTTCCCCAACGTATTTCGCCGTGAGAGAGACTCTTTTCAGTGCAGATTTTTTCCCTTGAAATCAGTCTGCAGGATATCAAGTGGCGAGTCCCTTCGTTTTCAGTTAAAGACAGTACAAAGTTTCAAAAATCATTCTGGATACAGTATTTTTCAGTTTGAGAACAATGTAAACTTCGTAAAACGCGATAATGACTTCACATCGCTATTCGGTTCAACAAGGAAAATGGGTTTAATTAGAAATTGGAGTTGTATTCAGTTTTACTACCTGACGATCGTTTCTGCTTCTTACTGAAACTTTTTCAACGGGGGATAAGTTTGTTGATTCAAATAGTTCCTATAGCTCAGGCTCAGCTGTTCAGTTGTCCAGAAGGTGAGAAGTGCTATTTACCAGAGAAGTTTTAATGGACTGGGACCGTTCGTTGCAAGGCAGTTTGGAGACACTGTGATGAAAGTGTTTGCACCCCCTAGGAAACTTGAGATTCGCACGTGCTCGGGTCTTGAAACCGCGGGAAGTCTATGTGCCAGTCTCGCCAAGCAGTAATAGTTAGCCTGCGTGGCAAGCGTTTCACATCGAGATATTGCGCCAAAGTTGGAGCGAGAGCAAAAGAAATGGAAGAAGAGAGAGAGGGGGAGGTTTTCTTTTCTGCCCTCCCCTTCCGGGGACATTCCTCTTTTCTTGCTCTCTCCTCCCAACTTTCTCGACCAACGCGAGCGGAAACGCTTGCTACGCAGGCTAAGCAATAATATGTTTTTCGTGGCCGAAAAACACACTGTTTAACTTATTTTCATCTTGTTATATCTTTGAACTTTTCTTGCTTTCTTTCAGGCTTGGATGATTAATAGAAATGCTATTGAAAGGCGTTACAAAGTGACTCAAATTGACCCATTAGGGAGGGGTTGGGAAGTCGTTTTGTCGGTAAGTTGGTAATGTAGCTACCCATTCTGAATCCAGACACTCGATTTTCTGTACAAGGCTTCTTATGTTATTTTTAAGCCCCACGTTTGTATTGAATTCATCTCTGCCTCTTCACAATGCAGCCATTAAGTCGCGAAATAGAAAGCCATGTATTCGGAGGAGGCTTCTTTGCGCTACACAAGGTGGTTCAAACTTTTGAGTCGGGGAATAAAATCTTGAAGTATGACCATTCAAATTATGCTGTACAAGGTGGTTCTAACTTTTGAGCTTATGGATGAAATCATAAATTATAACCATTCAAATGAAAGCCACTGAGCAGTCCTTTTCTGTGGCACTGTTTATTTTGGTACACAAGATGGTTCTAAATTTTAGGTGTGTAAATGAAATCATTTCGATGCTAAGTATTGCTTGGCTTTAGTGCTAAGCCTTATTTTTTTTGTTAACAGGATCACTGGCGTCACATCAGCGTCAGAGCTGCTTTCGGAACAGAGGAATTTGGCGAAATTGACGAAGCGGAAGAAGCAATCAAAGAAGTTCAATTCTCGCAGCCTAGTAGTTTACTGACTCCAGTTGATCTTAGTGAAGTAGATATTTACAGTATGTACAGTCGGAATGACACACCGCAAACAACACCCGCCAGCGAGTTGGACGAGGATGAGTTATATGAGGGTACTTAGAATGAGAATACAGGCAACAGGTGATGATTGAAAATGAGAGCGCATCAGCAATTACTATGAGGAATTTAATCAAGGATACAGAATTGTGGCAATTAAATAAGTATATAATAGCATTCATTTTAAAACAAGGCGTTGATGTCCCTCTGTATAACGCACTGTAAAACGTAAAATTTGATACAGGTTCTTTTTTTTCTACAATCTAAAACAACTGTTTGCTATGTGATCAGTGCGTCCCTTTTTTTTTCATCTTCAGAAAATAAGGACCTATTTTTCGAATAGCCTAATTTGCGATAGTTACCATTTTTGTAACTAAGAACCTATTCCGTCAAATTGAGCAAAGTGTTAGTAGTTCCTTACTAGCAGGGTAGTGCTTTTTGCTGTTGTCACAATGGTGTCATATGGAATTAGTCATTTCGATCAGTGTGGCTATGACCATAGCCTTAATTTGTTCCAAAGAATGAAACCCTGTGAATTCTGGGGTCAGTTACATAAATTCTCATTTGTTACCTCCTTACGTCTCCTACAGAAGTACTGGGAGAGGTTCCTAAAGTATCAGTTAGATTTATCTTGTGTGATCGTGTCCTCAGTTGTCATCACCAGTCTGTTTTATCACGCGTTGTGGGTATGACAAGGAGAAATTTGATATTATCACTCTTAGTTCTTAAAAGGTTAACATTGAACGGAACAGGTGGAGTCTGAAGTTCAGCCTGATATGTTTTTGTGTGAATATCTGGCGGTCCGCTATTGGTATTAATTGTAAATCGAGAGCGAATAGGATGTGGTTTGGATTTTAGTTCCTCAACGGAAGTCCGCTTTATATTTAAGCCTGTAGGGAGCCTGGTAGGGAGCAGTATGTTGTTTCTCTCTATTCAGGGTATTGGCCTCTATTTCTTCCCATCTGTTAGCCTGTTTCAGGCTCCAAGATAGTAATGTGCAAAGAGCTTGGAAAACTGATGCGAAAAACGGTGGTCACTTGTTTCCATCCACCAAACTGACATTTTCCTCTCAGTGGTTCTCACAAGACATTTCACTTTTCTTACATGAAATTTCTGTTCATAAAATTTCAAGTCTCTTTCAATTTTTAAGGAAAAAAAATTCGGGATGGCACGAGTAGGATTCGATCTCGGAGCATCGGCTCTGCAGTGCATTACTTTAAGCCCTACACCGCCGAGGATTTCCTGACAATGATGGTTTGATTTGAATCTACATAACAACAACCCTAACCCTAACCCTAACCCTTACTTTGTGTACGAATCATTAATCTGTCAACGTCAGTTTGGCGGATAGAAATAAGTGGTGACCGCGAAAAACTCGCGAGGGTTGGGGAAAGAGGAGGCGAGGCCACCACGTTTCTTTAGATCACGTGCGTCTTATTTTCACGACGTCCCTATACTTATCTAAGAGCCTGGCCCAGATTACCCATCTTTGGGAGTGTGACGGTATGCTTACAGAAGAATCCACTTTTCTACGTTCGAGTAAGTTTGCAAGAAAATCACTTTGGACAAAAAACAAGTATTTTTATAGTGCAAAAATGCATTTTATACGATAAAAATAGAGCTAGTTAAAATAATTAAAAATGTATTCGAATTTATTCAAACCAATTGCAATGTTGTAAGAAAGTAATAATTATTTATCAAGAAGCTTACTGGTGTACCAGAAATTTAAAATATTTAGGTGATGTAGTAGAGCTATTTTCCTCAGTCATACTTTACAATAGATATCCAGCGTAAAATTTGTTAGGAAAAGAATAAAATATATTTCTTGAAGGAAAGTGAAACTACTCGGTTAAGTTTGTAGTAGTAAGTGAAAGAAGTGTGATCATCTTTTGCCTTTCGCGCTTACAATAGACCTCTTTAGCTTGTATGTTTTGTTTTCACTATCAAGGTCTCAGGGGAGTATGCCCCTTCGTCTTATCATGAATTATGCGTGCGTTTTCACGTGAGTAACTGACCAAACTTGAAAAAGAAACAGTTCTCTAGATAATTGTTGGCTTTACACTAGAGCTTTAAGTATAATGCAAGTATACGTGGAACCTACTAACTTCGAGTGTGAAAGGGTGAAATGTACCTGCTTCAGCTTTACTTGGTGACCATGGAAACGTTCGTAGTTCAAAGAAGCCGAAGTTCGCCGCCAAGTATGGACTACACCACATTTGACAACACACTTGACCAGTAAGAAATGGAGTCCATGTACACGTTGTGCACGTGGAGCGGTTCCAATATCTTATAAACGGAGAGATTTGTTGCCTTCACACTAGAGCCTCAAGTGTGTTCTTGGAACCTACTTCGAGTGTGAAGGGGTAAAATGTACCGACTTCAACTTTGCCTAGTGACCATGGAAACGTTCGTGGTTCAAAGAAGCCGAGTTCGCCGCCTAGTGTGGGCTACACCATACTTGAGAACACACTTGACCAATAATAAATGTAGGCCATGTGCACAATGTGCACGTGCAGCGGTTCCAAGATTCTAATGGACTGTGAGATTGACAGCTTGTACTTTAAGTAATTTACTTGGTCAACAAGTGTGAAGCCATGTTTTCTACATAGCGACTTAAGATTTCCAAGTGTACTTGAATCAAATTTTCACTTGAAACTGACTTCGCCTCCAGTGCGAAGCCAACAACTGACACCTTTTACTTAAAGTAATATACTTTGTCAACAAGTGTGAGGCCATTTTTTCTACAGAGCGTCTAAAGATTTCCAAGTGCACTTAAATCAAGTGCTTACTTAAAACTAAATTCGCTTCTATTGTGAAGCCAACAATTACCACATGCAAAACAAAACACGCAAGCGAAATGGACCTAATCAACATCGTTGCAATATCAAGCTGTATTATATCGAAGACCACTGACACTCTTTTAACAGTTTCGATCCCCTCTGACTCATTGCCAAAGTTTTATTTGAAAATACCCTTCCCCAACACTTTAATCCTCAACGTTGAAATAGAAATTCTCCTTTCTTTTCCCATTCGTTTCTTACAGAAGAAGTTAGAAGAATATGTTAAAATATCATGAGAATTAATCCTGAGTGATCATATCGGCTCAATTCTCTCAACCTTCTCACGGAACCATTGATCTTGAAGGGAGAAATTCAATTTGGAGTAATCGCTATTGGGGCTTAAAGGTGTAATGTGTAATACAAGTGAAATAGATCGGGAAATCCGTTTCTAAATGCTTGTTTGTTCCAGAGATCCATTATCCTGGAGGAAGAGACGGGATACTTCGCCGGTTTAGCTTTTGGGGCTCGGTAGGGTCTCACCCTTTGGAACTGCTCTGAAAAAAAGCGTTCCCTGGCTGACAAAGGTCAAGATACAAGCTTCCATGTTTCTTAGAGCGATTTTCGTATGGCCTTGAAAAATGGTTTCCGTAAGTTAGTTATTTGTTTTTTCGGCCATTGGATGAAAAGGTAAAAACATGGACTCTTCGTTTTCCCGCGAAAGAAAACCCTAATATGGAGAGGGCATTGTTCGATTGACTAATCGTCTTGCAGTATGACGTCAAAGTTGATTTCTAAAAAGTTCTCGGGCATAAAGTTTTTTCACCCGAGCGTTCGCTTAACCAACCAAAAGCTACGCGCGTTTGTATCCGTCCCATCAACCAATCAAATTGCTCCCTTTCCGTTCGTTTGTTGTTTTTGTTTTGTTTGCGCGTTTTCTATTCAGGGTCATACGAAAATCGCTCTAACAAAATGACCCAGTTTAGGACAAAGGACAAACACAGAATTATATTCAAGAGATATAGGCCATTCTCTGTCCCGTCCCCAGAGTAGGCCACCTTAGATAGTGCCCCGCTGGGTCCTAAATCAAACATCATGAAGAGCTCCTCAGCAGAGCTCCTGACAGCATATCTTTGTCATTTTAGAAATATGCAAACGAAACGAAGATTTGAGGCTAGATTGAGTTCGTTACAAGGCCAAATGAAATAAAAAAAATCAAAAACAGTCTTAAAAGCAGAGAAGAAAGCAGGTTCGTGATAGCTCTCGATTTGATGTCTTCTTTCAAGGGATATCACAAGCCAGCCTATGATTAAGACCCGAAGTGCATATAAAAAGACAAAGGCGTAAGTTAAGGAGGCATGACTACTCCCCAACCCTATTACCGTAACTTATAAACCTCCAGGCACAAATTCGACCCGAAGTTGTGGTAGGGCCAGAGCGTCAAATGGGTCCAAAGAAATGCCAAAAGACTGGAAGAAGAATCAAGCTCCATCTTTGTGCGAAGCCATTGTTTAATAAATTAAAGGAATTAGCTTTGCCATCACTTTTCTTTGCTTTTCTATAAGCCTTGCGGCCTTCATAACCCAAGACACAATATTGCGGGATACATGAGGAGTATAGGCCGCATGTTCTCTGTCAGCTGTACTGCGGGCTCTACCACAAATCCCAAGTCGTGAAACAGTCGTGATTGTTTTTTGAAATGTTTGGAACCTCAAGAATTGCAACAAATTGTCTTCTTTTGAGACGCTCCTTGCAGTTTAAGACTTTCGACGGTTCTTCAAATTCCTGTTTTAACTGTTTATGTGGACGAAAGCTGCATGTACCATCTAGAAGCATTTTAATGTTGTCATCATCGAACTTCGGTTGTGGACGCCGCCATGTTCGAACTGTTGAAGAAACATCCAGGAAATCTTTATCAACATTGACTCCCTCGCCAGAAGAAAGTCTTCTACTTTATCGCTTTAAATGGATCAAACACTTACGCTTTATATCAAGAGTTAAGATCTTACACGTAGCTGTTGTTTCTGCTCTCACGTGGCCAATGAGCTACTGGTATTCCAGTGGGATTATATCTTTTCCAACTCTTGTTTGTGCTATTGCAGGAGCTGCAGGCACAACCGCTGGGTTAGTTGCTCTAAGTTTTTTCTTCCGTCGAGTTGTTGGAGAGATTTCATTCCATGAAGATTCGCAATCAGTGATCATTTCCAGCTTGACTTTTTGGGGGAATCGACGCAATAGAATTCTTCCCCTGTCCAGCCTGGTTCCACTCTGCGACTCTGGAATTGACGTGAAGAACACTTTTCACAGGTTAGAACTGTATGATTCCAAGGATGTTTATCTTCTGAACTTGCGGCATTGCAAGATCTTTGATGAAGCTTTCTTTAGTGTCACTGGATTGCATGTAGACCAAACTGCAGCGACATTGAGAAAATAGCACATTTTTAGAAATGTGAAAATTTCAGACACTTGCTCTTCCAGAATTGCCATTGCTACTGTTTAATTTTGTGATTTGGCAGTTGGATTACCCAGAAACAAACTCAGCAAGCCCAATGATAGCCCATCTTTGTGTATTTTTGAAGGCTAGTTTTGTTTCTGAGTGTAAGAGGAATGCACATCTCCTTTGTATCCAGGACGCAATCTGCATGCTAAGTAGACTACAAGTAGCCCTTAATTTTCCCTCAGGGATAGTAGAGCGAGCAAAACATGAGCACATGTGAAAATCACCCTCTGAAGAAAGGCAAGATGTGGCGGGGTGATTTTCATGCGTGCTTGCATATTGCTCACTCTACTATCCCTAAGGGAAAATGAGGGCCTATCCCTAGTTTAATAGTAAAGTGGAATATGAATCAATGGTCCAAGCTCAACTATTTTCAACATCACCTTTTGGTGTTGTAAAATTAGAAATGGCTGCTAGTAATAAAACATTGGTCGCCAGAAAAAAAAGCACTATCATACACACTCAGGGACACTTTGTGTAATGTCTTGTGACAGGAACCTTATTCATGATACTCACTAACCTGCGTGAAAGTTAGAGCGGGAGCAAAAAAAAATGAAAGGGGAAGGGGAGAAGAGGAAACGCTTGCCTGCAAACCCCATGATTCTGCAAAACGCCCCTTGATATTTCACGGTTCGGTTCATTTGTAAATTGACAGCTCGTCAAGATAGATAACGAATAGATTACCAGATTTGAAAAAATTTTTGTTCCCTAAAACACGCTCCATGCGATTGCAAAACTGTCATAAAAAGAAGCTTTACTATAAAAGAAGGCTGAAACTCTAAGCGATTGCTGCGGAATTTCTTGTTCTTTATAGTTGAGTTAAAATTTTAACGTTATGTGGCTTTATCTCATCTGAATTCTTGTCAAAACGTCACGAAGAAATGATTTGTCTGGAACAATACACTCCGCCGGCTATGAGTTTTGCAGAGCAGCTGCTCTTCATAGGCCAGCCAGTGTGGAAAAGTTCACTACAATACATGCCGCTCAATTTCCAATCACTTGTCCATGGCGGCTCTAGCTAGTGTCTAGTACTCGATGTTCTGATTTACGTTGATGTTATCTCTAACAAACAGTCCATTTTTTCCAGTCAGATATGCACCCCGTCATTCCTAATAAATTGGCCTTCACTAGTCTTCACTGCTCGATCTCCAATTATACTTTTGATAGAAAGACTTTGCACAAACCTGATTCAAATAAATATCAGACCAAAGCATTTGTAATCTGCGACCACAAATCAGATCAGACCAGATCTGCCACACACGTAAACAAAACATACCTGGTTTGATCGATGTTTCAAGTGCTAAGTAATCAACACTACCAGTGCCGCACCAATCAAAAGTTGCGTTCGTGGGTGAACGCAGTTTTTCAAAATCGTGGGGTTTGAGGGCAAGCGTTTTCTTCACTCCCTTCCCCCTCCCCCATCATTCCTTTTTTTGCTCTCGTCCCAACTTTCTCGACGAACTCGCCTGGAAACGTTTGCTATGCAGGCTAGAAACTCACCAACTTTGCACACACCTTAGGACTGATGGGATAAAAGCAATGTCACATGGTTTCTCAGGGGGCAATACCTAGATGACAAGGCTCAAAGGGGCAAATTATAAAGAAAGTAGAGTAGAAGTAATATTTAAAGCAAATGTTAATCTCACAACGTAAACTTTAGAAAGACTATAAACACCAACTAATAACAACACTTTGGCCCTGTATATGGCTGCTGGACAGAAGTCATTAAATTGGTGACTTTTACTACAATTTCAGTTGCAGTCAAACCCCATTAAAAGGGATATTTAAGGGGCCATAGAAACTCACTGTATTAACAGGGTTTCTATATTAAGCATGTCATGAACTTTTAAGGTAAAAAAAAAATTCCTTTTATGGGAACAAAATAATACTAAAGAAATTGAAGACTGAGAACATAAGCATCCTCAAATTAAAAGTCTCTAACCATAACAAAGCCAACATTCCCTGGACTAATTTCACAGAAACGCTCAAAAATCGCTCATCTCTATGAAACTTAATCAAAACAGCTTTCTATCGAACTTGTTTGATACCAGAAAAATAGTCTGAAATTCACGTCTACAAATCATCCTATCCGGTGTACTGTAGGGCTGGGAACATCAAACATGCTTCGACTGAGTTTTTTTTAGACCTTCACAGCAGACAATTGAAGTGACGGCATTAGCGAGGTTGACTTTCTATGAAAATCTGTTTATTAGGCAAGAAACAACATTGTCTGTATTAAAGGGAGTTCATATTAAGTGGGTTGATTTAGAGAAAATGTAAAGTCATTCGGCAGGGACAAAGAAAACTGTCCGTTATAACTAGGTGTTCTTAGAAGTCCGGAATGCTTCTTAGAGAAACAAATAATATACAAAGTTTATTTTAAATTAAACCATGAAAGTGTACTAAATTTGGCCCTCGAGATGAGCTCTAGTTAGTTACTAATGTTTTGCTTTTTGTCTGTTGTTTCACTCACCCTCTCTCAGTCAATTGATTTAAGTAATACTGCTAAACATAGTGATTAAGTGAAAATTACAAGATTTTAAGTCGTAGAATGTCACTCTCTCACCTGGATAATATCTTAGTCATTCCTGCCTGGACTGGATGGGAAACAGCTTGTTGTTGTAGTTGTTGTAGTAAAGTTAATGAAAATGTCTGTACTGGTTAAATCTAGTATTCTGTCATAAAACAAGATGACTTATTTACTGAAAAGAAAATTCCAAATGAGAAAAAGGAAAGGAAATTTATAACGTGCTTATGTTTCATTTTAAACGTATCACAATGTTTAACAGAATTTTAATCATAGTGAGTTTGCATGTTTCTTCCATTCTAATTAATCAAGATGAAAAATCTGTACCAGAAGCAGAATTATTTTTTCTTTATTTTATTTTTTAAAGTACTTCAAGTCATGTGTCACCTTGTTGAAATATATTTTCACTCCCGGACTGTCAACCATCGAAATCGGTATCATTTAAATCTTTCTGTACTTCGAGTTTAACAAATATAACAGTTTTTCATTTGTCAAGTTTCCCCGCCACTTAAACGCTAGTTTATTTCAGTACTGACTTCAACTAATAGACTATCTCTCACCTAATCCTGGAAATTACGCACTGATAAGCTATTTAATTAAATGTGGAATAGAACCTTGAAACTGGAATTGTAATAGTAAACGGTGTAATTAAATGGATTACCAGCTACACAGATGAGAAAATTCAAATGATTTCGTTAAGGAACGAACTGCCCTAAGCGTGTACATAGGAGTAAACTAATTAAGTTAAGACGCAACTTAAATAGATTTCTGAGCCTTACTTAATTGAATAATAATAACTAAGCATTTAGCTTGTTGTAGCCATTTTTTCTGATAATTACTAAGCATTTAGCATGTAACCATTTTTGTCTGATTCTGCTTACAAGCCGCCAATTACTTAATTTTTTTATTCATATTTTTAAGTCTCAATGAATTAATTATGATTTATAAGTTTCAATTATAACTGGTGTCAATGATTTTAAAGTATCATTGACATCAGGGGAACGTAAATAATATTGGACTTGCTATTTTTTGCACGTCAAAATTTAGACCTTGAGGCTTTAATGATCAAACGTTTTGGAAACGATAGATAAAAATCCACGCCAATTCAAAATGGATAGTTTAATAGACATACCACCTGAAGAAAATCCGGAAAATATGCCATCAGCCACTGAGGAACTGCTGCAAATTATGGAAGATTTTGCGGACTACATCGACAAATTTATGTTTGAAATTGTTACTTTACTGGCTGTTGTTGACTCCGCGATGGGGCTGATAAAAGACGTCTTGGGACTTTTTGGTTTCGAGGGTTGGAAAATGGCGTTTTTTCCTACGTTTTCCTTTATTGTCACAACTGGCGTGTTTCTCTTTGGCGCGAAAAAGAGAAAAGGAAAGCGAGACTCGCCTGAAGCGCCTGAAGGCCTGGCGGAGGCATTTGACGCTATTGAGGATGTAATGGAGGTGGTCGAAGACGTGGCGGAAGGGTTGGAGGAAATAGAAAACGAAGGTGGCGGCGATGATGGGGATCTAGGTAAGGCTTTGGGAGATGTGGTAGGAAGTAGTGTTAGTCTTCCGATGGGAGCTTCAGTTGGAGATATCCAGGGAATAGTGAACGGCGAGAATGGAAATGAGAATGGACAAGAGGACCCAAACACTGTTAGCACCCCTACTGATGGCAATCAAAATATTGCACGCAAGGTAATTGCGGTTGCTGTTCTTGCAGCTGGGATTTTAGCAAAGCTCAAGAAGAAAAGAGGTGAAGGCCAGGAGGAAGATGTGCCAACCACCGACGCACAAACCGGAGGTGAAGGAAGCTCCAGAGATGTTCAAGGACAGGAGGCGGGAGTCGGGCCGGAGATGCCGCAGAGAAATTTACAACAAGGTGAATGGCAGTCCGGGATGGCGCCCGCAAAAACAGGTGCCTTAGATTTTACATCAGTTAACCACAATCCGCATGCTTCAAACACATGTGGGTTAAACGACTCGGTGGTTGTCGACTTAAATCCCTTAGAACATGGAAAAAGATTTGCGGAAATTGATTTGCAGAATGCAGCAAAAACGAATGTTATTTCTGCTGAACGGCATCTTAGATGGAGCTCCAGGCAGATAGCAAAAGGTGTTGAACAAGGTGCATCGGAGATTACGAGCGGTTTTGAAGGGACTTCATTACCAGAAACAAGCATTAACTTAAAAGGTAACTTGCGGAGTACAACGCTCCTCGGCGAAGATACCCAAGTTTCGGAGCTTCTGAGGAAGAGCCCCGCTGAAATGGCGTCTGGAATGGTCCAGAATACCACTAATATGGCTGGCTCGGCTATACAAGGTGCAGATCAGCAGGCGCGCAAGGGAATTGAGGAAACTCGAAAGAAGTCCGGAAGTATATTGCACATTGCCATTAGACTTGTTCGACTTGTTGTTCGGGTTGTGAACAAAAAGAAAGGAGGGTCGTCTGCAAGTAGCCAAAAAAGCGAGGATAGCACTGGGAAAGCTGGTTCGACTGACATAAAAGGATCGACTGTTTCCTTAGAAAGCGATTCAGTTTATTTTGATTGCGTTTCCACTACACCAGCACAAACACAGCGGTATGGAACTCGGCACGAGTCGTGCAAATCACTGATGTCCACAGGCACACAAACTGACCGCGATAACATACAGCCTCAGTATCGAAGCGAGCCATATCTTTTGTTCCAGGATTCTATGGGAATGTTCGCCCATGAACCGAGAGTAACGCCCTGGGAAAACTTGCGCAGATCCTTTCTTAGCATGCCAGATAATGCATTGTTGGAAATGAGACACGCTGCCGATGAGGAGATGAAACTTAGAGGCGCAGCGAACGAGCAGTTAAAACCGGTCAATAAGAAAGTGGACCTGAGACCAGCTTGGCTAGGTTCTCGAGATGAAATGGCGCGCCGAGCCAATGAAACCCTTCTCCACATTTCCTCGCCTTTTCTAGGCCACGATCAGCCGGGTCCAAGCTCTGATGGCTACACAAGAGCTCAAAATCAAGGCTTAGATGCACCGGTGATTTTGCATCGAGTTAAAGATTCAGAAGCACCTACAGGGGTGCAGAAAACAGCTACCCCAACATATTTACATGACCGAGACAAAGCAGAAAGCTATCCAGTGATAAGTTTTCGTGATGCTGAAAGACCGGCAGGAGAAGATAATGATGGGGTCAGACCTGAAGGCTCTAGTCATGGGAAATCACCTGTATGGGATCGAGGTAGAAGCCCAAGTAGACAGACCGATTACAGCAATGATAATACTTTCGAACGGAACTGGGATAACGACGCGAGGAGCTTAGATGGTGGTTCTGATGCTTATGGGGATCGTGGAAAGCGTTCTCGAGAACGCAAAATGCTGAGTGCTCCGAATGAGTGGCGGGGACCCGACTTAGATGACGAACGCTACGCAAAACCTCGTCGCCAGGATCGTGACATCAGGAGCCGAGACAAAGTCCCAAGAGAACGTAACATTCGAAGTTCATCGTCATACGAAGGTTTGGAAGAATACGAAGACAGAAAAACAGGTGAGCGATTTCCCAGTGAAGACAGTCCAAAACGTCAGAGTGGCTCTCAGCGTATGAATGGCAAGCCTGATAAACTGCGGCGATCAGTGTCCTATGATCTGACGGAAGATGAGTTTGTATTGGAGGGTGAAGATTTGCGTCTAGATAGTGATCTGAGTTTAGGACGGTTCGCGTCCAATGCTAGGGTTTCTTCTAAATCAAACCAAGGAAAACGTCCTATGGAGGTGTCGCCCTCGAAATCTCGCCCTGTTGAACGTGTAACGTCACAAGAACTAAGTCGTGACGGACAAGCTTATTTTTCCAAACCTCGGGAAATATATTCCCCAGGACCACCATCTGAATCGTCAGGAAGCGTAGAATCTACCCGAAGTCAAAGGCGATCAAACATGTCTTTGTCAAGTGTACGCTTTGCAGACGAAGAGCCGGGTGCAAGAGCTGGAAACAGCCGCATGAGAAGAGACAAGAGTCAGCGAGGAAAATACAATAGTAATTACTTATTCCAGCAACCTATGAAACAAGGAGGCCCACGCGACTCCCTGAAAAAACGCCAAAACGGACGATGGAACAGTGCGGTTTGTTTAACAGGTCATCAAAAAGCACCAGAGCTATACACGAACGATGATTACATTTCTGACGAACCTGATTCACCTAGAGCTCGTTATGGAAATCAGACAGGAATAAACAGGGGTCCGTCGTTTAACAGACTTAGTCGCGGTCCATCGACAATAATTCGTACTCGGTCCGCAAATTACCTGGGAGATGATGAATCGGAAGAAAGGGCATAGTTGTTTGGTTCGGGGGTTATAAGTTCGGAGCTTAAGTTAAATTTTAAAAAAACCCTAGCATTCGGTTAAGCATGGATGAGGCTGAACGACGAGCTTAAAGTGGCTATGTCATGAGGATAGTACTGTTTTAGATCAATTCTCTGCTATAGTCATTACTTAGTGCCTTTGCCCATATTTTTAATTTTTTGAGGGTTGTCCAATACTGTGGACTAGAATCCAGTCGTATCCCCTTGCTTTCCATCAGAAAATCGGACAATTCCTACCAAGTGTATTGGATATATTTATTGGACACGAATAGATTTCAATCGAAAAGTTCATTTTCTATTCACGAGAGACTTAAGACAAATTTCACTGATGTTGGATGAAGGGGTGGAAAGTCGTTCCGATGGAGTCCATCGGATCTACTGGACACGAATAGATTGCCCTCCGTCGAAACAGTTTCAATGCCTAAATAATGTAACAAAACTGGACCATTATTTTTGGAACTCGATTGATGCAAAGACAAGTTTTACCGTCTTTATATGATCGACACTTACAACTGATGGCATTATAACTGGTACAAAGGTAGTGGTACCACACCAAGAGTGGGATAATTTCTTAGGTTCACAATAGACCTCTTTAGCTTGTATGTTTTGTTTTCCCAGTAGAGGTCCCAGGAATTCTTGACTATTTGTCTTTTCATAAGTTATGCGCAGATATGCACGTGAATTAGACAAAATTTGAAAGAAAGAGTTCTGTAGAGCATTATCACATGACCTGTAGTGGGAATCAAAACTTTCAAGCTAAAGATGTCTATAACAACATTATTTTTAGTAGGTTCTGGGGCAATGACGCCTATCATTGTGGTTTGAACATCCACTTAAGGGAGACAGCAAAAATTTTACCAGATAGCACAAGAGGCTGATAAACGGCACGGGAGGAAGATTCAACAATGTCGTGTTCAAAACAAACCAGAAACATAAATAAATAAATAAATAAATTGTTAATATAAAAACGAAAAACTGATGAAGATTCCTTTCATTTCAATCTCCATAGAAAGTCATAATCATATTTGGTACATTAAAATATATCACTTTACAACTCCTTCAAAATATTTCTCCGTTTCTGATTGGCTCATTAAATCCCACGGCTAATTCTTCATAACCAGCTAGCGTTGACCAAATTTGGACGACGTTTGCGATATCTGGAAAATGACGTCAATAGTACATGATAATTGCCAGAAAAAGGGACGACAACCGAGAAGCCCTTGGAACGAGGTTGCGTTGTTTTCGTACAGCAGTTTAAAATGGCGGAACATTTCACACAATTCGCGAAGAAATAGCCGGACCGGCTACTGCCTGAAACATAGCAAGAACAGCAAGAATACATACCTTTATTAGCCCGGGCCACAACTAGAACTGGATATGTAGTTTCCTGTAATCTGATCGGCTCAGACGCTCAACTAAAACATTGAGTTGACCACGAAAGGTCTAAGTTCGACATAAATGTCCCTCCTTCGAAGCAGAGCACGCTACGGCTACGATTACCATGAAAATCAGCTGTAGCAATACGGAACCGATTAATCGAGACAATTTAATGTGCCATAGGTTTCGATTTACAGATATCAAGATGTTAATGATCAAAGAAGATTTCTGTAAAAATTCTTGGACTACTGATAATATTTCAAGAGACCCGAAGCAACTGTAAGGCACCGATCTAAAGGGAAGAATTAGGAATTTGATTACCGGTACTTTTTAAGTGGATACGTTTTTAAAAAGTCGTATATTAGGAGTACCGAGAAACAGGCAAGCGAAGACGGGAACTTAAACATCGTTCGAAGTAAGCCTGTTTTAGCTTCTTTTTATACCAGGAATTATTTTGAATGAATAGTGAAACAGTTATTGGACTCGGCTTTTGTATGATCTGAAAAATTAAGAAGATCGCGGGGGATGTTATTCGCCTTTGTCTTCGGCTTCGACGGATAAAACCCTCCTCAATCTGCATAATTCCTTCAGACCATACTCAGCCTCATCCAAAAATTTCTAGTTTTTTTTTTCATCACGTGTTTGGTATAAAATATCCGGATACGTGTGTACCGGACCTCAGTATCACGGGTATCTTCTCAGGACCCGAACTTGACATTTCCATTTAAGTTGCACTAATCTAGGTCCTGTCAAGTAACCTTCGCCTGCGCCAGGCTCTCAAGTAGGAACGTCGCGAAAATAAGACGCGTGCATTCTGGAGGCGCTGACCGCCTCCTCTCTTCCCAAACTAGCCCCCTTGTTTTTCGCATCACTGTAGGGACTTTACGTTCCGACGACGCGATGGCAGCGAAAACCTCGCTTAAATCTTTCAGCCTTTATGGCGATTCATTATTCCTACCCATTTCCTTTATCAAAAGGAGGCGACCCCCTGGAGTTGAATTCTCAGGATCTCTATCCAAGTTCAGAGAGAGAAATTCGCCATTTGCAAATGGCCCTTAAAACACCTTGTTTGCCCCCCAGAACTTTGCAGAACCTTTGTTTGTCGTTTCTTCTGGGTATTACAGTCGTCTTAAGAGAAATGAAGAACAATGCTTATCCAAAATTTTAAGGGGCAAACAAAGTGTATTATGGGTGATGTGCAAATAACGAATAAAATTTTGTCGTCACTTGTTTACGTCCTCCATAATTTTCACGTCGTAGTCGTGCAACAACGAAAAAGAAATGTACAAAACAGTGTGATGCACGTGACAAGTTGTTGTTTTGCCTTCTAAGGCTATGTTCACAAGATACCGAATAGCTTTTTGTGGCGCCATGAAAAGCTATATATCTAGTGTAGTGTGAACACCTACCCGATATGCGAATCTTCACTGCAGAACAGCAGCCCTATCCGGTATGTCATTTCGTAGCACCGCCACAATTGTTCTGGTGTCGGGTAATCATGAAAACCTCGCCGGTATGATCGTGGCCCCTAGGGCAAAAGCGATCTCTTATCACATGATCTTGCCTGCATTAAACCTCGCCGACCTGTCACAGTTTCTACAATTTTCGCGATCTCTTCACAGCATGCTATTTTTGAACCTGGAACTTGACCTATAATACCTGTCCCAGTTTCTACCCCGTTTCGGTGTCTCGTGATGGCATGCGCTGGTTGATGGGTGGAACTTGACCCTATAATACATCTGGGAGCCACATCTTGTTATGTGCGTGATAATACTGCAAGTGATTGTTGAAACAAACATCTACCGGGAAGTCTACAAGAGGTGGTGGAGGAGGGGGTTCAGTTCCCGGGGGTGGGGGCACTCCCTATAATGGCCTATACAGGGAGGCTCCGCCAGAAAGGGGTATACCTTGGTATAGGAAAGGGTAGGAATTTCACTACAGTTGAACCTCTCCACAACGGACACATCCCCCCATGTAAGGGAATCCAAGCACAGTCTAGAATTTTGGATTCCACGCCGTGAATTCCGGATTCTAGGTACTGGGTTCCAGATCTTTTTCAGTGGAACTTGGATTCTGGATTCCAATTGTTAGTGGGATTCCGGATTCCTTGGGCTGTACTCCGGATTCTAAGGCCCAGGATTCCTAAATCCACACGCAAAAATTTCCCGGATGCCGGAATCCCGATTCCCTTACATGAGGCGAGACATCTATTGGCAAAACTTTGTGGTTTCTCGAGTTTGGGTCTAAAAAGTATTTTTCGCAGTGAATAATAAGGCAGCAACATTAAGGAATTGTGTTTCGTTTGTTTTTATTTATTCAAACCGGTGTATGAAGATACAAGTCTGGCGTATCTTACCGTCCAAATTGAGGCTAGGCACTGTTAACCTAAGATTTTTGTTGACTATAAGGTATTTTTCCTTCCCTCTAGATCTATCTCACCGTATGCAATAAATTCGTCGACAAAGCATCAAAAATACCAGCAGACAAAATACCTTTTTTATTGCTTTCTCAATACTTACAAAATTCCAACATAATCTATTAGTCTGTGCAGTTGAATTCAATAATAACAATAATAATTCATAAGATAATTTAAGATAGTAAACAAAAGACGAATGGAAAAATTCGTTTATTAAAAGGGCAAGTGATTAATTAATAAATTTCTCTCTTCTTTCCACATCTTTTTGCAAGTTATGCAGAAAACTATTACTAACACGTTGTATAAGTTGTAAAAATGTATAAATTAATGGAACTGGTTTCTCTGGCTACATACAAAATGCATATAAATGTCGTTGTCTTAAGCCGTACATTATATTTTCTCCCAAGGGAGGATAATAGTAGCCTGTGGACAGGTCCTTTGGAGTGTTTTAGGGTGAGAACGCGTAAGCAGACAGTGAGGGGAGGGGTGAGGCACTCACATTTCTTCCCATTAGCCTCCACACCATTCTCCCCTGGGGGCCTGTTCACAGACTGGGTTAAAAGACCTTTTTAACTTGAAAGTTTCATTTTCTCAATTCAGACCACGTGATGTTCTCAAGGGAATTTCTCTTTTGTCTTTTCATTAGCTATACACCCGTGTGCATGTGGATTGCGCTTCATTTGAAAGAAACAGTGCTCTGGGGTAGGATCTTGTGGTCTGGTATGGGAAAACAAAACACACAAGCTAGAAAGGTCTATAGCACCGTCGTCCCCAGGGCTTTTACGTTAGGAAATGGCTCTTCTATGAGAAAAGCCGGGGAACGGAATTGGTTTAACAGCTATACTTTCGTCTATTTTTTATCTTCCTTACATAAATTTTCGGGGCCCACATTTTGACTGGGAAAGACCGGGGTTGGGTGATTTGGTTATGTCAAGAATACTTTTTTTTTTATCGGGGCCAATTATTGTGATCGACTTTTTACGTAACTTTCTACAACGTTTAACTCCATGCAAGAATTTTTTTGTTCCTATTTTCTTTTTGTATCCTAACCATTGTTTAACAGCACTAGGATATTGTTAAAGGTCAAAACTTAGGATATGTATTTTCTCGAGAGCTCTTCGTGACTCCAGACCAAGGTTCCAAGCAGACGAAAGTCCTATCAGCTCTGATTTTAATGCCGATCGACCCACCTGCGGCCTCGTGTGAAGGGGCTAAGGGATTTTAGACTTAAGAAATTAAAGGCGCATTTTCAATAGCATATTCGCCTCTGTCGGATTCCGCGTCAGAGCTTGGTTCCCCGTTTGGTACTGGTACATGTTCAGTACGAGTTAATTCTCCGGTTGAAAACCTTAAAATCAATAAGTGGTTTGTTAGATCCTGAATGTAAACTGGGTTATCAACAAAGCAACTACTTACTCAACTCCCTAGTCAATGTTAGGTCGCGGGAGGAACACGTTCAGTTGAGTGAGGTTCAACTTTTATGTGTAGGCGCGACTTTCCATACATTGCCTCTATTTTATTTATGCGCGTACGTAAATAAAAATCACGCGACAGCGGAAATCCACCCTAACACTGCGCAGATTACGTCATTATTATTTTTTTTTCCCATCTGCCCATACGCAAGACGGTGTTTTCAAAACTTTCCACGCTAAAGGGAGGTTTCGTTTTCAGTGACTGTTTATTTCGGATACGTGTAGACGTTTTCAAAGAGAAAAAAATACGAATGGACGAAACCTTATTTTCAATCTGTTGTCTTTTAATGGTTTCAAAATTTTCCCGTGGAATTTAACTACGATAATTTACATAATTTTAATACCCGCCTTGGCACGTGTGTTTCGACTGGAAGCCGTCAGACTCAAACCCTTTGATTTTGTGTGCAAGAATACACCTCACATTAAAAACTTCATGAGCAGACGCTTCAGAGAGGTACACTAAAAATACTGCAGGGTGCCATGACAGGAGCAGATTTTAAAATACGGCTTTTACAGAAAGGCAGGAGGTATCAGATACAGCAATGACAAATTTTGCTTAAATGCACGTAATAACAAAGCAAAGCAAGCAAAGCAAAGTTTAAGCCAAGAAACCTCCCTCTGTCATGACATGTGAGAGGTTTCCACTGATAGTGTATTGATAGAATCATTTTGCTGATCCCTTTTCTACCAGCATAGAGACGCTCTGGTGCGCGGTACGTGCCAACTGATGAAGCTCGACAGCTTTGCCAAGAGCGTAAAGAAAAAAAGTAAGAGGAAGGAGTGGGAGAGGTTCCCTTTTCTGCACTCTCCCCTCCCCACTTACTTAGTTTTGCACTCTAACTTTCGCGCCCTTTCCCACGCAAGTTCACTCGCGAATACTTGTAATGCATAGTAATTTCCTCAATCTTAACTCATTCTTAATCCTCTAAAGCTGGTGCTTTTCAATTGATCAAACTAATGTTGCAAAATAGTACCTTAAAACATTGTCACCGAGCTCCTGTAAAAGCCTTGGCTCCTCCGAGGTGGTATGGGACCTAAAGTGAGTCAGCTTCATACAAAAAACCCTTTGGAGAAGCAAAGCAATTCGTATTCAACTCGGATCGGTTAGCTGGGAAAATGAAGAGTGCATTTTCCACACTCCGCATTTCAGCTCTCTCTCAAACATTAACTTAACCAAACCAAACAAAAATTTTTTTTTGAATTTGGACCACAATTCAAGACACAAAATTTATTTATTAGATTTCTTATAAAAGCTTTATCGAGTCGTGCGTTAAGAAAAATAAGAAATCAATCAAACAAAAACAAAATTGTTGTCAACCGCAAAATCAATGTTAACGTGCAACTTACAACAACAACAAAACAAATTTATTTATTGTACCCAGAGCAGAATATTATAGTTATTTTACAAGTTGCTAAGTTAATCAATTAACTAAAAGGGGTACTGACTTCCTGATATGACTAATAAGTTAAAAATGCCAAGAAGCCAGATTCAGTAAAAATAATTCAAATAAGTTTATTGTGCGGGGTACAATATGGCAGCATATCAGACTGTATACACAAAAACACTCAGATACAGCTAAATCAAAAAAGGTTACTTTGGTAATTGGTCATTGATAAGTGCACATTGGGCATTTTGGCATATGGAACAATGCAATTATTTACTTGAGTGACCACCAAACAATAGCTTCCCAATGCCCAAAGCATCCTTTATTGAATCAGCTATATACACATACATGTATACACTAGTACGTATTACTGTATTAGAGGGGCGAAAAAGTAGGATGGAAGCAACCTCGTCCCCAGGGCTTTTCCCCAGGGCTTTTCCCTTAAAAAAATGGGAAAAGCCCTGGGGACGAGGTTGGGATGGAAGTTACGAAGTACTTTTCGTCGAAAGTCGCTCATAGTTCTTCCACAGTCATATGATTTGCAGACATATGAACACAAAAATGACAATAACACAGACTTACATGACAGAAAAATAAGTAAAATATTGAAAATTACGTTGGAATATCGCACGAAGAAAAATCGCGGCCATCTTGTTTCGCCACCCGTATACACGTAAGAAGAAAGAAATAGTGGGGATAAATATTTAAATTAATAAGTTAATTATAAAATGCTGTCTTTGACTCCTCAATACAATTTGACTTGTTTCAGAGTATTTCTCGCAATATCCCACCTCAAACACGGAAATGGATTTCCAACTCGCTTTCCCATCCACATAAATCCATAATACTCTTTCGCAAGGTTTGCTTCCTCTATCGTCTGACACATGTTTGAATTGAGGGTCTCCGGGAGCCTCAGTATCATTAGGCCAGCGGATAAAGACAGAATACCGAAAATAACCATGGGAAGGGTGACGCTGAGTTCTGGTAACTGAGACTTAAAATAGAAAAAAAAAAAGATGGTAAAGGAACCATGTCAAGAGGGGACTTCGGTCGTTTCGATACCAAGTTGTTTCGATACAAGTCGCTTCGATACGAACTCAAGCAGTGATATTGCACAAAAATTCCGAAATCTTCTAGTACATAGTTTGCAGGTGATCATTTAGAAACATTTTGGGTGAATATTCTTCGTTCTTTAAGCAAAGTACACCTAAACTGAATAGACTTTGTATCGAAACGACCGTAAACCGTCAAAGAGGATATTATTGTTTTAAGTCAATTCTGTGCTGAAGTCATCACTTAGTGCCTTTTCCCATACTCAAAATGCTATTCAAACTATTTTCATCAGGGAGCATTTACCATAATAATGTTTTTGATGATTTTTGAGAGAGATGGCATTAAAACTTTGAAAACGTTGGCCCAATTTTAGTTTAGACTGGCCCGTTGGGCTCTTAGACCTTGCAGCGACATAAGATAAGAAAAGTTTAAAACTTGGAGTAATTAACTTCACTACACAAAAAGTAGTTTTTCTTACCAGCATCACGATATAAGGAGCTATTATAGAACCAATGCGAGCGGAAAGCGAACACACACCCACAGCAATGTTCCTACAAAAAGCAATTTATAAGTTAAGCCATAGATCGAGCTTTTTCGCCGATTTATCGTCTTCCTTGTAAAGGGTGTTAGAAAATAAGAGGATTATGATAGTAACTACAAAACAAGCCTCCCCGTCCCCAGCACCCTAAATTTTCTTGTATTTCGGCCAACAAATAACCAAATGGCAATGGTTGGTTTTTGAGGAAACAGGATAACCGGAGTACCGGGAGAAAACCAACGACAAACTCAACCCCATATATGGCATTGACGCCGGGATTTGAACCCAGGCCACTTTGTTGGGAGGCAACTCTTGCTCCCCTAAATTGATCATTACCTAACAGCAGCATATTTCCAAAACGTCTATGTGGTGAAAGAATTGGAGAACGGCCGTCCTGAAAAAACAATGACGTTGTTTTCAGTACCTGATTGAGGTAGGGTACAGCTCGCTACTGAAGAGGTACAAAATGCCAAAAGACATGGTAACAAACGCTCGTCCAATGAACGCCAACACTCTGCTGATATGCGTCATCTCTGTAGAAACAAGGGATTAACAATACTTGTTAAAGCAACTTTTTTTTATCTTTTGCGTCCGGAACGAAAAGTGAACTCTCAATAATCCGTAGAGTCGTACCTTCAGAAAGCGACCACAAGAAGAATTCAGTGGCCGCTTTCGGCAGATTGCCGCATGCGAGAATCGAACTAAAGGGGGTATCTTCCGAGGAGAGGTCAACTACTTTTAGGGAAAAAAATTATTTCATGCGATTTGTGAGTTACGATATGTGGAGTTTCATATAGTCACCAAGAGTTCTTTGTAGACTCTGAAAGGTGCAGTACGTAAGGTGAACAAAGAGATCAGGTCATGCATCAAGTGTTCGCTTACAAGAGATTAAAAACAATGGAAAATTGTAAAACCGTCAGTACAAAAAGTGCTCGCGGTCGCTTACGGGAGGGGTTTGTTTAAGAGAGGTTCTACCTATAGCGCTTTAACTGGAAATTTTGGTGTTTTGGATAGGCGGTCGCTTATGGGAGGTGGTCGCACATGCAGGTTCGACTGTATCTCCTTTACGCTGGTTTTCACTAGCCACGAGGTCGAAGTCGGAGTCGTAATCAAATCGTAGAAAGTTGTAGTAGTAGTAAGAACTAGATTATCAGAGTACAAGTACAAGCGGAAGAACTAAACCAATAACAACGCTTTAAAACGAGCATTGTGATTAGACGGTTAATCCTTCCGCTTTTGCTTCCGATTCCGACCATGTTGTCGGCTATGTTTGTCTTGTTCATGGTAATGCACTGCTTCGGCAGTTGTAGCAAGAAGTGTCATGGGTTGGAAGAAACGAAGAGACTTGTCGAGGGGAAACTTGCCACATTTTTTTTTTCGACTCCAACAATCTTTTTTTTCACTAGATCTTAAGAGACGTACGGACAGAGTCGGAAGAAGATAGAAGTTCTGATTCGTCCGACTCCGATTCTGTGACTCCGCTCTCGACTCCGATTTTTGGTTTTTACCGAGTCTTAAGCACTCTTAAGACTCCATTAACTCTTATACTAATCGCAGAACTTTTTTTCTGAGGAGTCACCCACAATGTGAGCACACATTTACCAATGGGAACGTAATGGGACATATTACTATTAAAGGACAACGACGCAACCATAACGTTGTCCGTTTAATCACGCTCTAAAAGAACACGTCAAATCTTACTGATACGACAGGTGTAAGAGATGCGTTCAGCTCTAAAAGGCTAATTAGAGTTAATACATACCCTTTGGTACAATTAGGACAAGAAGGCAGGCGAGACCACCAGTTATCATAAACAAACAGAAAGGGATACGGCGCCCAAATCTGTAAAAATGAGAATACTCAAATTACAAGCTTAATCAATCGACAAGTACAGTTGACAGGAAACGATAAAGCCATACACGTTACGTTTCCGGCAACTTTTTTTGATCAACACATGCTGCACAAGTTGCACATTTCCTTTCGACTCAGATTTGCCACCGGAACCGGAAATGAGCACAAGACGCTCTGATTAGTGGTACCGGAAGTAAGGTGTTAAACATGACCGAGAGGGCCAGAAAAATTAATGTTCGCAGACAGACTCAATCAGTAAGTCGGGTTGTTTATGACGCTGTGTTTATGTGTATTGGACAACCCACATAAGCATAAGCCTCATAAAACGAGAAATAACAATAGTTCTGGAACCAAACTCGATACAAGACGGCGTATTCCATTTGCTACTTAAACTTTAACCAGCGACTTCTTTGTTGGAGGTAAAATCCGGACCAGCCACAACGCAATTTGGATGAAAACGATACTTTCAGTAACATACTGTCAAATAAAATTTGTCGCAAGCAAAGAAACACTGAAATTCGCCTTTGAGATGTTAACCTTCCAGAGTTGCAAGAAAACCGGTCTTTGATGAATTAACTTTTAAAACAATAACCACTTTACTGAATCTTACTTTTGTATCACTATCCACGATAGTATGGTACCTGGCACATCACTAACAACGAACATAATCACCAAATTCAGATAAGGGTCTCCCTCTATATCTGATATATACAACAGAAATCCGTAAAACACCAGGCTTGCTACACACCTGTAAAATGAAAGAAAAGCCAAATATCGGAATTCTCACTAAAAATAAGTAAACTTATTTATTTTGTACCTTAATTGATTCGAGCCCTATGATTGGTTAGTTTAGTAAGGGGTATATATAAATATATAAATAAACAGTAATGATAATATTTATTATAAAAATACTAAATCAAAACAAAGGGAGAAAAGAAAAATTCAGCCTGTAGAACAGCTCATGGGACAGAAAAACTCTCTAGGGGCCTGTTTACATGAAGGTGGGGGACCCCAGGTAGGTGAGGTAACATGTGGCGGGTTACCCCACCTAACATGTAAACGTGATCACGTTAAAATGAGAGATTATATGGGCAGGCGGGTTACCCCACCTAAGTGGGTTACCTCACCCATCTGGAGTACCCTACCTCTATGTAAACAGACCCTAAGTAGCCATCAATGAGAACCCATGATATATCAACATGCAGACATGCCTGAGATAATGACGCCACATTCACCCTTGAAAAAATTGGATTTGAAAGGTCCCCTGGCCCCGTCTGCAAGAATCCGCAATGCAGATCGAGATTTTCCAAAGAAAGAAATCGTTGGCGAGAGAAAAACATTTCAAAGGAAACTAATTAATATTTGTTAATGCAAATAAGGTGTTAAAGCGCCGGGGCAAATTTCCACGTGATGTTTTCAACTGTTTTTACAACGTCATTTTTTGTTCGTCCTTTTCATGGTAATGCACTGCTTCGGCAGTTGTAGCAAGAAGTGTCATGGGTTGGAAGAAACGAAGAGACTTGTCAAGGGGAAACTTGCCACAGCATTTTTTCATCTTCAATATCAAGAAAAACTTGAAAAGAGAACTTATGTCAGGGCAAAACTTTCTGGTAAGTGTAAACGCAGTATAAATTACTGGTAGAGTCGTAACAAGCTTCATCATTTAACGCATTAATAGGAACTTGCATTGGTTATGTTTACCGCTTTTCTGACCGGTTGATAATTCTCACCCTAATGTCACGGCTGTTAATATCGCCAATTACGCGTCTTTATTCGCCAAGGAACTTTCCGTTAACGAAGAAACTACTCCAAAACGACAAAATCACGGCTTCTTCTCCAACAAATATCGGTAAAAAGGTCTATTTGGTGGCAGTTCCTACTGTAATTTTTTGATAAAATTCGCGTCAAACCCTCTTTTAACCGTAAAAAAATTTAAACGCAAGTCGTTCTAGATTTGAGCGCCAAAAACGTGGTGACATTTTCAGCCGATACGGTCGAAAATTTGACCGGCGCAGGATGAACACCCCAACCGACTTCATGGATGCGTGGTGACTCAACTACGAGAGAGCGCTACTTTTGCAAATTCAAAATGGCGTACCCACGCGCAGATGGTGAAACCGAAAATCCCTCAATTGCTGGTTTTCAGTGTCACGTCATTCAAAATTGATCAAAATAAAAATCAAAACCGTTCAATAGATAAAGTCCAGAATCTGGGAAATGAAAGGAGGTAAATAAACAAAGACTCTCGCCAAGATTTAGGTCAGAGGAATATTTTGTATACGAGATATGCGAGGAAATGTTTTCACAAAATTAATAGAGGTTTGTATGGAGACGCCATGCTGGTGCCCATCCGGATGAGCACCAACATGGCGGACGGAAAGCAACAGAAACATCTGGCACTGAGTTTTGGTACAAAAGCGTGAATTTATTCTTCGAGGAACTCTTAAACTTTAAAGTAATACTTTTTCTAATACATGAACTCTTTAGAGAGCAGAATTCCGTGAAATAAGTAATTTTTTTCTTTATAAGCAAAGCAACAACTTTGCACGTGCATCACACTTGTTTGTACATTTCGTTTCCCGTTTTTGCACGACTACGACGTAAAATGCCTACTTTCGCGTTTTCTGGAGTACGTAAACAAGCAACGACAAAATTTGAATTTCTCTTTCTGAACTTAGATATGGTTCCTAGGAATTCACCTCCAGAAGGGTTCACCTACATTTGACAAAGTAAGTGGGTAGGAATAATTGCGATAAAGACTGAAAAAAACGCAAATAATATTTGCTTTTAAGCGACGTTCTCGTTGCCGTCGCGTCGTTGGATCTTTAAGTCCCAATTTTTAAGCAAACGCGACGGCTATACGCGTACGCCACTGGCCTGTTCTAGGTGTTCACACAGTGGGGGCGGCACAAAGATATGTGCACAGGAAAAGCAGCGAAGGGGGGGGGGGGGAAGGCTCCCTCTCCCTCACCCTATCTGCGTCCTTATTTTTTTTCCCACCGCTCTCTGAATTTGTGCTACACTCTACTGTTTGAACTACTGGAAAAGGCTATGGCCCCAAAACAAAAATTGTTGGGGTAAAGGACGCGCTGCTACCGCTGCAAACGAAGAGTACCGCGGAAAAATTGTGTATCTCAGGTTTGTAACAAACTCGCTGGAGAAATCGCGCAGGAAATTGGTGTAAAAACGGCTATTTTGTTTTGTACTTGCGAATGGAAAATGCCTACCAACAGAAACAAAGGATGACGCTTCTTCTTCGCATGCGAGACGTCCGTAAAAGATCAAGAGGCGAATGACTTGTTTTTCCTGTCCTTGACTCAGCAACACCTTGCCGGCATCTTTCCAGGGCATTTCTCAAAAAATCAGAGGTTACAGGTGCTGAATTTTTCCCGGTAAATTTCATCAGAATACGATGAGCTTCGTCCAAACGATTTTGAACGACAAGCCATCTTGCAGACTCTGGTAGTACTCTGAAATGACAAAGAAATGATAACAATAATTTTTGTCATTATCATTATAGCAATAATAATAGGGAGTTTAGGCAAAGACGTTTATGAGCGATGCACGTCAACCGGAAGGCATCACTGTACTTTTTGTAATTAATATTCGGCTGTGGCCTCGCCTTAATGTTTGGGCAAGTGGTCGGCTCTATTACAGCAATGACACCAGGCATTACAAATTTGGTAACATCACGATACACGTATATTAAAAGGAAAACGCCTCATTTCCAGTTGACGTGCATCATTTAAAAACGCCCTTCAGGATTTATTCTAGAAATTGGCCAATGAGGGTCAAATGGGCCCCCTTCTGCAATTTTAGGGGGTCCTTTTTCGAGAAAGAGGGTCCAAGAAAGGGGGCACCAAACCCAAAGAAAATGAGTGCTTTTTCAGACTTTTGACATTGAACATTGGCCGGACTCGCCAGACACTTTGCCGCCATTTTGGAACATTCTGGGCAACTGAAAAAACCTGGGCTCGAATCAAAACTGCAGAATCCCGGATGTTTGTCTGGTGAAATAATGACTCAAACGAAGAAGAGAAAGACAATTGAGACAGTAAGAGGTTACAAAAGTTCAAAGTAAGTTTATAGAGCGGCCGTCAAATGAGTGTTGTTGTCACTGATGTTTTCGAATACTGTACTTTATTTTAAAAAAATAGTACTTATCCTTGGGTCTATTTTTTATTATATCATTTTTTTGACTAATATTTTCATTTGATGCGGCAACATGCGGCATTTTTTTCCAAATTGAGGAAATCCCGCAAGGCCACGCTCTAGAATAAACCCTGTCTTTGCTCAAATAATCATTATTATCGTCGTCATCATCATCAACATCAACATCAACATATCATCACTACCAACATCATTATTTTCGTCGTCATCATCATTTAATTGTCATGACATGGTAGTATTACTAAGAACAGCCTCCAAAGAATTAAGCGATTAACAATGTTCAAAATAGAGCCATTAATATGAGGATAAAGAAGACGCGAACTCTGCCATTTATACGGGCATGTCTCACATAAGACGGGAACAGGTCGCTTAAATGATTCGCGTCGTATTTCTTGAAACGGACACGATATCGCGTGCATATTGCCTGTCGCAACGTCATTCCAACACTGCACGTGTTAAAATAACACTTGCGCAACTATGCATTCGCGTCTTGAGACGAGGGTCATTTATGCGAGGTTTTCTTTTGCTTAGCTAAGAACAGGTGTTACGAGCTGTTCTTAGACAAGACGCGTATAAGCTGAGTCCTGTCTTACTAAAAAGGATATTTTTTATGAAGATCAACCTCGTTCTTAGGTTCTCTCTCCTACTCGTCGAGAGATTCTGGTTTGGTCTGGTCACGTGTCTCCCAGAATCTGGGAGATTACAAACAAACGATTTGGGGGAGGGGCGGATAAGGTGAGATTTGTCTCTGCAGAGAGTAGATGTAAAGTGCAGCCATGAAACTGTGTACCTGACCTTGTCTTAAAGGTCATGACTAGCCAAGACAAAACCTCGAACGCCGAAAATAATGCACAAAATTCCTTGACAGCGAAAGCGTAACGAACTTCAGAATATCTGGATGTTTATCTATCGGGGATGCTGTCCTCGTCAAATATTGCCGCATGCAGAGGAAATCGCGGATTCAGTCGCCGCTTGTGCAGTCAAAAATAAATTACGCAGTGGTATTCATACCGATCGAAACGTACTGGATTTGAATTGCCATGTCTATGTTGTGGAGGCCACATTAGAAAACAAATGTATGTGTTTTCAAGACTACGATTATATAGTTCAAAGGGCGCCGAATAGATGTATCAACCGTCGCCTCCTCACCGACCTCGAAAATGAATTAAATAGGTCAAAGCAACAGGAAGAGAGAATACGCCGCCCGGACACAGTTTGATTGCTCAAATGAAGAGAGGTAAACAGAATCTTAAAAGACGATATTTTTATCGATGGGACCTTTCAGCTTTTTTCGTCATCGTTTAAAATCAACCGAATGGCCGTAAGCATCTTTGTTAAAAATTGGCTTGTACGACCGCCAATCTTTATTGTTCCTTTTTTATTTTTTCTGGAGGGTTAGGTATGCTTAGCTTTAGAGGATTTTAAGAAATCACTGGGCTGCATGTGTTTTCTAATAACGTTTTCATATGGATCATGTACAAGAAAGCCTTTCGCTTGGAAGGTTATGTTGTCTGTTTTGTCTCTGCTTACACTGCATGATTTCCTGTTGTCATCTGTCGCGTTGTGGTCACTGACTCGTCCCCAGTCGACGAACGACTAGGGACGAGTCAGTTCTATATATATCTCTATCTACCACTAAAAGCGATACGTTTTTCCATTGCTCATCATAACAAAGGTTGGGGGCTGGAGAAAGCTGACATTTCATTTCAGACTATAGCTATCCGTTAAGTCAACAGATCTAAAATATTATTTTGACGGTTCAGTAAAATGAATTCCCTGCTCCCGAAGCGCTAAGACCGCTAATGGTGTAGGTTTTGCAGTATACTAATTCGGCCCGATTACCAGCAGCCGCTGTGAGGCAAACATTGATACTTTCCATGATGCAAGTTTAATAAAGAGGGACTTTCCCTTCAATATAAACACGCTTGTGTAGAACTCAAGATCGTCGATTTTTATTTGCGATTGGTGTCGTCGATTGAACTGCGACAACGCGAGTTTTTGATTTCTCCTCTGGGAGGGGGGCGTAAGGGTTTGCGGTATTGCGGTATTGGCTATTTTTTGGTGCGGTGTTGCGGTAATTTTTATTTCAAAGTACGGTATTGCGGTTTTCAGAGCCCAAGCGGTGTGCGGTGAGTTTAAATTTTATGTCGCGGTAATCGGTGAAAAAATCGTTGTGTCACGGTGATCTGCTTCTTTTTCATGACAAGAGAATACAAATCCTTAAAGGTCTCCCTAGCTAGCCGGCGTGACCTGCGTGTCTTCCTATAGCTGCACAGTCGGGGATCGTATATTGCGCCTGAATATTCGTGTGTGCTTAGCCTACATAGCACTGATGGCAGCCCGGGATGGCGCGGGGGTTACTTCCTTATAAGAGGCCAGTGGGGATGTGCCGCTGGATGGGGCCGCATTTTCAAGAGTGGAGTGACTATAATGGGGTGGCATTTTCAAGAGAGTTTCTAGAATGGGGTCGCGCATTTTCTGATTTTTGGGGGTAAGACAGTTCTTCATATTTACGGTTAGCAAACGTACCAGAATGTTTGTTCTGTAGATGAAAAGTTAAGCGTTCTTCATTCAATCTAAAAAATGGTCAATTCATAAAAATTGAAAGCGACCAAGCTGGGTTCTCGAAAATTAAATATTTGTCCAAAAGTGACTAAGATGAGGTCTATAATTGGCCACAGAATAGACTATAATGGGGTAGGGGCTCGGAGAAGCCAGCGGCACATACCCAGCAAAAATTAACCCAGGTACCCCCGTTGTATCATTTATGTAAACGTATACATGTTATGAACAAAACGAGTGCGATGATCTTATGACGCACCTTGATTTGGAAACACTGACATAAAAGTATTATTATTGGAGGGGGGATTTGTAGTATTGACAACGTCAACTTTTTCCCATTTGTAATTGCGGTTTCGGTATTTGGCTAAATTTTGATGCGGTATTGCGGTATTCTTTCGCTACCATGTGCGGTATTGCGGTATTCGTACCCCCCTTACGCCCCCCTCCTCTGGTAAAATTATAAACTTGTTTATCTAGTGGCAGTTCTGTTTGCGGACCTTCGCGATCATTGCGTGAACGAGACACAAAATTGTGAGACAAAGGACTCCTCCCTCAGAGTTAATTTTGTTCTGGAGCCACATGACCAGACCCAACCAGGGTCTTTCTCTCTCTCTCTCTCTCGCTCCGTTGTGCCAGCTTCAGGCTTACTGTATGTCACAATGGTAATCAAATCATATATAATAACTGTATAGAGATCAAATACACAAAACTTGGTCAACCCTTTAAGCCCAAATATCCACATACAAATTCTCCAGATAAATTTCCCTACATTTTCTTGAAAAATTAGTTGAGAGAATTTGTTAAAAGATCAAAGCACTTTTTCGCTGGTGATCATTTTATTAATTCCTGTAACCTTTGTACCCGATGTTGTATTGACATGGTTAGCAGAAAACAGATCTTGGTCATTCTTCGGACAAAGGGTTAATGGAACCTTTTTTTGTGTCTGTTTTTTTACGGTTGCAATCACGCAGATATCCTTTGAGGTTGTCAAACATTCCCCTCCACCTGCTAACTGACCATGGAAGAGAACTGCTTCATGCACCTCGCTTAAGAAGATCTGCAACAGCGTAGGAGACGGATTTGAAATGGCAGCAAACTTCAGGGGCACCCAACGCCAATTTTCGGGAAAATATCTGTTCGGAAGACGATTTGAGAACTAGAATTTTCGGAACATTTGTTGTAAAATTTCTTGCTTGCCTGCCTCTCCTAGGATTTTCGAACATCTACAAAATGGTATAATTACCCATATGTCTACCGTTTAAATACTAAAATACGTTCAACAATGCTATGTTCAGTGGTTTTGAACTATATCCTCGTTGGGTGCCCCTGAAACTTACGTGTAGAAGACAACAAACAGTAGAGGAGGAAAGCTGGCCACTAGCAACAGTGTCCGCCAGTACCGAATGTTGTAGGCCAGTAACGCAGACGCACCTGATCCAATGGCCCAAAAAAACCCTGAGCCCTTCCCAGACATGGTTCGGAAACTTGGTCCGACAAGCTCGAGGATGTATACATACTGGACGACAAAGAAACCAGTCAAGGATGCTGCTGTGGCAAAGCGAAGGATTGCAAAAAGGATGATGTTATGGGAGAAAGAAGCACCAACACTGAATGCTGCCTGGAGGGACAACAATAAAAGTCGTAAGTAATTAAAAATAATAATAATGATAATAATGATTAAAAATAAAAATTTAATGTGGGTCTTTTTATACTGTTCAAAATTTAATTGAAGGTGAGTTATAGTTATTACAGTTATAGTGACTGATCACCCCATTCTGTTACTCATGTTGGTGGCCCTTACCCCATCAAGATACTTGCACAATACCCAATAAAGTGAGTCTGCTCAGAGGATACTAAAATAAAATTCCCAAAGGTTCCATTTGTTCTACAGGGTACAGTGTATCTGACTGAACTTAGGTAAACATGGCTTCAGTGAGTGTCTACAAGTCCTCAGCTAACTATGTCCTTGGTACAGGTACCAAGACTTTGACCCTCCCCACCCAGGACACTGGGTGACTGTCTGTGCCTCCCACTGAACTCCGCAATTATCATGATAATTATTCGCAGCAGAGGCCTGGCTGGGGTAGAGTAAGAACAAGGTACTTGCCAGTCAAAGCCTCTAGTAAACACTGCTCCTTACAGTGAAGGGGTTGTGCCAAAATAGCCCCCTCCCTATCCCACTTGTTTTGCCCCCAGGCCTGATCCACCCACCCAGTGTTAAGGCACTCAGTCCCTGGGCTATTCATCTGTACCAACCAAGACGGCAAGCCCCATACATTTTTGGGGACCACACTGGCCTGGAGCCAGGCTGCACCTGATGCCAGGTGAAAACCTAGTGGATACGTTTTGACGAAAGCAGACAGATATACATGCAGGGACAATTTGTCATTAGATAAAAACAAGAACAATAATTTCAGTATCACTTGCACTCAGCTATGAAATGATAAACACTGCAAATAACTTGCAATTTAATAAGGCTGAAGCTTAGTATGACTGACCACTGAATAGTGGTGTGCCAATCATTGATTATAATCAGTCATTGATTGAAACCTTAAGCAAAGCAATATTAAACTATTATGGAAAATTTCCAGTTGATTGTTGCAAAAAAACAAAATTAAAAATTATAATTATAATAATTTTGGAAAAAAATAATATTGAAACTTGTGTGTTGTCTTTTCAATAAACTAATTAATATGTGATGCCACTAAAATCCATTGATGACCCTTTTTCTTATATTTCATGTGTTCTTATCGTTGTCTTAAAGACAACACCAAAGTGATCGTCAGAATAAAAATGGTCCAATGTTAAAAAAAATCAAATTAGTTTATATTATGACTTTACCCTTGTTCACAGGTGAAAAACAAATGGCCTTCTAAATTATATAAAGAGATTTTTTTGATTACAGTCAATGATGAAAACTGTGGGTCAATTTGATTATAACTGATGATTGATTATGATATATCAGCTAATTCTCAACGCTACTACTATACTTTATTGACTAAAACCAAGTGCCTCCTGAGATTGCTAGTCTGTGACAATGTTTCCTGTTTATGATTGCTTCCCAAATATTCCACAAAATTTGCACCACAAGCATAATACTGATCGCTAGCTTTCAAACAGCTGTAAAACCATGTAATTATTCATCATTGAGGAAGGATTACATTGCGTGACAACCAAAAAGTAAGAAGGTCATTCAACTTTCCTTGCCCCTTGAAACCATGACAATTATAATGACTGATGCACACTATCAAAACGCGAACAAAAAAACACCCTAGGAGACTTCTTTTATGTATTAACTGCTTAATTATCCTTTCATATTGCCTTGACTTTGCTTGTGATTGAAAGGATAATTTGACAATACATAAGTTGTTTAGAGCTTTATGAGGAACCGTTCCAAATTCATTATGATCAAACAAAGTGCGTTGACATACCGGTAAATAAAGAATACTTACTGTAAGCACTGAACAAAGTAGCATGCAAAATCGCCTGCCATAAAAATCAGAGATGGCCCCAAAGAGGAAAGATCCAACCAAACATCCAGCTGAAAATGCAGCTTGTATACTTGCAGCTATAAAGGCTCGGGCACAGATGAGGTTGTACTAAGAGAAATAAAAAAAAAAAAGAAAAACTACTGCTTACATTCTGAGAATTATATTGATGGGATAGAGATATAGTAGATGTGTGCTATGACTTAATTGTAAAGGCTTATACAATAATCAGGGTTCTCATGATCAATAGGATTTGAAGTAGGTGTCTGCCCAACCTTAAAGAGGCGGCTGTGACAAAAGGAGGGGCTGGGTCTGAGGCATGTCCCCAAAGAAAACTATTAAACATGGAAGCTCTGCAATGCAATTTTGAGGACATTCTGGGCATCAACTACAATGATTACGGAATAAGTACACACCACATTCTGTCAACTTAATAGCAAGTATAAGCGAGGGCAAGAATCTGAAAAACCAAACAAAATAGACTGGACTGCCATGACACAGCGCAGCCCCATTTAAATTTTGACAAATAAATTGAGGTCGTAACCTTTTGCAGAAAAAAGGAAGAGCATTAGCTAGGCCCTCCACTGTTTCAAACCACACAGTCCTGTGCAGCCAACACCTGTCTACTATTGTAAGTGTCACTACTAGGGCTATGTGTGTGAAAATCGTGTGAAAAGGGTGTGAAAAGTGTGTGAAAAAAAGGAACCATGTGAAATCAATGTTGGAAAAAATACAAGTTCACCACATCAGCATTTCACATGCATGTGAACTTTTTGACATGGATGTGAAATTTTGTAAAAAATTTTGTCATATGTGTGAACCTTTTTTCCATGCATTTTATTACATGTGAAATCTTTTCACACATGTGAAACAATTCTGTCAGGCATGTGAACTTCAAATTTCACATGAATAATAGATGCTATGCATGTGAAATTTTTCACATGCATGTGAACACTTTTAGGCATGTCAGAGTGAGCATGTGAATTTTTTTCAGGGCTTGTTAAATGCAACCACCATGAACCATATTTTTATGAAAATGCCATGAATTTCTGGTGAATACCCCATGAAAGGCATTTCATGGCTCATAAAAACTGCAAAATTAAATTTCATGCCATGCCACATCTAGCATTCTATGGCTCATAGCTGATAAATATCAAACTAAGTTGACTATGAGGGTGATGAATTTTTGAAGAATAAGATTTGATATGTTACTAACCTAGAAAATTCACTATACTTTAATGCATCAGACCTTTAAGGCAAGTGATCACAACAAACGTGCTGTTACAAATCATCATCATCATCACCATTAAAGGTGAACCCCAATATACCAAAGTGCCATGCCCCAGAAGGACCCTCTTGTAAAGCAGCGGACTGGAATTAGCGTTCAAAGCTCTTTTCATGAACTAGCTTGCAACCAGATCTCTCAGTCAATAACTGTATTAATTATTATTAAATACACAGGGGTTTCAAAACAAGCCGGAGGCTAGAGTTCTGCTGGCTACTCGACTGTATATCGCTGGCTGCGCTGGTCATAACAATTAGCTTGTGACAAACAATCTCGATTGTCACAGCCGCCTGCTTTTCCACAGTTGGCGCCTACTTCAAAACATTTTGAAACCCCTGAATACACTGTACATTCTTCATTATGTTTGACTTGATTAAAATCTTTCGAGTATCCGATCCACATGTGCATCTTTACAAATATCATTGTCTTCATTGTTTGCTAGAACATGCTATATAAATTTATGTATTTTATCAACTGTCTCATCTAAATTTGTGGGTTGTGTATCTTACCACTTGAGTTTCCACCCAGAAAGATGTGTACCATGATTTTTGTTAAGTGGGGAGGGCTAAATCCTGAGAATTAAACCATTCTTTCAACAGATCTTCATTGAGGACAAAACGGACTTAATTTTATTACTCCATCAGAAAACTTACTTTGCTAACATATACGACATATGTAACTTACACTTTATGAATGTTTTGTTTCTTACTGTAACGTTCCTCGTTGTAACATTTAAAGTCCACTTGAACATGCGAACAGTTCCTTGCTTTGCATGCTTTTTGAGTTTTCTTTTGATACCGTTCGTTCAACTAATGATTCCTTGAAGCAAACGACTGGCATGCTCTTGGTTTGCTCAAGTTGTCTTTGGTTCAATCAGCTTTCCGTACCTGAGCTTATCCAACATGAACAACGTCCACAACACGTATTAATTAGTCGCAACTTAGATTCATGTAGTGAAGGCCAGCATTTCCTTAAATTCTCAAAGGTTTCCCAACTTGAAGGAACAATGTTAAGTCTTTCTCTTGCTTCTAATACTTCAAATGCACTGGAATATTCTAATTAATGCTGAAAATAACCGCTTCTTCGACTCAAACGAGTGCACTTTCTTCGTCGCAAGATTAGCCGCCATGTTTGTTGTTTCCCAGGCTTCCCCGTGATTTTAGCACATGCGCGATTTGATTTACAATGTCACGTGCGGCTTTTCAACCAATAGAAAATTGTAAAATGAAGTTCCGTTGAATAGTTTAAATTCACGCGGACTTCACAAGCAACACAGCGATGCAAACAGAATATTTTCGTTACTTTCGGATAGATAGAAAGACTGTCTTTCAATAATACCCATGTTATTTTCGAGAGAAAGTGATCAATTGCAAAATTCTTCACAAAAAGCATGTTTCCAAGTCAGCAACTCAGCTGGATTATGGCAGAAAGGTATGTTCTTCTTGATATTGTGGTTCGTTAACAAGAGCTTACTTTGGTTTTCTAATAACTTTGCGTAAGCTTAAACCTTCAAAGATACATCTTAATTTAAGATGCATGCACAGATATGCCATTGATTGATTCTTTTTTGTTTACTGCAGAAAAAACTGTACTCTTTGTTGCAAATCGTCAATGGAATACTCTGAAAATTTTATGTTCTGACGCTAGTAGGCTGTGGCAGACTTGTCAAGACCAATGTTAAATAAAATAGGAGAAGAAATAGCATGCATAAGTTTCCGTGATGCATGCAATGTATACTACAAGTTGGAAGCAATTCAGTTTCCAGTTAATTCATAATGACTTGAGAGTTGAACTAAACCTATAAAATTTGAGTAGGTTTGTTTATTTGAGCTTCGATTCATAATATTCATACATCTGCAGTAAGGTAAAAAATAAAAGGCAGCTCTATCTAGTCTGATGTTTGGACCTTCAGTTCAGAAAGCTGTTCAGCCACTTTGAAAGAAGCAGTCATTTAGCATTATTTTTTTCCATAAACGTGCTTGTATTTTTCAAAGTCGTTTATTTACTTTGTCTTTTCACTGACATTGAGAGCTAGATTGCTTTTCAATTTCTGTAACTTGGTATTCCTTAATAAGGGGAAATTGTAAATTGGCCACTATGTCATTTACTCTCATAATTATTACAATTTATAAGAAATATTTCTAACCAAAAATTAGTATATTATTAGTTATTTTATTGATGTAGGAATTAAAGGTATAAAAACTGAGCATGATAGAAAGTTTTGTTTTTATTATTATCCTCCAGGCAATAAATATTGACAAATAAACAGGATTAGACATTGATGTTTCCATTAGCCTTATGTGCCTTTTGGGAGTAACTTAAATTTACATTTAAGTTCATTTGGGGACATGTGAGTCAGTTGAACTGAGTTTCACCATGTTGATAATATGAAACCAATTTCCTTTGCCAATCAATTCTATCCAGTTTGCTTTTCACTTTTTGCCAGTTTTATATAAATCAAGTTCTTCTGAAAATACCATAAAATTATAAATAAACCAACAGATCAGGCTATAAACCTGAAGTTGTTTGTGACTATATGAAAACACAACCATGCATGCAGTTCACAGTACTTCGGACAAATTTATTGCAAGCGGAAAGTGAAAATGTAAATTTGTGTGTAAATATTTATTGATCTAAGCTAGTTGATTTACTGAATATCTGCTTGTGAAACAACATACCCAATTTGTGTGAAGTGGTATGGGAAATTCTACCCTGCAAGCGGAGTTTTCTTTCTTGCATGGCTTTTAGCGTTTACAAAGTCGTTTGGGTGGCTTGTCTGTCGCGTAGTTGGTTTGTTTACGTGTAAACAAACCTCTGCTCGCAGGGTAGTGAAATTCTATTGCCATTCATGATCTCCGATCTCTGAGGATTTACATGTGAAAGCTCATGTGAAATCCCATGTGAAGTGTATGTGAAAATAATGTGTGAATTAGTAGCATGTGAAATTCTAGATGTTTTGCCATTCAGTGAGGATTAAGTACATGTGAAAGACCATGTGAAACCCCATGTGAAGTGTATGAAAATATGTGTGAGTTTAAATGAGGATTTACATGTGAAAGCCTGTGTGAAACCCCATGTGAAGTGAATGTGAAAATATGTGTGAAAGGGATGACGTCGCTTCACACCCTTTTCACATATATTTCACTATGCAAAATTTCACATGCACGTGAAATATGTGTGTGAAATGCGTGTGAAAAGTGTGTGAAAAACGTGTGAAAAGAGTGTGAAAATAGGACATTTTTCACACGTTTTTCACATGGTGTTTCACATACATACTCCTAGTAGTGTGTATCAAAGCCATGAATAGAAATATGCATTTTGATTTTATAGCTCTTTTTTGAATTCTCTCTAAATACTGCTGCACACAGGCCTGTGCAGCCAGCACCTGCCAATTGTTAGTCCTTTTTGTACTGTAAATGAACACAACATACAAACAAACACAACATGCAAGCAAGGGAAGGTAAACATGCCTACCTCTGTCACGGCACTGGTGAATGTTGTAAACTGATACTTGGTACAGTTGGTGCAGCATTTATTTAAATCACACTTCACGCCAGGTGTTATGCAATGAAACTCAGGTGTACCAGTGAAAAAAAAACCTCCAGCAAACTGAATACCACTTGGTATGATGACAACTGCGCAGCAAACAATGTAAATAACCCTTTGCCGCGGACCAAACTCACCAATGGAGTGCAAAATGTCATCAAACTGCAATGCTGAGGGGCTAACAATCACAAAATTTATAACAATCATTGTTTTATAAGTTAATTGATAGTATATAATAATTTTTTACACTTCCACAAACCAAAAAGAGATGGGCACAATGATAAAGTTATTGTTTAGAACAATACTAGATAGACTGCAAAACTTTATTTTATTTGTGCAGTCAAGAACACGTGAACAATCAATTAATGAACTCAGCTGCAACACTGTAGTGCTTCACACCTTTAAAAAGTGATTTTCGGAAAAAACCAGCTGTGTTGCAGTTTAAATGAGTTAAACTACTAGAAGAAACCCTGTTAGCTGTGCAACCATTTTTTGACCCATTAAAATTTGGTTACAAGTAATAATGGGATAGCATTGCACTATGATAGCATCGCACTATTCATACTATTGACAAGCTAGCTTTTCGTTCCGCCATGAAAAGCTACCCAGTATATTGTGAGCACCTATATGTGACTCTCCACTTTAGGGATTGTCACGCCGCAGCTTCTCTCTGTCACAGAAATCACGCCATCCTCGGAGACCCAGGGGCAGATAGTGGGGGCGACGGAAAGTCTAAACGGGCGGGAAAATATGGCACGAAGAAAAGTAAAGAACGGCGAGAAGAGCCCCTGGGGACAATGTCTTACCAGACCAGTTCCAAACTGTCGCGGTCGTTCTGGCTTCTGATTGGTGCCAGAAAACTTTTGTGTTTTTCTGCCCAATCAGAAGGCAGAACGGCGACGACCGTTTGGAACTGGTCTGGTAAGACATTGTCCCCAGGGGCTCTTCTCGCCGTTCTTTACTTTTCTTCGTGCCATATTTTCCCGCCCGTTTAGACTTTCCGTCGCCCCCACTATCTGCCCCTGGGTCTCCGAGGATGAAATCACGCCACCGCAACTGTTCTTGTGTAATTTTGAACAGAAGCCCCATCTGGTATGGTTTTCATGGGGGCGCAAGTTAGCTGTCTAATGTAGTGTACTGAGCATAGCCAAAGTCTTTTAAAACTATGTGATTACCATCTGAATTGCACTCCATAAAATTTCATTTCTTGCTTTGTATTTCTTCCTTCTTATTTCAATAATAACTGCACTCTTCTCAGTCAACAGTTTTGTGTTTTGCTGTCAGCAATCACCTTTTAGCAGATCACTCAGGAAACATAATGTTTTCTTACTGGATACAAAATGTCTGTGGGCTGTAATAATAAACTGGTAGATTCCCCAAACTAGCCTTGCACACATGTCTTATTATGAATATAGCAATCTCATAATATTTCACAAAAAAAGGTTATTAAGACCCTGTCCATACGAATCCAGACAGTTTTGTCACCACAAATTTGTTTTCCTGATGTCTGTGTGGAAGGGGTCTTAAACCACTCTGAAACATGCTGTTTTGGTGAGCGGATCTACTGGTTTTGTGTGGATGTAAGGCAGATTCATGTGAAAAAATTATATTATACATATGCAGTTTCAAAATTATCCAGATTCATGTGCAAGGGGCCTTAACGAATAAAGTCAAAACATGTGTATGCATTATAACTTTATTATGCAGAGCAGAAATCTTATTCCCTTACGGGGAATGACAATGATGAAACTAAAACAACAAAGTGACCCACTGACTGACCAAATGATTTCAAATATGACTTTAAAAACAATGATTTCAAAGCTTGTGGGTCACCCACTTTCCAAATTTGACGCCAAAGAAACTTGAAACTGTTTTTATGCACCTTGACAATGATTATGCCAAATATATAAGTTAAGTTTTGTTAGATCCTGCAACAACAGTTATAAGTGTAAGTTACAGCCACTATCTTAATATTACTGGCTTTCAGCTCAGTTCACAGCAGCTATGCTGGTGAACAATTGCAAGAAGAGGGTCTAAATTAAAATGCAGGGTTCTCAATAGATTTTTAAGTAGGAGGTGATCACTGATAAAGTAGGAGGCTCTTCAGCAAAGCCAGAGGTGTCAAAACAAAGCAAAGAAAAGCGACTTAAACACAAAGTAAGCGGCTATAAATCCCAAAGTAAGCGGTGATCAATCGCCGGGTGCCGCCTTCTATTGAGAACCCTGCTCAATGGGGTGATAGCTGATTTGACGGTTGATGGTTAAATTTGAGAGCTTTTGATGGTTGACAGTTATTAAATAGGAATTTAGTCCAATAGTTTAAGTAAATATTAATTTGTGTTTACATAACTTAATATTACAGTTGTAACCTTTCTGTCTTGGAGGTTGTCTTGGCTGAAATTCCTGCATTCCAGCTCCTTTTTCACGAAAATCCCTGGTTACATCCCCCATTTTTTTCATGGTAAAGAATCCCACATTCCGTGCCCAAATATTTGTGAATCCCATTTCCCAGGTTGCAGTCAAATCCCATTTCGTGTAAAGTTTTTTTGCGTTTGCCCAAGTTCTGCACCGTATTTTGGTCAAATCCTGTATTCCAAAAATACCCTTCCAGACCCTATTTGACAGTTAAATTTTAGGCCGCTTGATGGCTGACAGTTAACCCCATTAAGACCCTCCAAGAACAAAAGGAGGAACTAAGCACTTTCTTCAAGCAAAGGAAAAGGAAAACGGATACCCGTGGAAGGGGCGTTGAAGAGAAAGAGGAGAGTATTGTTCTCCTGTTCATATTCAAAGCATTAAAACGAAATGTGTTTACAATTACTTTGTACAGAACTGATGTGATGTTTATGCGCCGATTCTGTCAATCTGCAAACAATCAATACCAACTGACATCAATTTATCTATCAATTGTTATTGAAAATCAATACCAATCCACAACCACACAAATCTCCACCATCGATTGGTCATTTATTAGCAGTAGGGTTGGATTATCAATATCGATTGGTATTGATTGATATCGATTGTCATCAATTATCGATTGGATACGCTGGGGATGGTGGAAGGAATGCATGGACTCTGTTATGTTCATACAATCATAATGTATTCTATGAACGAAAAAGAAAAGAAAGTTTCACAAATTTTAGAACAAGGTGCTAAAACGATAAAAACAAACTTTCATCTGCTCATTAACCCACTAACTGATGATTTCCCTGAGGGTTTTCCTTACTACAAATAAACAACCTGCGTTGTAATAATTGTGTTTCGGAATCCCTAGTAACTGGCAACCCCGGGCTGGCAACATGCGGTATTAATATACATAATCACAATCTTCCCAGCGATCATTGACTTACACAGTTGAATTTTGATAAAGTGACAATACGATTACCTGTTTACGCTAATAAGAGCTCCATCAACTTGGTTTCCTTCGGTTATGTCATCTTCAAAGCTAGACAAACTGTCCGTCATCCTGTCATGATCGACAGCTCGAATGGGCTCATCATGTACTTCATGTAAACAACAAAAAAGCGAGACTCTTTCTGATCCAGGATTAGGCCTGGGCACTAGAGCAGATATCGGCGAATGAAAATACGATGTGTCTAGCAATCGTGACGTCACGTTCAAGCCGGCCCGGGAAGGTTTGAAAGAAAGTAAACAAAATGCTTGTCGTGAAAAGTTCACGGTCCAATTTCTCAGTAACAGTAGAGCAATTCATTTCTATAACTAAAGCGAAGCTGCAGATGTTATCATATGAAGTATCAATAACGCAATTTCAACCTGAAAACAAAAAAACAGACTGGTGATTCGACTCGAAAGTGTTGACAAATACTACCGATCGATAAAAATCATCACCAAGATCATCTTTAATTTAATGGCCTGTAACTCAGAAACCCCACAATACTGCGCTTGGAGACAAAAATATAACTTACATTGGTCAAAACTTTCTCATTTTTGAAAAAGTAAATCTCATAACAATTTCATAAAAATGATCAGTGGCTTTAAACACTACTTTCCGCAGGTACCTTGCGAGTCAGCATTCATCCTCAGTAAAATTCGCGTACATTTTACTTTTGGGTGAGTTGGTGTATTCCCAATGACCCGTTAAAGTTCCCGAATTTTCCTTAATTAACGACGTTTCTCTACCCTCCTCGTTCTCTTTCAGTTTCAGCACTCTTTAATAAGATTCAAGCTGGCGGAGATAGACGCCATATTGTATGACGTCACCAATAAGTCCCCAACAGCATCATGGAAAATCAACCGTGCCTTGGACAGCAACCCATTATCGGTGAGAAAAGTGTGTTCAAATACAACTCAGCAGATACCCAAAGCAGGTTGTTACTTTAACCCCGGCCCTACTTGCGAATTTGAGTATTGTCGTTAATGTAGCCTGCGAACGGCAGACGTTTCTCCTCGCTCATCGCCGCTGAGGAACGTTTCACGAGGAAACGTCCCAAACGCAACGTGCTCAGCTTCCCCCACCCCCCAAAAAGTATTGTTATCCTCACAGTATATAAGTAACTATATCGGAAAAATCACCCAGACGCGACGAGGTCAGTGCACACACTGGAATATTTCTCGAAATTGTGTCTCAAAATGTACCAGATTGCATCACAGCGCATATTCATTTCAAAACATTTCCTTGGGAACATGTTGCCGGACCCCCCGAGGAAACTCCTCGCCTTCGGCCACTCGGGACCTCTCCCCCAAGCGATAAATTGTAAGTAGAACCCTGATTAGGGTTAGACAGTGTAATAATGGTTACCTGAAGAAGAAATGTTTAATTGGTAGGAAATTAAGAATAAGGGAAGCCAATTAAGCAGGAAACTGCACTGATGTATCGTGATCAGGGAGTTTATTTTATTTCACTACTACTTTTATATACTGTTTTGGAGACTCAGAAATACAATAGTAGATAGACTCTGCCATTACGTATACAGTTGTTAAACTTGAGAATAGCTCGGAGTAAGGCAGCCGCGGGGCACCTTGTTCTCGACAGTTTTAAGTTTAAGAAGGTTCCCCCTCTCTTTCCCTCTGGGTATAAAAGCTAGTTGCTGGTCACTTTTCTGAGGCATGATGCTGTTTTTATCATGCTGTATATTTAGAAAACTAAAATTGAAGCACTAGGATCGGGTACAGGTACGTAAATCAGAGCAGTTCCATCGTGCTTTTCTGTTATTTTTATAGTCACATGATTTTGTCACTTAGTTGTCCACTCGCATTGTTGACTCAAGCTAAGCAGGATAGTGGCTGCGGAGCACAAACCCCATTCAGTTTAGGTAGTTAGGAAACTTCACTCGTTTTGTGTCCAGTGCAAATTTTTAATCCCAACCAATTTTGAGAGGATGTTAAAATGCGTCATTTCCACCTACCCGCATCTTTTTTCCCAATTTTTTTGTTTTAATTTTAACCTTGACCGGCAAGCAACCACGTAGTACTGAAGGCTTTTGACAATATGCCAGAGGGTAGCCAAACAAGACTGCCACAAAGGGGTGACTTATTTTGCTGGTTAAGACGATTTTAGGCTATATTTAACGTTCAATTTCCTGTTTTACAATCCCTGAGGGAGGTCCAAGACCCACCGCCAATCAAGTGACCGACATTTTGAAAACAAGCAAAAACCACTCTCACGTTCATAGCCTCAAAAGGGCGTGTTATTTCTTGATACCAAAACCGCTATCATCATGCAAGCTTTATAGGTTATCGTCAGTTTAAAACAGTATAGTTGATTAACATTATATCCTATCTGTTTCTCTGAAAGCGCCCACCCTTTGTAACAATCCATTAAAATTGCAGGCTTGGCATTTTGCTTGCATGTTTCGAAACAAATTTCCTGTGCTGCTGTTTTTTCTCTCTGTTTAAGCTAGTCCTAACATTATGTGAATGGATCCTAAAGGGTGACCATTAACTGATGAAACAGACGGTAAGTACCTTCTTGTGCCACTGTTTATTATAACTTTAGGTGGTTATTACTTTTGAGTCTGTGGATGTTATCCTAAAGTGTGATTTTAAGCTGCTGAGCAATGAGTTCATTCCTGTGGTATCCTTTATTATAAAAGGAACCGTGGGTTCTAAATTCTTAGTCTGTAGAGGACATCCTTTAGTAACCATTGAAATGAAAGTTACTGATCAGTACCCTCCTTTGGAGCTGTTAATTATCCTGTGTAAGGTGGTCCTGACTGTTGAGCCCTGTAGAGGTGGTCCTGAATTGTGACCATTGAAATGAAAGCTACAGAGCAAGCAGTACTTCACTGAGATGCTATTTACTACATGTATGCGTTAGATTTTAATTTGTGGTTCTTTTTCTCTTATTGGATAAAATACTGCAATGCAACTGCATGTTATGGTTTAATTTTATTCTTGGTTTGGGTTCCTTTGCTTTTGTGCATAGTTAAATGTATGATAATGGGCTTGAAACAAACTAAAAACCGGTTATTAACCAGGAGAAAATCAACCACAACAAAAACACAAAAATACACAACAGCAACAATACAACTCTTTAACTCAAACGTGGTCGCCGAAATATAATGTTCTCTTATGTCCATTTCCTTTCAAATTCACATTAAATCTAGCTCTCAGTCTTCGGTCTTCACAAATGTATAACTTGTAAATTCATGGAAATGAAAGGTACACTTTCTTCTATTGCTTTTTGGTGGACTTCCGCCATTATAATCAGGGATGCAATTAGCTGGTCGCCGAGATATAATGTCTTTTTATGTCTATGCCATTGCAAATTCACATTAAATCTAGCTCTAAGTCCTCGGTCGTCACAAATGTATAACTTGTACCTTCGTGAAAATGAAAGTTACACTGACTTTCCTCTATCGCTTTTTGGTAGATTAGTACCGCCATTATAATCAGGGATGCAATTAACTGGCCGCCGAGATATAATGTCTTTTGCTGTTTGTCCCATTGCAAATTCACATTAGATCCAGCTATGAGTCCTCGGTCTTCACAAATGTATAACTTCTACATTCACGAAAATGAAAGTTCATCAGTAACATTTTGTTCTATTGCTTTTTGGTAGACTGCTACCATTATAATCAGTGTATAGTTTGATGCTTCGTAATGTTGAGCTTTATGCAAGTTTGTAAAACACGCTCTAACTAGATGGAGTGGGACCATTTGAAATAACTATTGCAAAGTACCCTCTTAGGCACTACTGCCGATTATTTTTTTAATTACAATAGGCCCTGCAGTAAGATTTATAGTGAATAGTGAGTTCATTCTTCTGTGTATATGCATCAGTTGCTATAATTTCAACTAGTAGATGTGCTGATTTTAATACCTCCTTGATGCACTGGTATAACATGATTCCCACCACTTCCCACCCATCAATGGCAATCTTGTATTTTTATCTTTTGAAGAGTAATCTAATTGATTATTAATTTTTGTTGTTGTTCAATTTCATCTGCGAAATTTTGTGCCATTGTGACAATTCTCTTCTTAGCTGCTACTGCATCAGTGTTATATATCATTTCCTGAGAGGCGTGGGACTCGGCCTTTGTTAGGTATTTTCTTAGCTGTTAATCCTGGCACATACAACTGAATGCAACCGGCTTGGGACCAGGTGAATAGTGCTGAAAAATCTACTGGGTCCGTGGATGAAATACTCAATTATTTGGCAATTTGAAGGCTCTTTATTTCTTTCTCTACTTTGCCCACAAGCCCCATTCAGTTGTCTCGTTATTCAAAAATTAATGTAAAATGATCCTGTACCTGCTGCCAATTTTTGTCGAGTTATACGGGTTTACCTTGATAGACTTTTTCTTTTTTTTCTTTTTCTTTAAGGCCTTTAAACTGCGAATTTCTAAGCGAATAAATCACTCAAACTTGCTACTTTTGTTCAAGAATTTAATGCTTAAAAAATACCTAATACCACTTTGCAATGTGTTTCAAACAAAATAGTGCCATCGAAAGTACTGACAGAAAGGTTTTGAATTGTTACATCGTATTAGAGTTTTCATTTAAAGTTCAAGTCTCCATAATTGACTAAGAGGTGTACCTCTAAGTGGTGTTCTCCAGTCATCTACTGCAGGCATCAGTTAACTCAAGAGTTGAAAGTGTGCGATTGAAATATGGTTGGCTTTTCCCGAGACGATAGAATCAAATAGGGGCAGTTGCCTTTTGGCCGGAAAAAGTGATTTGAACTTTAGAATAATCTTTTGGGTCGTCGCTGAGATCCAAACCGTGCTACTCCGGTAAAACGGCGGTAAGGCAGCACGGACCAACGTCCACTGATATTTCTTTTCAGAAACTTGCCCTTAGGAAGACGTAAAGCCTTGGAATTAGAAACCACTAAACTTATCTGTCCTATTGACGTTGTAGAAGTAGCTATTCATCATGAACAGAATTATAAGCTACTTAGGTCTACTTTGGCTTTTTGTCTTGGTCACACTTGCGAACTGATTGCCGGAAAGCGTGGAAAGTCTGTCTCAATACCACATACCTGGTGACGTTCGAGACCTGCCTAGGACAAAACAACACTTTATTTGTACGAAAAAGGAGCGATTT